CGGGTGTGAATGTGTCAGATATTTTCTCTATAGAATGATCTGCCTTCATAATTAAAGTGGTTTGGTGTTCTGGATAATAATATGTATATCAGATGAGCATTGGCAATAAAAGCATACCAAATACACAACAAATGATGTCGATTAGAATTCCGCCTGATGTTTAGATACCATATGCCACCACCAGACTCTTCTACAATACACTTCCAGCAGTGACTTGTACTGTGTCAGCTCTGTTTCACAATTTAGAGTAGTGGCAATATATATTTAGCCCATCCAAATTGTTCCTATTGAAGAAAGGGGTCTGGATAACTGGTCCCCCCCCCCGCCACTATTCCTTCTAGAACTAGATGAGATTTGTTGGTGCAGAAACAACACTGCAAGAGCATGTATCTGCACAAATAATTTTGCATCTCTTGGCTAGATGAAAGAGACTAAACATGGACTTGCTGTGGAAAGTAGGGGCCAGTGTCTCTTTCCTCTAGCCTGAAGTTCTCTTTTTTTAAAAAAATGATATTTATTGAAAGTTTTAAGATTACAAAGACAAACAAGGAAGAAAAGAAGAAAAAAGAGAACAGATAACAATTAAACAATACAAATCGATAAAAGTCAAAAACAAAAAACAAAAGCAAAACACATAACACATCAAAATCCAAAAGCAGAATTAAACCAAAAAAAATTTAAAAACAAATCCAGTATTCTCAAATCCTTAACTGTCATTACCTTATTTCATCGACCTCCTCACACCTCCCTTTTTTGTGTTCTAGTTGTTAATTGTCTCAGCAAATCCTTTCCATTTTTCATAATATTCTGTCATTAAATTACCTTAATCTATTTTAACCTTATCTTACCATAAAAAACCCTAGAACTTAAAACTTAAATCTTATTTATACCAATTTCTCATAGCCATAGCATATTCTTACATAATTACATACTTTCCAACCAAACTCTCTTACATACTTTCCAACCAAACTCTCTGTTATTAATAGTATCATTGTATGCCTCTCCACACATTACTTTTCTGCACCTCAGCATCATGGACAATATTCTGATGAATAGTTACATAGCTGCATTTTCTTGGCAGGTTCTTCAGTCATTCAGTCATTCATTATTTTAAAAATTTGTTTGTTTATCAGCTTCCTTTTACTTTTCAGGTTTTAAAAATCAGTTTGCTTGGACATCGAAAACGCATTTTGGCCTCACTGGGAGACAGGCTTCACGAAGATCCACCTCAGAAACCACCAAGATCTATAACACTCAGGGTAAGTTCCAGAAAATATGATGTTAGGCGTGGGGCAGTATCTCTGGTGGGGGACACATCATGCTCCTTCTTGAGTAGTTTGTCCACCTTTGCTCCCCACCCTGCACTCAGCTCTCACCTGTGGCTCCTAGAAGCTGACAGTGGCCACACCCCAGGAAACTTTGACTGGCTAAACCAGGTGAGAGTAGTCTATGGGTCTTAAACCCTCAGTGAGTCAGGTGAGTTAGGCACTTGTCTATCCACTGCATGTAAAGACAGACTCCTGCAGTTTGAGTGGACAAGACCAATAGCGGGTCCAATGCTCAAGAAGGCAGTTTCAGCATGTGCTGTTGAGGGAAATGAGGGGCAGATGGAACTCATCAACCTGGGAAGGTATCCCATCTAGGAGAAGGAAAACTGATCCTAAACTTCTGTTGCCTTGGGACTATACACATTCCTGAGAAAGGTTTTGGAAGTAAACCCTGAGGAATAATCCATACTCACTGAACAAACTCTACTGAATTGCCCCAGAGACAGCATTGAAGCAAGGTGGAACTACATCAAAGAGGCATACTACTACTACTACTACTACCACTACTACTACTAATTTATTATTTATACCACGCCCATCTGACCGGGTCCCCCCAGCCACTCTGGGTGGCCTCCAACAAAATACTAAAATACAGTAATCCATCAAACATTAAAGGCTTCCCTAAACAGGGCTGCCTTCAGATGTCTTCTAAAAGTCTGGTAGTTGCTCTCTTTGACATCTGATGGGAGGGCGTTCCACAGGGCGGGTGCCACTACCGAGAAGGCCCTCTGCCTGGTTCCCTGTAACTTGGCTTCTCTCAGTGAGGGAACTGCCAGAAGGCCCTCGGTGCTGGACCTCAGTGTCCAAGTAGAACGATGGGGGTGGAAAAGCTCCTTCAGGTATACTGGACCAAGGCCATTTAGGGCTTTAAAGGTCAGCACCAACACTTTAAATTGTGCTCGGAAACATACTGGGAGCCAGTGTAGGTCTTTCAAGACTGGTGTTATGTGGTCTCGGCAGCCGCTCCCAGTCACCAGTCTAGCTGCCGCATTCTGGATTAGTTGTAGTTTCCAAGTCACCTTCAAAGGTAGCCCTACATAGAGTGCATTGCAGTATTCCAAGCGAGAGATAACCAGAGCATGCACCACTCTGGTGAGACAGCCTGTGGGCAGATAGGGTCTCAGCCTGCATACCAGATGGAGCTGGTAAGCAGTTGCCCTGGACACAGAATTGACCTGCGCCTCCATGGACAGCTGCGAGTCCAAAATGGCTCCCAGGCTGCGCACCTGGTCCTTCAGAGGCACAGTTACCCCATTCAGGACCAGAGAACACCTGCCCACCTCCTGTTCCCCAAAAACAGTACTTCGGTCTTGTCAGGATTCAACCTCAATCTGTTAGCTGCCATCTATCCTCCAACCGCCTCCAGACACTCACACAGGACCTTCACCGCCTTCACTGGTTCTGATTTGAAAGAGAGGTAGAGCTGGGTATTATCCGCATATCGATGAACACCCAGCCCAAACCCCCTGATGATCTCTCCCAGCGTCTGCATATAGATGTTGAAAAGCATGGGGGAGAGGACAGAACCCTGAGGCACCCCACAAGTGAGAGCCCAGGGGTCTCAACACTCATCCCCCATCACCACTTTCTGAACACAGCCCAGGAGGAAGGAGAGGAACCACTGTATAACAGTGCCCCCAGCTCCCAGTCCCTCTTGCGCTGTAATTGCTTACTATATTGCTAGGAACTGTCTATATTTTAATGGAAATTTGGAGGAATGCAGATGTAATTTTCATTACTGTCCCTTTTGAGATAGACAAAGGGAGGAGTGCATTGTAAATTGTAAGCAACTATCTTTTTCTCTCACACAGACACCTTACTCAATTCCACTTATGAAAACATTCATATGGACACTCTCACTCTCATTGCTGGCATATCACACCTGGCTTCTGGGAGAGAAACTTTAGCTGCTTGAAGGACTGTGTTACTGAAAGTGTCACTGAGCTCATGGTATTTTCCCTTTGGAGAATTGCTCAAATACAGGGCATTTTTAGCTGCTGTTTCCTGGCACAGTGTACTTCAAGAATGCTAAAATATAAATAGGGAGCATGAAGTGGTTGTAGGCTATGATCCAAGCAAAGGACTAGATATTTTTACAGAGGTGTCATCTTTCAGTTTTTAGGAATGAAGCATATAGCTGTTATTTAAGTGAACATCAGAAGAGAACAGAAACTTGAGAACAGAAAAGGGAAATGGGTAAAAACAAGTGAGCTGTTCAGTAAAATGTGGCAATGTGGAGTGCTCTAGGGTTCAAGCCAGCCATGTTCTTTTTCAAGAGACTCCATGTTTTCCAGCTTTCCATGTTTTCTCCCCTTCTCAATAGTAGGTCAGCATTCTGTACCCACTGAACAGCCCAACTCATTGGGCTATTTTAGGGAAATTATTTTTCCTAAAGGGTTGGGGGGTTTTTTGTGGGGGGTTTTTTGTACTTCAGCAAGCATTTTCCTCCCTCTAAGCCTGCTGATACTATTCTCTTGTATGTCAATCAGGGGTGGGAGACTGGACCTGGCTGATGGGTTGTATCTTTCATTCTTCCACCCCCAGTTCCATGGGCTAACTTTTAACAGTTGGGTGAGGCTGCCCACCTGTCAATCGCCTGTTGTCATTATTATGTCAGGTGACAACTTGAAAGGGGCTTGCCTTTGAAGTCCATGTACAAGCATTTTGTATTGATATCGCTTCAAAGAGACTTCAAATTAAAGGCAGGCACACCTTTACCTGCCTCACACCTGACATCACAAATTATTAATAATAATTTATTAATCACCCTTTACACAACAGTCTTTTGTGTGTGTGTGTGTACATCCAGGGGTCCTTTACCTTACGCGCGCACACACACACACACTTTAAAAAAATCAGTTAAAAACACAAAAACAGCAGGCACATTTAAAACAATAAAAATAGATACTTGTGGCAAAACCCATTTATCAGAGAGATGTATAAGTCTGTCAGCAGAGTGCAGAATGGATGAGAGTCAACTAAGGTGAGACAACAGGCCAGAGAGAATAAGACTGCCATAATCAAGGCAAGATATGGGGATGAACAAGAGTTTTCTTGCCCCTCCTTATCTCTCCATGCTTATGTCCTGCCACACTCCTTCCTGTCACTTGTCCAGCTCTTCTACCCTCAGTTGTCCAAAGGTCTCCTGCCATCTGAAATAATTCCAGCCATCTTCCCTTCCTGCCCCTCATGCCTAGAACTGCCTCCCCAAATGGTTCTGTGTGACTACCTTCCTTAAAGCCCGTAAGTCCCTCCTCAAAATTCAGCATTTCCAGGATCATATCCCTAGATACTATGCCTTAATGTAACGAAAGCAAATATTTATATTCTTCCATTGCCCCCATTGCCCCAACTTTGTTCTTTTTCTCTATTTTAGAGTGTGATCTATTGATGTAGGAACCTGTCATACCTTATACCTGTAAAGCACCATATACATAAATGGTATATACATTATATATATGTCCCACACTTGAGACACTGTGTTACTAGCTCTTGTAGCTGCAGTTCATACACTTTTAGCTTCAGTGCAGGAAAGTCTGTTTATTTCATGCTGTTACTTTCTCTAATTATGTGCAGGAACCCAGCGGTAACCACACTCCTCCTCAGTTGTCTCCCTCACTCAGCCAAAGCACTTACACTACTGGTGGCTCCCTGGACGTTCCACACATTATCATGCAGGGGGATGCAAGGAGGAGAAGAAATGACAGCTATTTTGATGATATTCCTCGGTCAAAACTGGAGAGACAGATGGCACAGGTAATGTTGGAAAACCTTTCCTGTTAAAGTTAAAATATAATAAGGGTTGTATGTTCACTTCTTTAAAATTTGAGAAGGTGTACCTTTAAGAATAAGAGTATATATTTTTGTGAATGTTAGTATGTTTTGGAACCATATGCTATTCCTCAACTAAATTGGTTTGCATTTATTTTCGAACTCTTTTATCCAGCTCTATAAACACACATTTTAAAATCTATGCTCTAGAGAGACTTTATAGTCTGTAAACTAGTTTATTTGTATGCTAACAGGCCTGGGAGATATGAATAGCATTGAGATGTGAAATCAAAATATTATGTTTGTGTTTGAAGAAGCTAAGGTTTTAATGACTGGTATTTTTTTGTCTCCTAAGAGTGAATGATACCAGCAAGATGCCTTATTGCTAGGATTTGGTTGTAGAAACAATGTTGAACACATTACTTTTTTAAATGAAAGGCAGCTAAAGTCAAATTCCTTAGCAGCAACAATTCTTATAGATCTTCCAGGGTGTATTCTCACAATTATTTCCCTGCATTTAGTGTTAAGTGGAATCATATTGCTATATTCAAAATAGTTTTGGCTGACTGTAGAATGAGTTCGTTTTGCTCTGTGTAACTCTGAAGTGAGTTGTGGAATCATGAACTGATGCCACGGTACATTCCACACATTCATAGGGCAGCCTAGGAGTGTCCTGTTTGAGCATGCTTTGATACCAAGTATATGGCAATATCCCTGTCCCCTTGCTGAGGCAGAGACCTTTAAGCATGGGAAGTCTGAGAGTAGAGCTGGGAACAACCTGGGATGCTCTAGGTACACTTCTTATGTATTTTTTGAAAAAATCTGGAACTTACCAAAAAGCAGCAGATCCAGTCTGGAAATATTTCCTTGCAACTGAAAGCTATTGGGTGCATTCATTTATTGCAGAATCTATTTTATAAGATATTTATTAAAGTTTCAACATATTACAAAAATAAGCGAAAAAAATGAAAGGAAAAAAAGAGAAAAAAAGAGAAAATGAAAATACAAAATAAAAACAGTTAAAAAACAGATTAGTCTTTCCATATCTTGTCTTTCATTTGCTTGTTTCCCCGACCTCCTCACACCTCCCTTTTTTGTATTCCAGTTCAAATTAGTTAATTCAGCAAATCCTTTCCCTCTTTGATTCTATCTTAATCTTTTATCTTAATATATTGTAACTTTAGATTATCACCTGTTAACAATCCATTTTTACATATTCCTTTATAACATTGCTGCTAGAAACCATTTAACTTCAATCCAACATCATTCTAACATTCATTAATTTTGCAGTATTTCTGTAGATAGTCTTTAAATTTCTTCCAATCTTCTTCCACCAACTCTTCTCCCTGGTCTCAGATTCTGCCAGTCATTTCCTCCAGTTCCATATAGTCCATCACCTTCATCTGCCATTCTTCCAGAGTGGGTAAATCTTGTGTCTTCCAGTACTTTGCAATAAGAATTCTTGCTGCTGTTGTGGCATACATAAAGAAAGTTCTGTCCTTCTTTGGCACCAATTGGCCGACTATGCCCAGGAGAAAGGCCTCTGGTTTCTTCAGGAAGGTATATTTAAATACCTTTTTCATTTCATTATAGATCATCTCCCAGAAAGCCTTAATCCTTGGGCACGTCCACCAAAGGTGAAAGAATGTACCTTCAGGTTCTTTACATTTCCAACATTTATTATTGGGCAAATGATAGATTTTTGCAAGCTTGACTGGTGTCATGTACCACCTGTAAATCATTTTCATAATATTCTCTCTCATTTATTGCAGAATCTAACCCATCCTTAGGATTTTTTAAATTAAGGTGTCTTGATGGAAACCTGACTGGGAATCTTGTTCAGCAAATGGTTTAAGTAAGGCATTAAGAATTTAATAGTTCAACACAAATTTAGCAAGCTTCAAAGTCAGGCCTATGTAACTGATGCCTTAGCATCCATCATAAACCAAGGGCAAAAGCCACCTTGTAGTTGAGTGGCTGCTAATGTACTTATGATACCTAGTTTTAGTAGTTAGTATTGCCCTTCAGTAATTTTATTCCATGCTTATTAAGGAATTTCTGAAAGTTGCTTGTTTATTATCTCTGAAAATCACTCTCATCAATAATGGCCCATTTCTTATTTTTGGCCCCACAAGGGATAATTCTATGTAAGCTGCAAATGAAGCCACTTTGTCTCCCCATCTAATTATGGATATTTTTTCTTATTCAGATTTTGACAGAAATACATTTCATAGCTTTTTGACAGAAATTGGATGCTGTGGGCTCACATTTGGTTTTGATTTTTGCTGACATTATAGCAATTCAAGGGATTTGCTGAAACTGTTATTTTTACAATTAGATTTCAATCATTCTTAAAACGGCTTTTGAGTACAGTGGTACCTCGGGTTACAAACACCTCGGGTTACAAACACTTCAGGTTACAAACTCCACTAACCTGGAAGTAGTACCTTGGGTTAAGAACTTTGCCCCAGGTTGAGAAAGGAAATCGCGCGGCGGCGGCATGGCGGCAGCAGGAGGCCCCATTAGCTAAAGTAGTACCTTAGATTAAGAACAGTTTCAGGTTAAGAACGGACCCCTGGAACAAATTGAGTTTGTAACCCGAGGTACCACTGTATTGTATATTTAGATATTTTATGTTGGGGCTATTGAAATATTTCCTGTCTTTACTTAATGAACGCCATAATAATGCTGCGGACATTACACTAAACCATGGCCTTGGGTGGCCTTTGGTGACTAACCTATGGCCTTTGGTGTATATCTCCCATCACCGTGACCATGGAGCATGCTGGTTGGGGCTGATGGAAACTGGAGTCCAATAGAATCTGAAGGCCACAATTAAGTCCCACCACCACAACCACATTCAGCACCCTTTAAAAATGGAATGCCACTTACCCTCAATACATTCTACCACAAATGAATAATCCACTGTCTACCTTAAATATAGCATATGCTTGACCAAAAATATATGCCATATTTCATTCTAAAAGTCAGCATCGTTGAACTTCTATCAGTGAAAGTGCTGTGGGTGATATGTGCTGTTCTTTGATGGTGCACAGGACTTAAGGCCAGATCATAAACCATGTTGTAATGCTTCACAGTACGCATCAGAGACCAAACTCTGAACTGCACCCAAAACAGATGGAAGGCCAGTTGAGTTCACAAAGCATGTTAGTGACATGAAAGTTTCACTCCACTGAGCAGGCATTCTGCCCTGATAGAGGCATCCAAGTGCCTGGCATAGCCATAAGTACAGATTGATTATATCAGCAGTTCAACCTGGACAAGGGGGGATGTTTAATGCCCATATTGCAATCTTTTAAAAATCTAACAGCAACATAAAAAGGAAAAGTGTGGTTCCCTCTTGAAAAATCCAAGGGCAGCTGATATTTGCTCAGTTGAACATTTAAATACAAATGTTAATATGTGGTTTTAAACAGCTGAATTAGGTTTTCTGCTAACCTATTATTGGAAGGAATTGGGGAGTCCTCCTTGGTATGCAAGATAGCTTTGATAAAGAAAAGCAGAGTAACAAAACACCACTTACTATAAAAAAACTTCTCTGCAGGTCGCAAAGATTGAATGTCGGAATAGGCAATGCCAGATTTATTGTCACTGAGTAGCTTGATACATGCACATCATGTCACTGAGTATCTCATCCTTCTCTGTTGCCGCTTCTAGTCCCTTATACCCTCAAGTCTTTCTCTCATTTCTGCATATTTGAAAATATAAAACTCCCCAAAGATATATAAATTTCCTTTCTAGAAGTTGTCTCAATTTCATTCTTGAATTATCTCTCTCATACATGATATGATAAACATGCAAGGATGAAACTGAGGTTATAATTCCATAATATACTCAGCCTACTTCCTTCAAAGCAGTTCCACTGATTTTGTCCATAAAATGCATGTCACAGCCCATTAACATTTCTTTAGAAGTCGGTGGGCTTCCATTTACATTTGTATTTAATATGTGATCTCTTTATAATTATGCAAATTCACTCTGTCCTGACCCTTCCTGTAGGCATGCCTATTGACCCAGGCTGTGTACACACTCCTGTTTAATCTGCATCCAGTGTATTCCCATTGCTGGCTTGGGAAGTAGTGTACACATCTTAGCCACAATCCATATCTATCCTGACGTTTCTTAGGAAATAGTGTATTTTGATACGTTCCCCCCCCCCCAAAAGTAGCTTTGATCCCTGTTGAGAAAAAGAATGACCTAGCTGTGATTTAAGTCAGTAATGTGTACACAGCCCCAAACTCTGGTAACATTTTCATGCCCACTGACTTCTAAGTGGGAAGATCTGGACAAATTTGATGTGTCTAACTCTGCTTGGAGTATTTTTTGAACTGATTTCCTACTCTATACAATCTGGACACTTATTTTCAACCTCTGATTGTTGAAATTGTTTATACTCTTTTTTCATACCTGCTTTTCCAAGGGAGGGTACTTGACCATAGACGTTTGACATATCAGCCACCTGTTCTAGATTCATTCCGAAGATGAAAGGCTGTTAAGGTTGAGAAGGTTATAGTGACATTATTAGCAAAAAAGGAAGTGGTTAGTCAGCAGAAGTTTTCATTTCACTGTGCATGTTTGGCACATTAGAACTGAAATCGCTAGGATAAATCCTGCTTTGAGAGATGAGCACCAAGACTGACTTTTTTAAAAGATTAGACAGGGCTGAAAAACCCCCACAGTAACTGACAGCAGGAACCTGAAGCAATTGCCCCTGAAAAAAGCACAACTTTTGTTCAGCTAGATGGAAATTAATTTGAAAGCAGTTTGCAATAGTTTTAGGGCTGTCTGCATGTACCAGCTCATCTCAACCTTAGGGCAAACTTGTTCAAATAGAGAATTCCATCTTGGTGAATGAAGTGTGAGGAAGAAACTAGATTCAGGCAAATGTAGCCATCTTTCTGTTCTTTTTTCATCACATACAATGATGTGTTGTGAGTCTTGAAATGACTGGAGCAGCCACAGGCCTTTCATATCATGGATGTGAACATTTGGGCCCAAGAAAGACGTAGTCTAGTATCCTTAAAAGACACTTTTTATAACCAAAGTGCATCTTACAGGAGTGAGTTTTACTCAGAGTGGACCCACTGAAATGAATGGGCCTAACATGGTTATGTTCATTAATTGGGTCTAAATTTGGTTGAATACTACACTATGTCTTTGCCTCTTGAAGGTGTCAGGGTGTAGGCATGGGTGTTATACACTATACTAAAATGCACAAGAATAATGATGTGGTTCCCCCCCCCCCCATTGCTTTAGCAGTCTAGAAAGGAAGGCTTCTTTGTAATTTACAGGATCTTTTATTTTAATGGCTATCTTAGTTGTCAGTTTGAACCGCAGAAGATCACATCCTTCCAAAAACACCAAACTGAAGCAGCAGCTGATAGTGGAGAAAATTTCCTTAAAGTTTATTTGTTTGGGCTTTCCTTTCTATCTCATGGGGATGGAACACAACTGACACAATCTGACAATAACCTCATTATTGTTTGGCATGGAATGCTACTCTTTTTAAATACTTGCTGATACTTGCTGGGATAGTTCCATAGCATCTATATACCATTTCCTCACATAAATGGATTCTTCAGACTCCTGTAAAACATTGAGATTCACCAGGATAGGTTTGATGATCTGTCATACTATAGTGTTCAAAGACCTCTAGAAGCCTCAGCACCCAGCTCCAGTTCATCAAATTCTCACAGAACTGTTACACTCAGGTTGCAAGTGAAAAGGAGCCGGAAAGCAAAACAGATTCCCAGATGGCAAGAATTAGTATTAGTATTAGTATTAGTATTAGTATTAGTATTAGTATTACAGTGGTACCTCTTATTACGTACTTAATCCATTTTGGAGGTCCATTTGTAACAGGAAACTGCTCGTAACATGAGGCGTGCTTTCGTTAATGGCGCCTCCGCTGCTGCTGCGCCACTGGAGCGCGACTTCCGCTCACATCCCTGGGCAAAGGTCTCAACAAGGGGCATCTACTTCCAGGTTAGCGGAACGTGTAACCCGCAACATTTGTAAGGGAGACGGTACGTAACATGAGGTACCACTGTATTAGTGATATTTGGTCTACTCTTCTCTGTGATAGCTCTTCAGCATAAAGAACCATTTACTTCAATTATTTATATGTGTTTTCAGGATGAATTACACCCAATTATCACTTCATCTTTTAAGAACTGCAGCAGGTTAACTGTAGGTGTCTGCTGCTTCCCAGATGAAGAAGTGCTACTTCTCCTTATGCCTTCATGGGAGCTTGCAAAGAGAAACTGACCATCTCCCCTGTGGGGAAATGCAGGAGTTGTCACTATATATAAAGTTTGTGCCTCACGCTGCAGAGGAGTTGTGAGGGCCATAACAGAATGGTGATGAATTTGTCAATATATTAAACATACCAATTTTTCCTTTAGTATCAAAATAACAGTTGTAGAGTGCCTAACCTGGATCAGGACCTGGGAACATGGGGCGGAAGTTAACTCTTTCTCCCACACCACAGCCTCAATGAAAATGGCACATACAGCTATTTGTCTGTGAGGCAAAAGCTCCATTGGCTCCAAATGAAGTTTTCCTCCCAGGCAAATTGCTGCAGGGGAGCAGGCACATTTTCACTGGGATAACAGCAAAAGGGCTAAACAGTACTCCCTGCCTGTCACAGCTCCAATCCTGCTTTCCTGCCATATTTTGACAGGAAAAACAAGCCAAATACAAATGTATTCATGGAACTGCTATGCAAGGCCACCTCAACACATGTTCATTTAAACTGCCCCAGGTTGCAGAAAGGTCAAGCGACCTTTATATTAAAACCATTTTCATTCATACAGTTTGCATTTTCTGCCATGCCATTTCTCTGTTTCCTGTCCATTGAAACATTAACAGACATGGAGCTAGTTAATGAGGAAAATAAGCCTTAGGCATTAATGTAGTCAGAATAAATTATCTTCATAACTCTGCTAGGTCTTTAGGAATGCTTCAAATATATTCATTTGTTTTTTAAAAGAGATAACTACTGACTTCTGTAGGTAACTTTTTGAAAGGCAGATGAATCCTTTGGCAGGAGGATACTCTGAGGCATGCAAAGTCCATTTTCTTTGTGCCAACACAGCTGCCTGGGCTCCTCTCTGTGCATGTGTTGCATAAGCACATCTGGACTGATAGAAGAAGAGAGCATGGCCTTTTAGGTAGAAAATAGTAGTGGCAAGAAAGCACAGTTCTGTTCCTTTATGTGTGTTCCTTAGTACCTTGGCTCAAATGATTTCCATTTTGTTTTGCCCATAAATGACAGCTAAGCAGAGGCCTAGGCATAGTAGGCAAAGTAAACTGCTGTGTATAAGGGCTGTTCTCCATTACCATGGATGAACAAGACAATGATTCCCATCCTGTATTCAGTAAGCATGGGACCTCTGGAATGTGCTAACATGCTACCTTCACCCAATTCCAATCTACAATTTACAAGCACTTTTGCTTAGTTCTTCAGCACTCCTTCTAGTCAAGGCTGAAGCTATACTGCACAGCTTTGACACCCAACTCATCCCACAACCATTCCTTTCTCCCTTCACAAAGTCTCATAGCTATCTAGTTAATCAGCTTTAGTACCTCACAAGAGTGTTCCTCTACCCAGACCAAAGGAACTCAATATTAGCTATGCTGGACTTCTTTACATTCTGGCCAGTGTGCTAGCAGGACCACCCTCCTGTAGACTGATATCAGTAGACTGTCCTCCAGTGGAATGGGGTCGGATTGCATTGGTAACAGTTTGCCTCTAGCACACCATCTAATTCTCCAAAGTATGTACATACTCCAAAGTATGTCTGCAGTAGTCTATTTTTAACCTTTGTCCAATTTGCAGCTCAGGTAATTCTTGACATTGTTGCTAATACTTTGTGCAAAACCTACTGAGGAAGCAACCACCACATGGTCTGACATCCTTCAAATGGGTTAACACATACATGATTTCAGTTTCAGTAGCCAAAGTACTAATATTCAATTACTATTGATCTGATTTAGACAGGAAGTGCAATGCAACTGGTTGTGACAGTGTGCTGCCACAGTGGATACCATACCCCCTCATAATCACTTATTTGCTATAGCGTGGGTTTCTAGGATTGAATTGTAGGAACACTTTCTGGTCAGTTTAGAGAAAGGCAGCCTCTACTACCAGTCCTTTGAATTTCAGCAGTGACACAGCTTGTCAGTCAGTGTGAGGCATCCATATTTCACTAAGGGAAACATGAGCACAATCGTGATTTTCTTGCAGGAAGCTGTTTCTGTTTGAATGCAGGCTTTATTTAGACACTGATATTAAATTCCTGCTGCTTGTCTTAACTGCTGGCTATGCTCTGCATACTGTGGTTAAGCTATTGATGTATTAATTGCTAGCTACTCCAGAGATTGTAGTTGCATTTCTCAGCTGTTTAAAGCCTTTCATTGTTGCATTCTCAGGAGACTCCGGGTAGCTACTCTATTTGGTGCTTATTTTAGTTGCTTGGCTACTATGAGCTATTATATTGGATTTGCTTGTGGTGTCCAAATAAGGAAATATATACGACGTTCTGCTGTCAGATGATATGAATCTGATTTTCTTTTCCTTTTTCTGTATTGTTGTAATGTGCATCTTGCTTTCTCTCCAAACACAACATGTATTTAGCATCCTGCATTCCATATGACGGTTGGAATGAGATAGTGCGTTGTTACTCCATTTTACAGCTATGAATTTGTTCTTTTCTAATTGCATTTTAAAGGTATTGGTCCAATCTACTGAGCTCTGCTATCTCTCTTTCTGGCTTACCGCATGGACATGTTTGGAGACTGTGCATCATGCAGCCTTGGTTGACTGTAGCTAGTATCTTTCAAATAATTAAGGCCTTTCAAATACCTTTACAATGTTATCCACAAATACCACTGACGTTAGTTGTTATTGCTCTGCAGCAGCACATTTGATTATGCTCAGTATTTGTTTGTTTTAGCCTTTTCTCCCCAAAGTAAATCTCCATTGAAAAACCCTTTTCAGCTGTAGAATGCAAATCAAAGGCTAAGATATGATTGAACACTTTCCCCCTTTCTGCTATTAAGTTCTATTTCATAATCATATAATTGTTTTATTATCCTGAATAGGTCCAAAACTCAATCTGAAATCCTTGAGCCGTGTTTTCTTTCTATAAGCTCAAAATATGTTTTGTCAGCAAATATGTTAGAGGGCTTTAACAGCTGCTGCCAATTTGAAACGCTCTCTTCTTTTAAACAAAATCTTGCAATTGTGTTCATGCCCCCACCTGCAATACTTTTTCTTCCTGGGCTTGGGGGTGTTGGTGGTGCTTTACTATTTACAAGATGAGATGTAGTTTTCTGTTTATATTAGCAGTCTTCTGTCTGTGAAATTTGGACCAGCCAGAATACAGGATATCCTTACACAGCAGTCCATCAGGTTCATAATGTAAGATACTTCAATAAATTGTCACTGTATTGATGTTCATTGTGTTGCCTTGGTGTTGTTAATACTTTATACAGGTGCCATGCTTTTCAGACTTCAAAAAGCAATGTGTAGCATCCAATTATTTCCAGGATTGTATGTATGTGTTTTTACATTTTGTTTTCATAGTGTTCAATAAACTTGTTGGCTTTTGTGTAGCAGGATACAATTTTTTCAGCGCCAAAGGTCAGTTTTTTAAAAAAAGAAGTGACCTCATCTATAGTTTAACTTCTGCTCTGGGTGCTTTGTCTTTGTTAGCCTTCAAAGACAAGGATGGGAGTAAATTGCATACATTCTGCAATTTTACTCGGTTTTGTGCCTTCTGTTTTCAGTGACCAGGAAGGATCCTTCTAGTTTCTTGGGGCTGCTTCTCCCTTTTTTAAAGATGTACTAGCTCATCATTTCAATGTGTTCTTCATGAATGGTATCTTGTAGCATGTCTAAACAATCTGCACTTCTTTTAGATACAGGAAGTCCCTTGAAGCAATGTGCTCATATCATAAACTGTATCTTGAATATCAGCCTTATGACTGTCTTAATGTGCTACTTCAGTGCATGTTATACATGCTATTCCTTCCTAGCGCATGTGCAGAGCAGACAATTTCTCCATCATTTATATTGTGTCACAATTAAAAAAACTATAGTCAGAGTTCACCTTTGCTGCAAAAGGGAGAAAAATGCCTAGAACCAGGGGACCAGAAATGCTGTAAGAACTGCAGCAGTATCTGCACCTTCCACCCACCTATGTGCTGTCAGTTCTGACAGTTCTATTATTACTAATAGTATAATACTTGTTATATAATATTTAATAGTATGTACAACTAAGAGCATTTTGGTATTTTGTTACTTAGCTGTGAGGCATGAGGAATGCCATCTGAACTGATTCCTATGCCTGCATCTTCCCAGCTATTAGAGGGAGGCAGAAGAAGGTCACAGGTCCTTTAAGGAACCCAGCAGAAATACTTAAATATGTTGATAACAACAGATTAATTTGAATTATGAGTTTTTTCACAAACCAATAAAACAAATAAAGGAACAACTTGAAGCTTAAATGACCCATTGTGAAACAAATGACAGTTGCACATATACATACATGTAAGAGCATGTGTGCAATCAGTGGTTCTTTTTAAAATTAATGATACATTAAAATGCATTTTCAACAATGGCAGAATGCTGCAATAACAGGAGCTTCACCTATTTAATTTCTATGTGCCACTATTAATATTTACAGTGAGAATGATCCACCAAACGTAAGCACTTCTGCAGCTCACTAATTTTAATTATAGTTAAAGTTTGTACAGTCGTACCTTGGTTTCCGAACAGAATGCGTTTCGGGAGTCCATTCGACTCCCGGAACCATTCAAAAACCAAAGTGTGGCTTACTGACTGGCTGCAGGAGCATCCTGCAGCCAATGAGAAGCCGCAGATGTTGCACCAGACATTCAGCTTCTGAAAATTGTTCCAAAACTCACTTTTTTCCAACACTCACTTCCAGGTTTCAATCGTTCGGGAGCCAAGGAGTTCGGCTTCCAAGGTACTTAAATACCCCCAATTAAATAACTGGGACATAAGAGTTCTCCCATTTAGCTGGATCATAACATAGATTTGGAAAACAGTACTTATGTGGTAGACATATGTTTGACTGCAATTAGCTTTCTGTACTTACTTATACTTACGTCTCAGTTTTATTTTGTTTAGATTCCATACTTGCAGCCTCTGCCACCAAAATCATAATTTTACCTGTTTAAAGGCACTATGGTTTTTGTAAGACCTTGATCCAGATTGCTGAACATTTTCTCATTTCAGCTGTAGGTTCCACTTTTTAGCTATTGGACTGAGAACAGCTAGTCTGGACATTTTTTGTAAATTCTGAAAAGTATAAAATCTGTAAAACTGCGAAATTAAAGGGTTCCATGTTCATTTGTAACAATGTATCCTAGAGTGGAGACGTATGAATTTACATTGGGAACAAGAACACAAAGGGCTCTGGATCATGGACATTGTTTGACAGTGGGGCATATATAGGAAGATTCTATGCCACCTCTGTTTTTGGCATTTGTTACTGTTCTACATCCTAATGTTTTTATACTCAGAATAAATCTTCATACAAAAGCAAATACTTATTTTGCTAAAACGTACTGTCCAGAGCTTTAAAACAAGCAGATACCAAGCATTCTGTCATCTTAACAATAGTCTTGACAAGTTGAGCCTTCGGATGGAATAAAGTGTAATCACAGAGTGTAATCACATTTCTTTGAGTGATATTAATAAGATTACTTAAATAAATGGAAAATAAAACTGCAAGCCTTTAACATTTTTTTGTCCACTACACTGAATTGCCATATCCAGTGATAATTCCACAAGGTCACAATGTAGTCAAAGTGAAATACTTGTTAGTGCAACAGATTAAGTGATAGAGCTAAATATATTCCTAAAAGATGTTTCGCAGGATTATGCCCAGCATTTGAGGATGGTAAAATCAAAGGCTGACTCTTATTTTTGCAGCACATGTTTGCTATATATAACTGATATTTGTGATACTGAATACTGTAAAGTGTGAAGAAGAAAATTGCAGTAAAAATGCAGTGAGCATAGGCAAGAAAATTGTGGCCAATGTCAGTGCCTGAATACATATCCACTGTATGCCCTCGGGTGTTTGAAAAGCCCTTCCATATTTCACCAACGGAATACCATTATACATGTGGCAAAGAGGCACTGCATAAATTTTGAATGGGCTCAAAGACAGATAATTTATCCTTATAGAGTCTCCATGTTTAAAAACTATGAATGTCTAATGTTGATATTGGCAACTGCAAAAATGTTAATCCATGTGACACGGTTTAAACATTCTAAAGTGCTATATAAAGCTAAGTATTAACGATTATTTTATTATTGTCTACATAACAGACATTTCACAGTTTCAGCATTTTCCAGCATCAAGAAATAGTGATTAGATAAAGCGCTACTTGCTGGAAATGTAGTGTATCTGCCAAGTCTACCCAAACACCTCCTCCCTCCCACCAAAAATATATATATCCAGAAAAGCACAGGAGTTAATAGTTAATTGCAAGATGCCAATTTATATATCTCTGAAGCACTTTTAAAGGAAAGTACCACATCTGCAATTGCATTACTGTTAGTTTTCAATGAGGCAGTAATGTTGGCACAAAGTTGTTTCTGCTTGTTTTGTCTTCTGCTCTCCTGCTTCAGTTTTCACGTTGGAAGGTTACTATTAATTTTGATGTCTTCCAGTTTACCTTGTGCTTGTCCTCGTAGATCTGTACAAACCAACCTCTGTCTTGTCATGATTGTGTGGCCCATGAAAATGGATGTATAATGCTTGTTTTGTTTGCTCTGTCCTGGTTTACGAAATGAAACGACATTTTCTTTCATTGGAATTTTCTCATTTGCTTTCAACAGCAATTACGTGTTTCAGTTGCTTTGATTTAATCTTGGGATGGAGCCAGAGAAAAAGCTACAGAAGGGAGCTGGCAGAAGCTGGTTTTTTCTGCCCTCTACCCTGCCCAAGCAGTCTCCTGAGTAACAGGGATCCTGCCAAATGGGATGAATTGTGGCACAGAGGACAAAGGAGGAATCCCCCATGAGTTGTCAGAGCATATTCTGAGACCAGAGCTCCCACTCACAAAAGGCAACTAGCCTACTTTTTACAGATCTACCGCATTCACTCCCCTGATCCTCATGAGAAGCTGGGTGGGGCTGCCAGGGGGAGGAGGAGGAGCAGAAAACCAGATTCTGCTTCCTTCCTTCTGCAGGCCTTTTCCTGGATCCAACCTCTTATTTCTAAAGTTTGTTTAAAATTGTTAGTAAGCTTTTAACAAACAGTTGCCGATTTGATCTCAACGGAGTTGAAAAACAGTGAGTAGAAAGAGTATATTAAACTGGGACAAAAAGGCTCAGAAGTCAAAGATAAGCAAATTGTAAGATTTGTTGTAATACATATAGATTTAGAAAGTACTTTCCAAATGCAACCATTTTGTTAAATCAGTTTAAATATTTGCTTTTTTATCTGTAAGAAAATTAATTAAATTCAAGCATCCTTGGTGGTAGTTGAGTTAAGAGACATATTCAGATCCTCATCAAAGTTTCCTCAAAATAAGACTGCAGTCCTATATACACTTAAATGGGAGGAAGCCTCATTGAATTCAGTGGGGCTTGCTTCTAAGGAGGCTTTCCTAGGATTACAGAACAAGTCCCAATGATTACAGTTGGGCTTTCTCATAAGCAAATGGGCACAGGCACAGGTTGCAATCCTGTGCAAACTGTGCAAAACTGGACAAAGTGGATTTGAGTATGGGTCTTGTTGCATTACAATCCTATAGGTGCTTGAAATCATGAGGCTTACTTCCAAACACTCATCTATATAGGCAAGCTGTTAGTTTCTTATGCACAAGGATAACAATGGTGTATAAGTAGCAGCGGCATTTAAATAATGTCTTCCTATTTTTGACATTGCTCCTTGCTAGAAAACTCAGATTGGAGGCTGTAGTGAAGTAATAAATGCTGACTATATGGGCATTCATAAGTTATTTTTATTCTTCAGAATGGCACGTACTGTAAATAATAATATGTAGCCAAAATGCCATGGTTGCAACCACAGTGAAATATGCTAATTGCCTTCAGTTTACGTTGCTTTTTGAATACATCTGATTTTCAGACTGGAGACTGGGGTGAACCATCAATTACCTTACGACCTCCTAATGAGGCAACAGCATCAACACCGGTACAATATTGGCAGCATCATCCAGAGAAACTAATCTTCCAGTCATGCGATTACAAAGCATTTGTAAGTTTGCCAGACTCAATGTTTTCTTTGAGAATAGTTGGAAATTGTCCAGTTTAAGGAGTGACCATTAACATTTTGGTAGTCTTTTTCTCTACCTAGCACAACTATAACGTCTTTCTTACAGAAACAAAAATGATACAAATAAAAATTTTCACATTATTGTGAACAGAATACAGATGGAAATTGTAGCTTTATCTTTAAATCTGTGTTTCGGTCCCTGCTCTTTATTAAAGAAACATCAAGATTTTTATGCCATTGACCTCCAAAGTCTCACGAATATATAAAAAGGTGGTGGTAGAGAGAGAACCTAAGGGGAACCCAGATGCATTGTTTTCAAGGTTTTTGAGTATGACCATGAAGACAACCATAGCTTTCCACCCATGCTTGTCCCCAGAATCAGGTACTCAGAACTACACCACAGCCTGTGTACATGGATATTGAATTTAGCTCCCATATTGATAGACTAATCCTCCATTAATTTGCCCGAATTCCTTTTAAAATCTCTCTAAGCTAGTGACCATTACCACATCTTGTGGTACTACTGCCTTCTATAAAATTCTTGCTGTGTGAAGTACTTCATTTTGTTCACATGCTGATTCCAGCACATTGGAAGCAAACACTTCAATCGCTGTTTTAAAAGTGGTGCTATTAAAAATTACCAGTCCTTGGTTTTATCAAAAGCCTTGAAGAATCTGTCAAATCTACTACTCACTTAATAGAAAGAAATTAGGCTCTAATAAGACTTAATCTTTTTTAAAAAAACACACCAAAAAACCACCCTTTTACATCTTGAGCAGCAGTGTGCTACACACGTTATTTTTTAAAAAGGAAAAAAAGCTTCACAGCTTTAATTCAACTGTACTGAGATGATTTAGGCTTTGCAGAATTATAATACTGGACTTTATGATCCTGGACAGAATTTCCTGGTAACACACAATAGTGAACTAAATAAAATGTTATATACCAAGATGAATGTATACCACTGAGCAATAATGTGGTGGTGGAAATTTCATGAAAGGATCCACTGTTTCTTTGGCACCACTAGCCTGCTCCAGCCACGGTAGAAGGTAGCAGTAGTGGCATCTTTCTCATTTTTCTGTATGTGTCCATCTCCATTTTATCCCATTGACATCAGTGAAGGAAGAATAACTACACCTGCTCTAGGACTAGTATAGAGTTTTTGTGCTTTTCAGGGTAATGAGGGAATACAAGGCATCCTGCAGTCTACATCCAATATGCCCCCTTCATGCCCTGCCACTGGCACTGCATCTACACCCACTGAACATGCCAGGGGCTCCTTCAGGGTCATAAAAGTGCCCCAGAGGCAGAACTCCTCCACTGGTGGATTGGCACATGTGCCCCTCAGCTGCCCTTTGGCCAACATTAGAATTACAACTTAAGTAACTTTATATCATGTGTGTACCCTGCATGGTCCTGTAACTGCACAGTAGTGTGACTTTTTATTTTCTTTTTGTATATGGACAGCTGGTATATACATAGGTTTTAAGAGTAAATCCTTGGTTTTGTTTTTGATGACTTCTCCCTATGAATATGACATCTGTAGGTGTTCCTCTGTTTTAAAGGTGAAAAATGCAGAAGCTCAGGGCAGCAGCGGAGGAAGCCACTTGGGCGCCTGGGGCGGCGTGCCCAGGGGCGGGGCGAGCTGCCCATAGGGCAGGGTGCACTGTGGGGCCTCTGGAGTCTGCCTGCCTCCTCCCACTCAGCCGCCCTACAGCTGGGGGGGTGGGGAGGAGGCAGTGGGCGGACAGTTTGAGCAGCGCAGAGCCTGCGTACACCCAAGCAACCACGTCTCTCCCAGGAGAGACATGTGGCTCAGGTGCGCTGCAGGCTCCCGCAGTGAGTGCCGCCCCATTTTGTCACCCCCATTGGTGGTGACACCCAGGGCAACCCGCACCTCCCTTCCTCTACTCCTGGCTCAGGGGTTCATGTTGCCAGACAGGGCATTCCCTGTAGCAGCCCCTAGGTTGTGGAGGTTCCTCCCCACAGATGTGTGTCTGGCAAGTTCACTATACAGTTGAATAATGAACGCGCACTTCTTTATCCTGGCCTTTGACAACTAAGTTGTTTTAAACTGTTTTTAATGAATTTAAAATTGTTGTAACTCAACTTCGGGATCTTAGGGTGGGTAATTAATAATAACATCAGCAACAACAACAATACCTGCTAGTACTGCTAATAAATTAACTTAGACAAAGAGCATGAAATAACACTTTGTAAAATCTAACATTATGAAAGGGAAAATTATAGATTTGATTTAATGAAGAAGATTTAGCTCAATAGATTCCAGGCTGGACAGCAAAATTCTTAAAAGCACATAAAACACAATCATAAATCTTAAAACCCTTTTAAACAACAAGAGCAGCTAAAACCACCAATCAATACATTCAAATACTGAAAATGCCTGGCACAAACAGATAGGGCTTTACTTGGTGCCAAAGTGTCAGCACCAAGTGTACTTCTGAGAAGAGGGAATTCAAGAAGCAGGGCTGTATCTTACATTATCTACTTTCTCTAGAATGTTTTAGGTCAGCAAATAAGCTTTCTTTGAAATTTTGCTTACTCTGTTTCATAACTTCAGAAAACAGTGCCTTGTTTCTTTCATAAGTATTTAGGTTCTATGCTGGTAAAAGAACTAAGAGGCACAGAATCAACGCAGGATGCCTGTGCAAAAATGAGGGTGAGTAAACCTTACTTTTTCAAAACGGCTGTAATAGGCTGGACTTTCACTTGTAACTGCCTCACTTCATCTATGTTGTACATTAAATGAAATAACTCTGGATTTTTTTTGTAATATTCTTTATACTTTAGTTATACATATGTTACATAGTTTTTCATGTTACCACTAAAACCTCCATCTGCATGCATGTTGTACGTTTCCTACCTCTTGATAAGTAATTCCGCCCCCCCTTGCATCTTTTTATTTCTGTAGAGAATATAATAAGATTTAGCAGGCCAAGCATTTCCTTAACAGAGAACTTGACTAGTAAATTCCCATAGGACTGGATACTCAAGCCCCTTTTTGGTGGAACTTGGGAACTCCCTTGGGGAAAGAATAAGCCATTTTAAATCCCTTGGAATATGATGAGGGGGCGCGGAGAGAGAATTTCCACCTTTACTGCTGGGAGGCAGTGATTCAGATGGAAGTTGCTGAGTGGTGTTTACTGGGTGGATGATTTTTCCAGCACAGACACAGGCTGCTAACATTTGCAGGGACTCAATAACCATGCCTGTGCATGGGGCTGGCAGTGTCATTCCCACCTCCGCTGCTTCCTCCTGGCACCTAAAGGGTAAATATGGAAATTCCAATCCTGCGTCAATTGCTATGCATGGTCCACTGGCAGCTATTTGTAGCAAATTACATCGCTGGAAGCTGTATGCCGGCTCCCTCGGCCAAAAACGAGATGAGCGTCGCAACCCCACAGTCAGCCACAACTGGACCCAATGGTCAGGGGTCCCTTTACCTTTACATCGCTGGCCACCATTGGCCAAGGGAGTACTGGAGGAAAATGATGTCTTTTTGTAATGCCTGCCCATTTACAAAAATTCAAGCAGAACATTTAAAGCAGAGAGCAAAACCACTAGTCCTGTTTCAGTTTCCCAAGGAGAACAACCGAAACCACCAAAGTACTTTTCCTTTAACAAACTCAGACTCCTTTCTCTGCTCAAATTAAAAGGGGGCGGGGGGAGGGATCCTTCTAGTAGTCTCCTTCTCCTTCCCCCAGACATTGATGGATGCTACGTTCCAAAAGCTAGTACCATCAGGGTATATTGGCTAATTCCTTTGGTTAATTCTCTGATAATCCTTCAAGTATTTCAGGCAAAACAGCAATAAGCCTGTTCATGCTAATCAAGACAGAAAACCCATAATAGTATAGTATTAAAAACAACTGCTGAGAGCAGGGACAGGAGAGATCAGTGTGGAGTCACATTTCAGGAGTGATAATGCCCAATCATAACATATTTTTCACTTAAGACATTATAAATCCCTTGGAATATGGATATTATAAGAATATCCTACAATTGTGTCACTGGCAGTTGTCCAACAAAATCTATTTAGATAAGAATAAAGTCTTAACATCTCATTGGCATCATTGTTTTCATGTGTAATTGCAAATTTATGAAATGATTAAGAATATATACCATTGAAAATACAAATTATTTCATTTTGTTTATTTGTTTCTATCTGCAGCAAAGTGTAAATAAGAGACTGATATTTAGTTTTGGGGAGATAAAGGCTGATGCTTTTTAAAGGTGTTCCAAGGATGTCAATTAAATACGTATAAACCATAACCTCAATCTTTCTCATTATACATTCTGTATGTTCTTTCTTTGGTGCTCAAATATATTATTTGTATGAAGAAGAGGAAAACTGTTGGCATCTTAACTCAACACTTATTAAGCATAATTAATATCTATATTTATCCCATCTAAATGTAGAACTATACAAATAAAAAGTTTTATTTTTCTTTATAATTCAAAAATCTTTATAATTGGGAGCTAACTAATCATTTTAATATGTTTTCCTTCTCCTGTTATTTATTGTCTGTTGGATGTTTTCTTGTTCAGTGTTTCAGTTGGTAACTGCTTTGTGTTATTTTTGCTAAAAAGAGACACAGATTATATTAAACATAGATAAAATAAATATGGCCCTTTTACAGAAATTTTTGAGTTTTTTAGGAAGTGACAAAATCTCTAAAACCCTTAAAATATCAAAGGAAACTGCAGTACTTCTACACAAGTGCATACAGGTGGGATAATCAGTCAGGCTACTTTAGCATTAAAAGTTGTAGTGTATCAAAGAATAAGGATGTGATCCTGAGGGGCATTAGAAAGCAATGTAAGTGCTGTCCCACTGGTGGGGAGGGAGGTCAAAATGCCTCAAATGGCCCCCCAAAATCTCATATATAGCTAAAGTTGGGTTTACTGAGGTCATGTAGGTATGGCCATGGATTTATTTCATTACAGTTAGGAAACATTTTAATCCTCATCTTTTTTCACCAAGCTTTTGCTTTTCTACCATCAAGCTCATTGTTTTCCTTTGACAAGTTTTTTCAGTATACTGTCTAGCTTTCAGTGTATCTTTCAGCTAGAAGAAACTTACTTAAAGTACTTTATTTTGCACTTGTTTGCAATATGGCACTATTACCACTAGTTGCTTGCTGCCCTGGGCTCCTTTGAGAGGCAGGGTGGGGTGTAAATTTAAGAAATAGTTTATATTGTTGGGTAGGGAATAATTTTGTTTGTTTGACCACAGGCCACAACAAAATACAAATCAGACAAGTTATTACAAAGAAATAGAAGTGCAGGTCTGTTAAAGCAAAACATCTCGTAATAAGCACCAGAGTAGATGAAGTAGCTTCAATTGTCCAGATAAAAATCTGCTACAATACTATCCAAGAAACTTTGCTGCTGTTTTGTCAGAGGCAAAGCAAAGCCAGCCACTTTTGTATTACTTGTATTACAAGAGCCCTGCTGGCCCAACTCGTCCATCATGCTGTTCTCACAGTGGCCAACCAGATGCCTATGGGAAGCCCAAAAGCAAGACTTGAGTGCAACAACAGTCTTCCCGCTTGTGAGTCCCCAAACTTGACAGTGGAGGTGGATCATAGCTATCATGGCTAGTAGCACCTGAATGCCTTATCCTCCATTAAATCCTCCCAGCGCTTGGAAGCAATGCAATCAAACCAGTATTCATGTCTCTTGTACTATGTATGTGCATGTGGTGGCTTATTCCACTCATTTTCAGAGATGGGCTATTAAAATACATAATGAGATATATCCTCTATTTCCCATTCCATACAGTTGAGTGTAGTATATTGTTGTCTTGGGAAAGAAAATCAGATGTACATTGTTCAATACACCACATTCTTTCATGTTTGTTTTTAATTTCAGAAGTCTACAGAACAAATGAAGAAAGTTCCTACTATTGTTTTATCAGTCTCTTATAAAGGGGTAAAATTTATTGATGCAACAAATAAGGTAGGCATCATTTGGCTACTCATACATTTTATAATAAAATGTTCTTCCACATGTATGGCCACCTGTTTTCAAAGTGTAAGTTCCTGTCCTTTCCCAGCATTGTTTTCTCCGTCCCCATCTGGAAGCAACAGGGCATTTAAACTCAGGCAAACAAAACACACAGGCTATTCCCTTGTTATTTTTAAAACATATTCAATAAGTCAAGAAAATATAGGCACAGCTGAGATCCCTTAGCAGTAAAATCCTGCACGTTTATGCAAAAGTAAGTCCCATTGTTTTCCATTGTTGTGTGTATAAGCTTGCGGCCTAAAAGTACAAAGTTAGCACTTGATCCACTCATTGTAGTAAAATGTAATATTGTTTCCCACTAGGTTGTTTGTACCCATTGAGAAGTTTACACAGTAGGTCTTGGGCAATCACTACATTTCTTTCAGGAGCACAGGGACTTCCTTAAAGTGGCAAAGCACCCTTCCCCCTCCTGGAAATGTGGGGAAGCTGCTCTACTTCTGCTGTAAGCAGGTGGGTGGCAGCGTTTCCCATCTGTATGCCACCCCCTGGCTGATTAAGGGAAAAGGAAAGGGCTTTAATGTCTGATGAGTAGAGTTTAAATTCTGCTGCCTATGCAGCATGATCTTGTTCCCTGCTGGAAACAGGGTGGCACAGCCAACATGGGATTAAACCCTATTCTCTCACCCATCAGCCAAAGTCACCAGTGATGGGTAAGTGGTTGTGGCTTGGAGGAAATGGCCTGGAGAGCCAAGATTGTCTTGCAGGCTGGAAATTCCCCACCTCTGCTGTAAATACATGCCATATTCACTTAAGAGAGTTCAAATTCCAGCACAACTTTCAGTGGACCAGAGCGGAGTTTGAAATGAACATTAAAAACTATGAAGTCCACAGAACTTTATAGAGCTTCTTCTTTTAACATAAGCATTCTTTCCAGTTCTAATTCGTTCTGAAAACTAATCTTGTGCTATCAACCATCAACAGCCTATGGCAATCTTTTTTTAATTCTCATTCATAGGAAACCGAACCCCTGCTTTTTAGTATCACTGCAATCTATTCTGAAACTAAGAACAAGGAAGTAAAATTAAGACGTATTATTGGTTTTACCCAAAGTAGTGTAAAATTAAATGAGTATTAAACCTCACTGAGTCTAAAGATCTTTACATAATTATTGCTCATTAAGGCATAATCATTAATTTGATTGTGGTCCTTTATGTAGAAATAACAGTTTTAAAAATGCTCCAACAATTTGAGATAAGAGGATTTAATAGTTTTGATTCTCTTCTAAAACACAAGCCCATAGATTCAAATAACCAGTTTTCAGTATACATTATTAAAATAGATTGCTAAATTAATATTTCAATGAGCTCTCTTGAGCGTTCATAGTTGCCTGAAAATATACTTTTTCAGAGTAAATTTGTCACAGGGAAAAACAGATTAAGGATGGCACATGAGCATGGCAGATTAACCATCATCAAAATTCAGAAGATAATTTATTCTAATTCTTAAGTATGTGATTAAAGATGAAACATATATGACCAAATCCCACAGCACCAGTTCACAAACAGGGTTTTGGATTGTGGTGACAGTATTGCATCTGAAGTTCTTAGCTTAAACTAAACAAACTCATCCTGGTGGTTTTTATGTGAAATAACATTTGGAAAAATTGAATGCAATGAAGGTATAAATATCATTTTGCTATACCAAGTGTTAATGTATCTGGACAGTACCCTTCATTTTGCTTGGCTCATTTAACTACTTCACATCCCTGTTTCACTGAGCAATGAGCCTTTGCTGGGTTCTGGTTGCCCTTCTGATTGCAGAGGAACAAGTCTGGATCCAAACCATTATAATGTTCTTGTTCTCTGTGTGGCTAGTGGTAGAATAACGACCACGATCTATTGTCAGAATCACTAGTACAGGTATATCCAAAGCCCTACTGGCCAAGTGACAGGAGGACACAGTGGTGGGCATGTTTTTACTCTCCCTCTCTTTTTGAAGATTGGCATATGTATTTTTCCTCCCACTAGAAACAATTGGGAGGAAATATATTTATGCCAATTCTGTTTTGGGGAGGGAGGGGTGTTGGGAGAATGGGAAGGTTATGTAGTCTTCAGATCTATGTCGTCTTCCTATCTGCCCGATACACACATTTTTTTTACCTCTGCTGACAAAGGAAAGGCTGCCCAAGTGTATTATTTATTGAGCTGTTATTAATGAGGCTTCCTTGGGAAAACCAGGCTGCTATGGTTGCTATGGAACATTACCCCCATCTCCCACTGCCCCAGATGTTCATACTCTCACTTTGCAGCTGAATGATTGAAGGGCTGTATGATGTTAATTAAATCCACTGAGTTGCCATTTCTTTTTCTTTCATTTAGAATATTATCGCTGAACACGAGATTCGTAACATTTCTTGTGCTGCACAAGACCCTGAAGACCTCTCTACATTTGCTTATATCACAAAAGACTTGAAGACAAATCACCATTACTGCCATGTGTTCACAGCCTTTGATGTGGTTGGTCTATAAATATATTTCTACTTGGTCACATTTTAAAATCAAAAATATTTATAAATGGGTGTCATAGAATGCAATTTTGCTGAGACAGATGCAAATACTTTAGGCTGCAATCCTAGCCCCACATTGCTGGGAGTAAGCAGAGGGGGGTGAACCAAGCCTTATGAGGAGCAATTGAGGGAGTTGGGTATGTTTAGCCTAGAAAAGAGGATTCTTGTAGCATTACGGGGGGTGGGGGTGGACTAGATGACCCTCTGGGACTCTTCCAAATCCACAATTCTGTGAATCGATAAGTTCCATTGAATTTAAAAATCTTGCCTCTAAGTAGGGATGCTGAGGATCACAGAAATAGAAGTATAACTAGCCAGATCATCAAGTTCTCAGTTGCGGTTTATCTATGATGGATTGTTCGGGACAAACCCTGGTACAATATAATTTTTTTGCTCAGCTCTTCTGAAATAGGTGGGACATTTTTAAAAATATTCACTTTTTAAAAGTGTGGCAATACTTTTATTTACAAATTTAGTATGCTGCTTCATATCATTATCGTGTTGTAGCTTATTTCTAATTCAGTAATAGAAAGCCATGCTTCGCAGTAGCTTCCCAGGGGATATAGGCAGGTTGAATGATTATTGCCTATGATTACTGCTTTGCACACATAAACGTGTCACACCTTTTCCTACTCATAAAGCAGTGCTTCTTAGACATCAGACTAGGGCCCACAAGTGAGTTTGGGGCCACTTTCAGGTGGGCATCACTACCACAGCCTGCCCAGTGCAAACTTGCTTGCTGGCCATGCCCTCTTCATTAGACCAATGCAGCATCAGCCACTCCTTGAATACTGCTTGAATACATGGGCAGGAGCCAGAAAAATGAGGGTGGGGAGAAAGGTCGGTCTTCCTCTTCTGATGTAAAAGGGCCAGTGAAGGTGTTGAAGAAAATTAGAGACAGGTAACAGGTTAACATTTATGATCATTAATCAGATGGTAATAGGAAGGGGTAAGAAAAGACAAGTATTATATGATGAAAAATGAATGTGCAAGGACCAGGAAAGAGGGATGAAAGAAACTGGCAGGCTTTTTTGGTTGGGTGGAAATAAGGTACAAGTTGAGGGCAAAAGGGGAATGGCAGAAGAAATTACAGGAGATGGCTATAAAGACTTTGAGAGGCACATAATGATGGGATAGGATAGATATACAAGTAAAACTCCTCTTTACAAAGATGAGTAACAATAACTCCAGAGCAGACCTGAGGAAAGCTTAGCTTTGAAACACCTTATCAGGAGAACACTGTGGGAAAGAATTTAGCAATTTGGAAAGATGGATTAGATATCCGCTGATTATGCCAAACTGCTTTCATCTCACACTATTTTGGAACTGGCTGTTCCCTTGTACCACTTGTTGGTCTTGGTGTTTTTCAGCTCTCTTAAGTAGACAGAAAGGTTGAGAACCCCCAAGTTAAAGCAATCTTGAATAGTTTGTTATACTTTCAGGAATCTATGTTAAGTGATAGCACAATTTTGTTTTTTGGCTAGGAAAAGATGCCTGGATTTAAATAAGGCAATATGATTTTATAGTAATACTCTTATACATTTCAATGCTCTAATAGGCTCTGAAAACAATGACAAAAACTCTTTATAAGGAATGAAAATTTGACTTTTGAAAAATAAATTTATGTACAGCTGGTAAATGATAAAGCAGGGGTGGGGAATCTTTGGCCCAGCAGATGTTGTGGGGTGCCAACTGCCATCAGCTTCAGATAGCTCTGCCAATTGTTAGGGATGATGGAGTCGGAATCCAACAACATCTGGAAGATAAGTGTTCAAGGTAACCTCTTGTCTATTTTTAATTTTAACAAAATAGTAATAGATAGGTATGCTGGAAGCGTCTGTTTTATTAATTTAAATTTGTGCCATGAAACTTTAAAATATTAAATCTTCACATAACTGTAGTGCTTTTAGCTTTCATACTTAGAAAAATAATAATGTGTGCATTATAAAATACTGCATTAGAGTTCTCTTGTTGAGTTATGGCTGGTAAGTAAGAATGAATGAATGTATGCAGATAGTTAAATTGCATGGAGAGTGGCTGTGAATTGGTTCCCCCACCCTCCAAAATACATTTTCTAATACAAATTGAGTAGAAGAGAAAAAAATTTCATAGGGCTTCTGTTATTAACGGTCATCTGAACTGAAAATTAATGAATGTTTTGTCTGTGTTCTGAGGATACAAAAGGTACAGAAAATTAACTAAAGAAGCATCTATATAGCAGAACAGCTCCTTGCTATGGTCTTTTTACAGATGTGCTGAGAATACTTGCTTTAATGCCTCAAGCCCATATTCTTGGTCACAGTTCCACAATTTTCTTCCCCTTAAGAGCGAGGTGTTCTTCAAAAATGGGGTAAAAAGGCAGAAAAGGGCATGACAGGAGTGGAGAATCAATGGATATGAAGAAAGCAGCAATAAAGAGGGGAAGGCACTCAGAACAATATTTGGTGTAACACCATAACCACATCCATTACATTAACATATGATTTTTAATTCTATATTTATTGATTCTCTTATTTCTTAGTGTGGTAAAATTTGAACTCTATATAATAATAAAAAAAATACTTTAGGATCTAGTACACCGAATTACAATTGCTAAGCAGGCAGAAAAATCCATTAAGTGGTCTACCAAGACCCTTGGCTATTTTTCAAGTGGGCCAGGAGAAAAAGTTTGGGAATCACAGTTCTGCAGTATTCCACAGTGTGTGAAAATTAAGCTCTGTCTGATACGTGACAATGTTATAGATTTCTAAAAGAAATGTGTTTAAACTAACTTGTTTTCATGATGCTGTTTGTTGCTGTTCCAGAATTTAGCCTATGAAATAATTCTCACATTGGGACAGGCATTTGAAGTAGCCTACCAACTAGCACTTCAGGCTCGAAAAGGAGGTCATTCTTCAACCCTTCCTGAAAGCTTCGATAATAAACCTACAAAACCAATTCCAAAACCTCGTGTTAGCATTCGAAAATCTGTGGTGAGTAAAATATGTACAACACATGAAAGAAGCCTGCTAGTGCTGGTGCTTGGGCTGAACTCATTTCCCCATTTCTGCAATGAAAGGTTCAGCAGATTGGGTCTTGGCTCTCTGCCCACAGGGGAAAGGCAGGCAGCAATGTTGGGCTCCCAGGATTCTCCACTAACACTCCTTTACTAGAAATATGCAGGGCTGCTGCCGGGGCCTCCCCCAGCACCTTTACAGGACACTATTGCATAGATGCCTTCACTTCAATGGAAGCCACCCTCAGTTGGAAGGTCCCAAACTACTGACCTTTCATTGCAGAAATTGGAAAAAGTACTTGAATCATACTTTTCCATTGCCAATGAAAGGGCAGCTGGGCCCACCCTTAAGACCGGCTGCAGTACATCTGCTCTTCACTTCACTTTTTCCTTATTCTGTATATGTCTGGAGTGTAGGATTGGGTTTTTCTTTCTATAAGTCCTGATCTTTCTTGAGCTTGGTGAGTTCACAAACTGAATCCTGGGAGCCCTACGCCCCAAATGTTGCTGCCTGCCTCCGACCTGTGGGCAGAGAGCCAAGACCCAATCTGCTGACCTTTCATTGGGAATGGAAAACTACAATTCAGGTAGGTACAATCATACTTTCTCTTTATAATCAGCATGCTAGTGGCATGAGCAGTATTCCATTCACTCATCTTTCTAAAGGCAGCTGTAGAAATTCAGTATAGTTACTAGCTCTTGGGCACACAAAATTCATTATGTAAAACAGTACTGGAGGGATTCCTAGGCATGCTAAGGAAGCCACCTGTAATTAAACATCAATTTCACCTTATGTATCTGTAGTTCAGTTTTTCCTCTGTGGCCCATTCTCTGCTTAATAGCAACACTAATACTGTAGATCAAACATAGCTTCTTGTGATCTTCTTTAGTATATATTTACCGTATTTTTCGTCCCATAGGACGCACCTAATTTTTTGGGGGGGAAATAGAGGAATTTCCCCCCCCCTTTATTTCCCCCCCAAAACCAGGTCGGGGAACAGCGGGATGGCGGCGCTGCACCTCCCCGCTGTCCCCCGAGCTTGTGGGGCTGGCCGATATCTGCCCGAAGCGTGGGGCGCTCTGCTTCAGCGCGCCCGCGCTCCGTGTAGCAGGCTGCTATCCACAGCCTAGGGATAGCTTCCTGAAGCCTGGAGAATGAGAGGGGTCAGTGCGCACCGACCCCTCTCGCTCTCCAAGCTTCAGCGAAAGCCTGTATTCGCCCCATAGGACGCACACAGATTTCCCCTTCATTTTTGGAGGGGAAAAAGTGCGTCCTATAGGGCGAAAAACACGGTACATTATAATGGCAATACTTTTCTAGAAGCTCTTACCAGCAATTCTCACCTTCAACTACCAGACCAGAATATAGTCAGGGAGGTGTCCAGAGACAGACAGCTTTTTAAAGAAAATGTAAATATGTATTGGACAGAAAAGGCAGAAACTAATTGGCATTATCATAAGAATTGATGGATTTATTAGCATAACACTGTTAAACGACGTAGGTAGGGTATACAATTTCTATGTGCACCTCTAGCCAAATGAGTGCTGTGTACTCAGTTTCTCCTCCAAGTTGTCCAGGATGTGCATGGTTAGCGGTTAGGAAAATCAGTGACAATGTAGATTAGCTGGGTAGGACTAAACCCAGCCAAACAGCCAATTGGTGTGTTTGCTGATTGTTTTACAAGCTGCACACACACATACTTGGAGCAGCGTTATTAGCAAGAGAGAGAGAGCAAAGCAATTTTGGCAACCTGATCTTCAAGGCAAGTTGTTGAGCATGAGTTCCTTGTGTTACTGAGAACAAAACAGCATACATATAGTTGATAAAGTTATAGTTATATACCTATAACTTCAGATTTTATGTAGATACATCTCTTGTTGCACTGGACTCGTTCTGTGAGAGCAGTGAGAGTAGTGAAACTAATGAATCAATATCCTCTTGGATTATCATGATAAAATAGAATATAGACTGTAGCCTCAGGAAAGCAATCCATGGTGCATGCCGTGTGGATAATGATGTGCTACTGTGTGACCCAGTTTGAGCACTGTTTTAATGCTCAGCAATTAGAGTGGATAAAGCATCATTGTGTTTCTTTTGTATTTGTTTCAAAGCAGATAGATCCCACTGAACAAAAGACTCTTGCCAACCTACCATGGATTGTAGAACCAGGACAAGAAGCTAAAAGAGGAATTAATACCAAGTATGAAACCACAATTTTCTGATAGTGAACTGTCCTCTGTTTCTTGTTGTGCCTTGCACTCAAAGCAGTCATAGCACAGCCTTTCCTTGACGGCAACTCTTCAGTCTAGTAGAGGGGAAGACTGCACTATATGAGTGGCCTTGAAACTAGCAAAAACATACAAACAAAAACAAAAGGCTGCTGGTCATTTCTGGTGATTGTTCTTCCTGCAGCACTGATAGAAGAATGACATGGGATGAAGACTTTTCAATTACAGCCCACAAGAGGAGTGGGAGATTGTTTCACGCACGCTCTTCTCTTAGGACTTTGCCACAGTGCTTTCTTTTGATTTCGTATTTTAACGTTCTACTTTTACAAAGGTCTCTAACGGTAATGCTGCTTAGTAATACAACGTTCAGTTGTGGTTGGGTTTTTATTTTCACACATGGCAGTTTTTAAATTGAAACAAACCCAGATTAGTTAATAAAATATTTGAGATATGTTTGTGAAAACATGGGGATCTATATAAGTTAATTCTACTGTTTAATATGTTTTTCAAAATTAGTAATGGCAAGACATTAGCTTCCTTGACTTCTGTATTTGCTGGTCTATGTATTCTTCATGCCATTTAATCCTCTAGAGAAATGAGGTTATATATGTCAGTGTGAAACAGAATCAGAGTTTTATTAATGGCTTAAAAAAAAAAAGAGGAATTAATAATGCATGAAAATGCACCTTGTATTAAATATTTTTGTGGGAGAGAAGAAAACTATAAGAGCAAGTATGATATTTATGTTAAAGGACGTCATTAATTATGAAGAGAGTCTGGCTTTATTTTAAAGTTAAATAAACTGCTACTGTACTATCTAACAGTAGTAACAGTGGGGCCATCAGTATGCTGGATGCTTCACTTCATGGGGTAAAACGGAAACTGCCCAGCAATTGCACTACAGGCACACGCAACTATACACAGTTTTTCAAGTTATTATAGCCATGAGTTTCGGTTTTTAAAAATCTGAAAGATGGTTTTAAACAAAACTAGGAATTTTATCAAATTTTCTGTCTCAGAAAGCTGGTTTTAATGAAAAAGTTCAACTCAAAAGGTTTTTTCCTAAATGAAGCAAACCATTCCAAAGTAATAATTATTTCCACAAATCAGTTGAGCATTGGCTTGACAGTTGACTTAATGAAATTTGCTTACCATTTTCTTTGAAGTATTTTAATTTTTTAATGTCTTTGTGGAGTATTTGTATAATAACATTATGTATTTCAGTGAAACTGAATGAATTATAACAGTAAAAATATCAATCATAGGCAAAAAATGACATTAATGTATGTTCTATCCAGTCAAATTGTGAATCATTTTGAACTTCATTATAGAGATATTGATGAATAGTGTGGTTGACTTAAATGTTTTTTATTATTCTTTCATATTTAACTGAAAGGTTTCAGTTACATTCAACAACTGAATTTTTAACAAAATTGATAATTGAACTTGCTTTAAAATTCAAAATTGTATATGGTTTAGTTGAACCTAATCATAGCGCTGAATGACAAAAAACCTTTCAATACAGTATTCAATTTACTTGAACCAATCAGCTCCTTGTACATATTATGCCTATTAATTGTTGATATGTATGTAGTAGGCTGACAGTAAACACTGAAAAATATAGTACCAAAAGGAATATTGTATAGGAGAAAAGTAAATAGTAGCCTCACTGCAACAAATACTACTATGTAAATATGCTTGGGCTTCCAGTTATAAATTTTGTAATTTTTGTCATTATTTATATCCTATAAAAGCACACAAAATAAATTGAAGTTGTACAGTCAGCATTAGTTTCTGGAAAATTTAGTATGGATAATATTGAACATTAAGCTGTTGTTAAGTGATGGATCAGTCTTAAGTGTCAAAGAGACAATGGTATGATCCTATGAACCACTTCACTTACTCAACAGCTTTCAATATCTCACAAGAGACTAGTGCGGCAAAAAGGGAACTCCTCCATGCTTCAGGCCAATGCTAGAACTTGGTGGATATGTAGTGTCTCTGTGCTATAGAACACAGACTTCAAATCTAACCTAATTGTCAACTTATCTCTAATAGCACCTTCAGCCTCCCCAGCAAGATCTTGACCTTGCCTCACGTCAGTATTCCTGACATCCTTGATATGTTATGAAACTATTACTCTTCTTATGGAGTATGTTTAGCTCTCACGCTAGTTTTTCCTTTCTGACCTTTTTGTTATCTCTTAGCTAATACTTCTATATAGAACTCAGCCACCAAAATAATTTGCTCTCATGTCACTCAGAATATGCAGTACCTTCAGTCCCTACACTGGCTGCAACACAAATTTCTTGTTCTTGCCTTTAAAGTTCTTTCTCTTCCCTCACCTCCTAATATAGCTCCGCCCGTGACACTTCCTTCAGTTCATCCACTCTAAGCTATCTAAAGAATATCTAATACTCTGCCATATCTCCTTTGCTATGCCTGGGAGTACCTCTCATGCCACCTGTAAGATACTTGGGTCGCATTCTTCAAACAGCCCCTTCAAACCCCACCTTCAAAGTTTACTCTGAAAACATTGAAAGCAAGAAAACCAAACACTACCTCAACATGGTCTTCAGGTATGTGGCAGCAGAGTCTTCTAAAAGAAATGGTAGCAATGGTGGGGGGACGAGAACCAAGTTTCCAAGAGAACAAGCTTGTGATCCAAATGGTAGCTGCCAAAACTTTCTCTCTCTCTCTGCCTTTGCTGCTATAGTTGACGTGGTAAACAAAAGCAAAAGTCACGAAGGAAGGCAAAAAGCATTTTCTGAGTCCAGTGACACAAATGAGGCACCAAAGCTGAAAACATCACAAAATATAATACTTAGCTCCTCCTTCCTTGAAACCATAAAGCTTATTTGCACATATTTACACACAAGAAATTGTACAAGAAATGGGTGCAAATTTGAAATTTGGATTTGTTCATTTCTTCATTCAGGTATCTTTTGGGAACAAATAAAAGAAATGCTTTTTAAAAAGAGGAATAATTAGTGAAGCTAGCACAAGAGGACCTGGAACAGATGCATCTAATTCACCCATAATACGGCTTATGCCCCCAAAAGTGCTTTTGTTCTCAAGAGTACCAGTCAATGGTTTATTTTTTCTTCAAAAAATTAATTTCAATTTAGAAAGTTTGCAATGAACTTACCCCACATTCTGGCAGAGGAAAGGCATTATATATTGAGATTTTAGTTCAGGCTTCCTCAAACTCGGCCTTCCAGATGTTTTTGGCATACAACTCCCATGATCCCTAGGTAGCAGGACCAGTGGTAAGGGATGATGGGAACTGTAGTCTTAATAAACATCTGAAGGGCCGAGTTTGAGGAAGCCTGTTTTAGTTAGATCTGGGGGCTTCAAACCCTTCAACAAGTATTCACTTGAAAGGGCTAAAAAATATTGGCAATCCACCAAATACAAAATGGCAGTGCAGAGCTTAGTATCTGTCACAAAGTGATAGCAGATGAAGGCCAAGTGAACATAATCAGCTGGCAGTTACTGATACTTTCTACAAAGAAAATCCCTTTTATATTCCTCTCCCAGCTACAGTGCCACATACATCTCGGAGTACTTTTTATTCATTTCCTTTCATTTCTAAAATAAACTGAAAAGCATATCATAAATTCTCTCATCCATTCCCCGGGCTGCTGTTACATTCACTTCTTCCTCTTATAACGGCTTCCTTTCCTCGATTAAAACAAATTTCGGCCAAAAAACAACAACCGATTATCTCTTTTTATATTCCTTCAGTGCACCCTTTGGTGCTTTCCCTTCAGAGAAGAGAGAATTTATTTCCTTCCCCTAGCCCCAAAGTCTCCAATTCTCAGTCACATTCACATACGTCCACCTTTGTTTCTTTAGCCCTGTATGGGCAGAAGCACACAACTCAGATAGTTCTGAGGTGGAGACACCAGCTACCATCTTGGATTTTGGGCAGGAGAGACTACCTGACTTGGAAGGAGGACTGAAGTAAGGGGTAAGAGTTTGAGCATGTGTGGTGCTGGGGAGATGCGGAGGCACCACAGCAACTCTGGCTGCTGCTTCTTTTTCTCTTCCCTATGCTTCCCACCCCCCTTTTGCCCCTCTCCCTCCCCCAGTTGGTTTGCCCATCTACCTGCTGTCAGTTTTCTCTCCTCCAGCCTTGCATGCTATAGCTTGACTTTCTTAACTCACATTCTCACACATGCCTATGCACTGAGCTTGCAGGGAGCTGATGCTGGGGCAGTTGGGAGCATGGTAAGCGAGGAAGGAGGCACTGGGGTGGCTGCATTTCTGAGGCCTGTTGGCTATCCCTGGCCCACAGTTTGAGAAAACCTCTTTGAGGCAGTTCTCATAGAAAAAGAAAAGCACACAAAAAACCAGTTAAGCTCATGGAAGGCATAGCTATTGTATATCATTACTTGCCAATCGATAAATTCCCAAGACAAATGACAGTCTCCACATCAGGTTGTGAAGAAGTTAATTCCCCCATCAACAATCACATTCTTTTTGATTTCCACAATCCAGTCAGTTTGACAGCAGCCACTTCCCAACAGCAATTTAAGGTACTGCAATACTCAGTAATATTTACATTGTTATGTCAAAGGTTTGAAAACAGCATTGCTTCTAGTGGCTAGTTTGCAAGCATGACATGCCTAAAATGTGCAATGCTACAGAAACAGTTTTGCTTAGCTTCTGAAATGAAAGAGAAAACACTCCAGCTCATATTGAAGAGTTTTAAATTTAAGATATTTGATATCCTAACGAACAGAAAACCCAAAGAAGTGTTATGTCTGTGTATAGCACATCCAAATCACAATGCTTTTCAAAATCTCAAGGGCTCTACTATAATGGAAATTAAAAATAATTGAGACTTACCTGAACACGCATGGTAGTTTTTCATTTAGCAAAGCTGGGAACACCATCTAAAAATAATCTGAGTTTTCTAAATTAAGAACTGCTGTATTTCTCTTTACTTCTGCTCTCAGCCTACCTGGGAACTGTGTTTTTCATTTAAGGTTGGGTACAATTCTGGGTTACAAGCTAAACTCAGAATGAGGAACAGTCATTGTTTTTTAATCCTGAAATCCTAGGTGTGTCATCTGATAATTGTAGCTATTACAGTGGTACCTCAGATTAAGTACCATATTTTTCGCCCCATAGGGCGCACCGGCCCATAGGTAAAGGTAAAGGTACCCCTGCCCGTACAGGCCAGTCTTGCCAGACTATAGGGTTGTGCGCTCATCTCACTCTATAGGCCGGGAGCCAGCGATGTCCGCAGACACTTCCGGGTCACGTGGCCAGCGTGACAAGCTGCATCTGGCGAGCCAGCGCAGCACACGGAACGCCGTTTACCTTCCCGCTGGTAAGCGGTCCCTATTTATCTACTTGCACCCGGGGGTGCTTTCGAACTGCTAGGTTGGCAGGTGCTGGGACCGAATGACCTAGTTTTTTGGGGGGGAAATAAAGGGAAAAAAATTATTTCCCCCCCCCCCCAGGCGCGGGGCTGGGGCGGGGAAAGTCCGAGCTTCCCCCAACCCCAGAACAAGCAGCTCTCCACAAGCCGCGGGAGCCCAGCGCGAAGTGGGATGCAGAGGAAGAGCCTTCTGTTCCTCCTCCAGCTTTGCAGGACAAGCGCATGGCTGAAGGGTCGCTGCACAGTTCTCCCTCTCTGCACAGCGCCTTTCCTTCGCAGGAGAGGTGCTGCGCAGAGAGGGAGAACTGCGCAGCTCCCTTCAAGCGAAGCTGGAGGAGGAACAGAAGGAGACCCTTCTGTTCCTCCTCCGGCTTCGCAGGACAGGCGGGTGGCTGAAGGAGGACAGGCGGGCGCAGTTCTCCCACCTCCCGCAGAAGCCGCGCACTCTTTAAAGGGGCTGTGCATCTTCTACTGGCTTTTCTAGGAGGTGGGGGATTCCCCCACCTCCCGCAGAAGCCCGCAGGAGCCCCGTGCTCTTTAAAGGGTGTGTGGCTCCTGTGGGCTTTTCTACGAGGTGGGAGAAGGGACTGATGCGGCCAGTCAGTCCCTTCTCCCTCCTGGGGAAAAGCCCGCAAGAGCCACATGGAGCTTGTGTGCGGCTCTTGGGGGCTTTTCCTGCCTGCCTCCCCCCTGCATTCGCCCCATAGGACGCACACAGATTTCCCCTTCATTTTTGGAGGGGAAAAAGTGCATCCTATAGGGCGAAAAATACAGTACTTAATTTGTTCCGGAGGTCCGTTCTTAATCTGAAACTGTTCTTAACCTGAAACACCACTTTAGCTAATGGGGCCTCCTGCTGCTGCCGCGCTGCTGGAGCATGATTTCTGTTCTCATCCTGAAGCAACGTTCTTAACCTGAAGCACTATTTCTAGATCAGCAGAGTCTGTAACCTGAGGCGTATGTAACCTGAAGCGTATGTAACCTGAGGTACCACTGTATATCCAGCCTCTCTCCCTCTCCCTTTTTACTTTTTAACTGAAACTTACACAGGGGCTTATGTTCTAGGGATAAAGTCAAAATCACGTATAGTCTAAACCCATTAATTACATGGCAGGTGGCATTGCCAAAGTATTTTTTACTGCCCTGGCTCTATGTATACAATTTCCACACTGCATACTCTTTACTAGAGTTGGATATGCCATCTGAAGAAAAAAAAGCCACTGAAAGCCTTCTCCTCCATAGATTTGTCAAATCCTCCTTCAAAGTCATCTCAGCTGGTGGCCATCACTGCTTCCTGTGGGCGTGAGTTCCATAGTTTAACTATGTGTACTTCATTTATCTGCAATACCTGATTTTATGAGAAAAGAGATGAAACTATAGTTACTTACCAGGACTGCCTTGCCATGGTGGCCTTTTAATTAAGGAGACGCGAATACCAAAGAGGCTGTGAGAAAGAAACTGTTGAACAATGCCTATGCCCAGCCCAAGCAAGCCATTCACAGTAGCACAGCAGAGGGGTTTGTGATGTCCCATGATAGTATCAGAAAGCAGCCACTAGATGCCATAACACTGTTTCACTACTTTGCCCACACTGGAGGCTGAGCTTGTCACTAAGCAACGGAGAAAGGGAATTCAGATATAATTAGAAGATCAAGCTTTCAAAGCAACAAATTTCTCCACCAGACAACTTCCCTTATGCTCACAAGGACATAACTTACCATTTTTAATACAGTGAGACACAATGACACTTTGAACTGAGCCAACTGTGAGTCATGGTTTTGTCCTCTACAGATGAATCATGAAAAACACTCCTTCACCTGCAATTCTGCCTTTCTTTGGTTTGTATTATCCCAGATCACCTTTGCATCCAAACTGGCAAACTCTGGTTTGAACTTGCACAGCAGACCAGGACTGTAAACCAGATTGGATACTGGTTTGAATTGCAAGCACAAGTAAAAGTTTACCAGTTTGTATGTAAGGGCACGCTAGGAATACAGAAACCAGGGATGGATAGAGGGGATTACAACATACAAATGAAGTGACCATTTTATACTGATTTACAGATAAATCTGTAAATCTGTAAATAATCTTCCTACAGCTGACTCCACTTGCAAAGGTACTGAGCTTTGGCACAGAGAAAACATCTTTCCACAAAAGACAAGATCTAGATGCTTGTATTATTCTTCCAACACAATCTATGACTCTTTACTTGGAAGTCTTGCTAAGTTCTAATGGAGCTTACTTCTATGCACCCTTGTATTCTATGTGAGAAAAGAAAATTCTCATATGGAGAAGACTTTGAACTTTGGAGAAAAGGAAGAAAATGTATGGGTAAGATAGAAAAAATACAGCACACCCTGCAATATATTAAAATATTTATTGCTTTCAAATGCACAAACTTGTTTAATTAAAACCCGGCAACTTTGCTAATGCAAAGTTTTAGAAACATTAAAAAAATCAGCAGTCAGCAAATTCAGCAATTTCCTTTGATGCACAGATATATTCCAATTAACACCAACACAGTACAGTATAGCTAAAAGCAAAAGTTGAGCTGCTCTTAGTACTCCGATTATCTCTTGTAATGCCAGATAAACCGGAAACAATTCCTTTCTCCTAATGTAATAGACCAATGAGCCTCATTTTAATTATCTAGCTGTATCTTAAGTTCTAATAGATAACGCCAGCGGAAAATTTAGACAATCTCATTTGATGAATGTTACCTTAAAATATTGTCCACAAGCTACTAAAATCTAAATTAAACCTTTTAAAAAACCCAACTAAATCCTTGTTTCTTCAACATCCTTCATTGAATCTTAATGAGCCCCCATAACACAAATAATTCTCCACTCCAGCTCCTGCACAGCCATTCAGTGGAACACTGTGTCAAAGAGTAAGGGTTTCCTTTACATCCCTTTGAATTGTGTTCTTTTCTTAATGGGAAGGCTTCCTAGCAAGGGATGCACAGGTGAGAATAGGGTCACAATTCACTGAAGCTAGCCCAAAGGATCACATTTCCAGATACAGCATGAGGGTACTGCTAATTAAAACACAACATATTTTTTTTTAAAAAAATACAGTTTGGCAACTGCAGAAAGGCAATGATTAAATTTAACCTGAAACACAAACACAAGAAGTACTGAAATGGAGATGGCAAAAACTTTGAAACAAGTGTAACTAATTGGTTGCTATAATTATTAGAGATTGCTTATGCATTGGAAATAATTTCTATTCCTAACCTGCTCATAAACTCCTTAGACGTTAATGGTGAAAATCCTAGATTTGTGGTGTGTACTCACAGTTGGTGACACCAACATGGGAAAGAGCCACATTGCGGACACCTTTCTTTTGGTCTAGAGTCCTGACATCACTGGACTGGCTCCCATTCCATTAAGATGACGGGAGGAGTCCCAAGTATGACTAGAATTTACCCGAAGGGGGACAATATATTTCAGTTAAAGATTATATGCAACATGAATTATTTTATGTTGTCCTTTTCAATTAAATATTTGCTGACACAAGAGTGAAGAAATGCAGTTGAGAAAAATCTGAGATATGCTATCTTAAAATAAAAAATAAAGCTACATTATGATTTTGCAATCAGAAAACTTCATTTGAAATAATACCATCTACTTTAGTAGATCTGACACTGATATTTTGGTTTTATCCAAAAACAAACAGATAAGCCAGCTTCCAATAACTTCAGGGGAAATTTACCTTCAGAAAATTTTCTCCATATGCCCTAAGAATAAAGCAGGTGCAGAGTTCTGCGCCCTTACCACACTAGCCCAGTTTGCACAAACAATAGCTCAAATGTGAAAGTATGTGATACTCACAGAGCAAATTACAGCTGCTTTGTTGCAGCACTACGCAGAACTAAGCCACTTTTTGACTTCGTGTTATGTCTGAGCCAGTGTTCATGGGTTGTCTCATTCAGACAACTATACTCAGGTTTTGATGTAATGCCAAGTCAAACCATAGTTTGGCTTACCTGTGTGGACCATGGCAGCAGCAGGGTCACAATTTTTCCTGCGAATACTCAAACACTTGTAAATTCAATTGGCCATGGTTTGGCCTAGATTTACGTGCAAACCAAGGCTATGTGTGAGAAGCATGAATCTGCTACTCCTAAAAACATAATAGTACCATTTGGAGTATAATTTCCTCCTACTGGAGTTTTTAGTCACATTGTGTATCATGGCTCTTAAAATTCTTTTTAAATATTAAAGTGTTTGGTTTTTTTAGAACATCCACACCCCTACTTTTGTCTCAAGACAAAATTGCATTAGTAAAACAGAGGTTTATGGTATTTTATGGAAATGTACTTATGGCTTAGAAACATTTGCCACTAGATCAGTGAAAATATTTCAGTTATCATGGGGCTGGTAATTCACCTACCAATTATCATTAGTATACTACTTAGCATACATATTGGATCAGGGCAACTTTAGTCCTCAATATTAGTCCCATTGATTTCAGGGGGACTAAAGTTTGGCTAAAGTTTAATCTGGATGTAACTAACCATGGGAAAAGCCACATATAAAATGCATATCAAACTGCTGATCAAAACACAACATATAAAATGTATGCTGATTTAGGAACATTTACAAATTTACCATACAGGTAATTTATGCCAGAGTCAAAATGACTTCACAGTTTAAAGAAAGTTTTTTGGGAATATGCTTCCGGCTCAAAACACTGCAGTTACAATCAGTTTTAAACAGATTTATTTCATAATCTGTAGCACGTAAAGAATGCCAAGATTATCAACAGTCACACATACTTTGAAATCTGGAGAAACGTGTAATGATTTAAGGTTTGTTCCATTTGTATAGAATGTTTGTAGGAGTTGCCCAGTAGCTACATTCCACCACTAGGAGGAAGAGAAAACAAGTTTTCAATTAGGAAGCAATAAATCTGAATGTAGCATGTTACAGATATGATACCAATAACTTGGGAGTCCCACTCTAGATCTACACATTAAGTGCACACTATTAATTTCTCAGATGTCATTTTCAGAATACAATGGTTGAGGACAACTGACTGATACAACATTTTAACATCTTTAAACCTTTTGGATATATTTTCTATTTGCAACAAAACACTAATGAAATCCTGACAATTTACTATGTATTTAGAGTTATTTCACATTTTCACATTTGTTAATAAATTGCAAAATAATTCTCCTTTGGTACCCATTCTTGTTGAACTTACCTGAATGCATCCCCCAGAAGAAACAAGTATCTGACTATCAGGGGAAAAGCGAAGGTCTGTTACCCAGCCTCCGTAGGCTGATTCTCCCTCACTCTTTGAAGCATGGGAATAGAGGTGAAGCAGTTCTCCTCTCAATACATTCCAAACCTGAGACACAAGCAGTACAAAAACAGACAAAAACAGGATAAGGTTGCAGTGTAACTGTAGTTATGTTCATAGTCCCTTAAAATCAAAAAATAGTATAATTATCTAGTCCAGTCCCCTGCAATGCAGGAATCTCAACTAGATAAAATGACCTTGGCACAGAAAATTTCTACAAACCACAAGGAAACCTATCCCACACCTGAGGTCAAGACAGGAAACATTTTTAACTCCATGGGCTCAACTTTGACAGGTGGATGACTTTACCCACCTGTCAATCATGTAACATCACATGTCAAAATCACTTGTGCCCCCTTTTTAAATCCGCCAGTCTCAGAAGCTTAAAAGGGGAGTGTGGGAAAACCCACAAAAAGCCCTTTAAGTCCCTAACCTTGGAGCCTTAAAAGGGGGAGATGGAACTCACAAAATCTTTTGCAAGTCTCCCAGTGCTCCCCTTTTCAGCCTCTGAAATTGGAGGAGGCGGCGAGAGGCTTACAAATGGCTTTAAGGAAGCCCCCATGCTCCTGTTTGATCCTCAGGTGCTGTCTCCATGAGCTGCTTCAAAGGGTGCTTTGGCACAGAGCTTTCATCCCAATTTAGCTGATGGTTTTATAATATGAAAACTAATAATTAAAAAACCCTGCTGCCTTTGCTGTGCAATCTTGTTTTTGGCTGGGAAAAGAATTGCATAGCTAATGCAGGATTAAACCGTATCTGCTTATGAGCACAGTTTGAGGGAAATGGTCTCAAGGGTCCCATGGCAGGCCAAGACTGGCCACAGGCCAGAGATTCCCCACCCCTGCCACAGGTGTTTCTGACATATCTGTCAACCCTGTTCTCTGAAACATCCTCAACTTAACAAACATTTCTGAGCCATGCTATATGTACTTTTCTGCCATTTAAACTCATTACCTCATGTGCTAGCCTTCATAAAATTATAGATTTAAAGAACTGTTTAAGAATTCTCTCAATTCACTTGTGCATGAAAAGTATGAAAATTGTAAATAAAGGCTACCACCTTTTCTTCCACACCATCTAAGCAGTAATGACTAATTTTAGAGTGTCACATATTGTGCTTACAACCAAGGCTCGATGCATACATTTCTTTGCACTGTCAGCCCTAATCCTCTACAAGTTTGGGGCAACACTGAAGCCACCAGTGGCAAAACGAGCATTCAAAGGGACCACTCTATACTGCATTCTCTATGTGCTCTCATTAGTTTTGGAGAGACAAATCACATGTTAGAAATGAATAGCTGCATGGGACAGAAGGGAAAGATTAATCAATGCAGAATGACATAAAAATGTATGCATTTATCAAGATGCAACACATATTAACAACAAAACAGTGGAGGCAAGTAAGTCCCACATTTATATGTAAATATGTTTATGATCTATAATGAAGAATTGCCTTCCTTTCCCCAATACCCTTTAATCATTAATCCTACTTTCCTTTGGATTTAATGCAGCCTTTCTATTTCTAATCATCTTTTTGTTATCAGAACTGCACCTGACATCCTTCTCCAACTCTGTTAATATTCTTGTTGCATTGGAATTCTAAAACCTGTACGCGGTCATCCAAACCAGGTCTTACAGTACCAAAGAGCCACCACCTAATTTGTGAGAAACTCATGTGTCCACTTAACTAGCCGATACCTGCTGCAATAACTTCTTATGCTAAATTTTTAAATAAATCGTTTAAAAACAAAATGGAGTACCCGTATTTCCCCATTGTCATCTCCTGTAGCTAACAATTCATTGTCAAGGGAGAAGGCACAGCACCTCACACAGCCGTCGTGACCATTCAGCTTATGAAGAACCAATGAACTTTCAAAACTCCATACCTAAAGATTTAAAACATGAAACACGTTGTTAAATTATATTCCAGTATTTTTAGGTTCATTTTGAGCTTCCTACCTGTAAAAGATATTTGGACTTTAATGACTCAGATATGAAAATTGGTTAAGGTACTCCCACAATAGAAAGCAAGCTAAACTTTTCTACACAGATGGTTTAGGACAGAGCAAAGTGCAGAAGGTATATAAAGGGACAACCAAAATGAGAAGTTAGGTGGTGCACCTTGCAAATGAAAGCTGACGTGTTTTAGGTTTTTGTTTCGTTTTAGATTAAACAAGACAGCTAAGGGAGAACACAGGGGTTTCTAAGTATGCCTGGTGCTGAGAAAGTGGACAAAACCTTTTCTCCCCCTCATCAACCAGTAAAATTATTGGAAGCAGATTCAGGACAGACAAAGGAAAGTACTTCTTCATGCATCACATAATTAATGGAACTCAGTGCAAGAAGATGTGGAGATGGCCATGAGCTTGTTTAAAAACATGAGATGGTTTTAAAAGAAGACGAACGCATAGAAGTCAGATCTACAAAGGCTATGATTGCCATGGAGGCTACACAGAAATTCCGAAGCAGTATGCTATTGAATCTCAACTACTGGGGAGCAACAGCAGGAGAGGACTATTGCCTTCAGCCCTGCCTCTGGGCTAGGAGGCATATGGTTTGCCACTGTGTGAAGCAGGTTACAAGACTAGAAGGACCTTTTCTCTGCTCCAGTGAGGCTCTCCATATTACTGATCTTTTGACTGAGGATCTCCTAGGTAAACCTGTAAATATTTCTTGGAAAGTAGCTTTCCTATACTGCCTTGCACAAGAGAACTGTCCAGGGAGCTGCATCTAAATCCTTAATTTAGATGTTTTATTTCTGAAATGGGAGAAATAGAATTGTAGCAAGCCCCTGTAATATACCATACCTGGCTAACTGTATTCAACTGAAGTTAAAAGAAGAGAAAGCTGATGGGTATTTGCAATTGTTTGTACTTCATATTTCCCTTGCCATTGTTAGAAATTACTTGTTTCAGAATAATGATGACAATTTAAATTACAAAAGCCCAATGCTGCTTTGGCCAAACTCCTAAAAAGACAGTTGAAGGAGACATTTTGGCCTTACGCTTGGAGGACAGGTTTTATCAGTCCAAGATTTACTCCTACTTGATGTTTCTCCCATTTACCTGGTAATCTGGAACACGTGAATAATTTACGTGGTAAAGGTAACAAAAAAAAGAGAGAAGTAACAAGACTGAAAGTGGAAAATCTTCTCTGAGCCACTTAAAAGAGAATGGAAAGGGCTAGGGTATAAATAACTATGGAGTCATATGATCAGTGATAGGAAGTGATTTGAATCAGTTCCCCCAGATCTGACTTCACCAAATACATGTTTGACAGTGCACACAAGATACAGGGGCTCATTCCCTCTAAAGGCATTTGCGTGCATGTCATCCCTACCCCCGTGAACGTGTGCATTCCGTCAAATCCATTTCCAAAGAAGCTGGATGAGGATGCAAGCTGTGTATGCAGGTCTCAAATTCCTTGTAACAACCTGGCACAGTGCTCAACAATATGTCATTTCACAGGGGGAAAGAAGAGGGGGGAAAGAGTTCTGTCATGCCCTTAGGTGCTGCATCTGGAGTGGATAGGATTATGTCCATTGGATCTCATTGTATTTAGAAGAGGGGCCAGGACTAAGCTCATAGGTCATGATTAAGTTAAGAGTTGGCAACTTTTAAGATCTTTCTGATTATCAGCAAAATACCATCAAGCATTTATGTAACTCCTCTACTGAATTAGGATAAAAATGTGCTAAATTCAGAGTAGATGGTGCTTTGTTTTAGCATTCATTTGTAAACCTGTACTGACCTTGGCAGTCTTGTCAGCAGAGGTAGTTGAAAACATAGTGGTATTGGGTGAAATTACACAAGAAAGAATAGTGTCTTCATGGCAAATGATATCTCTCTCAAGTTCTCCTGTAACTGTGTTCCAGAGCTGTAATATTAAAATGTGCCAGTAAACAATAGTGCAGGTAGAAGGGCTTATAAACAGTACACAGGTGTTTGGTGTTTTTGTCTTTCAAAATACTTAGCAGTAGATGCTTTAAAAAAAAGTACGTACTTTAACCACTGAGTATTTTGCAGTCAAAACAAGACTCGTAAATAGTGTTATCTAACTTTGAAAACACAACAAATATGATGTTCACATGATGTGCATTTCTTTAGCTATAGGCACAAATCTAAGTTGTCAATGCTTAGGTTTTTTATTTACCTTAACTGTCCCATCAAATGACCATGAAAGAAGCCCTGAGTGTTTTAGAAGGTGAAAATTCTTGACAGGTTCCTTGTGACCTTTCAGGAGAATAAATTCCTCTGTTTGCCAATTCCACACCTAATAAAACAGAAATTAGAATAGAGTATGGGAATTTGGGTTCAACTCTGGCTTGCTTTTATGGTGAAAACAAGACTTATTTCTTTAGTAAAACAAAAAACCTTCAACTTTTCTTTACAAGACAATAATACTACTCCCACAAGGTCTTTAAACCCCCTTCCAAAAGAATTCTTTGATACCTAAGAAGCATTTTCATCTTACCCTCACAAAGCACCCCCAAAATAAATAAATATCAAGCTTTAAACAAAACATAAACTTTGCTGGATTGCACCTAGCTTCTTCAGAAATATATATTCTCAAGCAATAGTTTAAAATGTTTCACACCTGTATAGTTGAGTCATCAGAGCTAGAAATGAGTGTTTTCCCATCAGAAGTAAACTGGCAGTGTTGTACAGCTTCCTTGTGTCCAGTTCTGGATTTTAAAATATTCCCACTTGATAGATTTAATACCTTTTAAAAATGGGATCAGACAACAGACTGTTGTGAGTTCACATCACTTACAGATTGAAAGGAAATAGAGATGCTAATCCACAAGTATATTTTTAAAAAGCAGTAGTATAATGAATGAGATTGTGTTATAAAAAAGCTACTTTAAAGCAAAGTTTCCTCCTTCATTATTTTAACCTAAAACAACTAAAAGGAGAAATTATAAATGAAACATGCAACAAAAACTTCCTGCATGATCTATGGCCAGACATATGCATAGCAATCCATATGGGCAGCAGATATTCTTCTTTCTACTTCATTAAAGGTAAAGGTAAAGGTACCCCTGCCCGTACGGGCCAGTCTTGACAGACTCTAGGGTTGTGCGCTCATCTCACTCTAGAGGCCGGGAACCAGCGCTGTCCGCAGACACTTCCAGGTCACGTGGCCAGCGTGACAAGCTGCATCTGGCGAGCCAGCACCAGCGCAGCACACGGAAACGCCGTTTACCTTCCCGCTGGTAAGCGGTCCCTATTTATCTGCATGGCTATTAAAAGGTATCTTTTAAAAAATGCATTCTTACTGAAAAAATTACACATTTATAGCAAGTATTGTATTTATAAAGTGCTTGATTATTTACTAGAGAGCACAACCAACAGGCACTTTATAATAGGTAGGTATACATAAAAAATACATGATGCAAAAAGGAAATTAATGTATTCATTATCAAAGCGTGATGCTTCATAACTGGATTTGAGAATACCAGAAAACATACTGAGAGAACCTTAAAAACAAAGTACAGTTCAGTTCTAAGTACAATATTCTTTGTATATTTGACTCACAACATGTACAGGAATCTGGGAAAACTAGTTTCAAGGAAGCGGGAAGTCTATTAGGGGACCTCAATGATCCAATGCAGCCTTTTATAAGTACAGGTATTGCAAACCATTAGGTCTTGGGACGGAGAAATTCAATTAGGGAATTCCGTCCTTTTCCTTGGGTAAATTTTCAGGAAGAGGACCTGTTTAATTATAATGAAACAGAAAATTATTTTGCTTTTATATTTATTATATTGCAAAACTAATATACTTTTCTGCAACAATATAGTAAAGCATGAACTGAACATGAGGAAGGATAGCTCAGCTGGTACAGAATGAAACTCAATCTCAGGGTCATTGATTTGAGTTCCACAATGGGCAAAAGATTCCTGCACTGCAGGGTGTTGGACTAGATGATCATCGTGGTCCCTTCCTACTCTACAATTCTATGATTCTAAGGAGATGATCATCAGCTTGACTTGGTGAATAAATCTCTCGTCCAATCCCAATGTCATAATCTAAAGTGGCAGGCAATTTGAGGAGAACTGAATATTAGGTGCTTGATGGACCTAAATTATCCCAGAATAGAGTATTTTCCAACTGATTGCCTGCTAGTGTTTTTGCTTGTGAGATTCTGAGTGACAGTTTATCATTTTTTGTATAACAGCTGAAATGATCACTATCAGAGAAGCCAATGCCTAACTAATCTCAACTACTTTACCTTTACTGTTCCATTCTTCTCCCCAAATGCTGCAGTCTGAAGGTCTTCATATAGGCAACAGCAGCTAATGAAAGGCTCCTGTTCTTCAGTCTGATAAACAGTCTGGCCTGTGAAGCCATTAATTAGCTGCAATGCAATGGCATAATTGGAAATTATTGTACAACACACACACACACACACACACACACACACACACAGCTTTAACATAAAAAAAGCATCTGACCCTCTCCTCTACTTCAGTAGTGATTTTTAGGATTACTGGCATATTTATAACAGTTTTATCTGCCCTCCAAACCAAGAAACTCCAAAATACATGGTTCTATGATTAGAAGTAGCAGAAGAATTTAAGGGCAAACCACCCACAATTTCACTTTAAAAGGAGTTCTTCCGTATCTAAAAAAACCTTGCAATTATTTTTCACAAATGCTTTAACTATTCAGCGGTAGGCAGACATGAACACCGCCATTGCACAGCTGCAACCTTTTTTTCCCTGCTTCACAAATATCCATAGCAACGCTAACAGCAAACACTAACTGAAGAACAAAAAAGAACATCACCACTTTGATCCTTATTTATAAGTCTGTTACAAAAAGGGTGGCCAAATTGGATAATTTTGCTCTTCAAAACAGTTGCCTAATGGTATTTCTTTTATACAAACAGGAAAAAAAAAAGTTTATGACATTTCAGTCTCATAGCCCTTTGATAGGTTAGAGAAGGGTTTATAGAAGACCCTAGCAGAGTCTCCACATGGAAGACGGAAGAAAACAAAAAAAGGGGGAACCGCATGCAAAAACAGTTTTTCTTTACCATTTTATACTGGGAGATTACAAGAAGGGACAGAGAACTTATGAATGTGCCCTTTATTCTTTTCTCCAAGCCTGCTTCCTATGCTGAGGTGGGAGTATAGCCCATATATTCTGAACATCACAGGAGACACGCTAGTGATAGGGTGGTCCACAGGAGCTCTCAAAGTTCCATGGGAGAATAAGTGGAATAGAAATGTGTAAAACAGAGGCATCTGTATTGTTCTAGTACACACATTTCCAAGGAAGTTTCAATGAGAAATTATAAATGGAGATACAATTTCTTAACACCTATTGAATTGAGAACATCTCTTCTTCTGACGTTCTTTTGCTATTAATAGTTCCAGTTCTTTCATGCACTGTTACTGAAGAGCTCAGCCTTTCTGCCAGTTTGAGTATTCCCCCAAATTCATACTTTTCAAATCTTCCTTTTGCCTTGGATGGTGAACTAGGCAGAGGCTTGGGAAACCACGGCAAGAGCATCGGTTAGCTACTTCAACTCCAATGACTCTTGCATAAAATGCAAATGTCTTCCTACCTGTCTGGCCCCTTACAGGATCAAGCTATTCAGGAGTGTCTGCTAACTGGCTGTCTGAGAACCCTGAGGAAGAGCAACTCCACACCCTGAGGCACTGTGAAGCCTAATGGTACAATCAATACTGGTATGTAGCCAGACATCAGCACCTATTGGCATTCATCAAGATGAAGGATTCAATCAACACAACTTGATTTATGCGCCACACATTTTGTACTCAGCAAACATGGTTGGAAAACTCAGATCCAGCTAGTGACATTAGATGCAGGTTTTTTTCCTCTTCAATCTGGGAACCTACTCTTCTCACTTAACATTTTTTGTCTGAGGGCTGCTTTCCCTTATGGACAACTTTCAGGGGTGGGGATGGCACATGCCAATGTTGGCCAGAGAAAAAGGCAGGAGGAGTAAGAGAGGCATCTATTATCTTGGGTACTGTAGGCTACATTCAAGTCATACAAGCCAAAGCTTTCTAAACGTTCCATATGCAACATACAAAACATACTTACTTGCAGATGCTTCATGTTGTCAATAGCCAAGATGAAAACTTCATTAACAGGAAACAAAACATCTATTTCACGTTTCAACACAACAGCAGAGGACTCACACACCTTCTTTGTCTCCCATATCTGTTGAAGAGAAGAAGGATATAGCAGAAGTTCTGCAATGTCAAAAATTTAAGACTTTAGGGCACAAATTGGAAGTCTGAATTTAGAACTGCATTTAGTCTTTTAAAAATATACTTTAAAAAATATTGCTTTCATGTATGAAGTTACTTAATGCAGGCAGGCATTTTAGTTTTCAGTCACTTAATCAAACTACAATTTTCTCATATGGTCCTCAGTCTAATAGATTTTTTAAAAAGAGGTTCCATCATTTGTAGAGTTAGGACCAGGGTATTCTCCATTGTGGCAGTCAGACTATTCCAATTTCCTGCCAAAGACAACTTACTAGCCCCCATCAGTAGCCACATTCCACTGACAAGTGTACACCACAAGTAGCCAGTGTAGATGTTGCTGGAATGCACTCAATGGGCAGGGACGATGGGAGTCCAAATCTAGTATCTGGAGGGCACCTTACTAGCTACCCATGATGCAGACCCTCCTGTTTTAAAAGGTCTTTACCAGCAGTTAACAATGCATGTTTCTATTTGCTGAGTCCATTTCCAACCTGTGGTGTTGCTTTTTTCTACTTTTAGGGGGAAAGGGGAGATATTTCTGATACTATGGTTTACTGTTTTTATTGCCCATGTGTACTGATTCGCAATTATGGACTAGTGCCTTCTGATTCACAAAACAATCCTAACTATAAAAAGCCAGCTTAAGTTTTACCTGTTCCAAACGCCACCCTTTTTTTGCCAGCTAGGTTCTGCTAGGTTGCTAGATCACATGACCAAGGTAAAGTGGGTTTGGAGTGTCTCTCCTTGCTGTCTGCTGCCCCCCACCACACCCCAGGAAAACCGCTTTGGGGGGACTTGCCTCAGCTTAAGTTCTGCCAGCTGAACCAGGGTGAAGGAGTTATGCCAGCATAACTCCTGCTTAGCCAAGACTCAGCCAGAAAAGTATAAGGTCTACCAAAACCAAACTCATCCTGTCAATCTGAATTGTGCTAATAAGGTTTTTAATTTTAGTGTTTCTATTATATTAATTATTAATATTGCATTTTAAAGTAGATGTCTTTGTTCAGGAGAGAATGATAAATATAATAAATGTATATACAGTATTTTATTTTCAAAATATTTTTCAGTAATAAGGAATTTAAGAATGGTGCAGGTGACATTTCCCCAAATACGCCAAAGTTTCATGAATGCTTTGATTGTTACAATTCCTCCTTTGACTCAACTCATAATAAATAAATACCCAGATCTTGGGAGTCTATAACTGGATGGGAAAGCTAAATCTTGCTTTATTAAAGAAACACAATTCCCAGCAAATATTTGAAAAAGAATAAGCTCACCCTTATTGTCTGGTCATCAGAAGAAGTGAGAAATAATGACCCATCAAGTGAAAATGTCACAGAATGGACCCAACTCATATGTCCTCGGCAGTCAGCAATTTTGGAAGAGGATTCAATATTCCATATCTAAAGCAAATTCAGAACAAACTAATTATTTGCAGTTTTGGTAGCAGTTTGGGACATCTATTCACTTTTAATCAAAGTGTGCTTAGTTTAGAGTTAGTGTCTTTATCCATCTGTGAATGAAACTTCATTTGGGAAAATCCGCATTAACATACATATATGAGATTTTCAAAAGAGAAACAAAATATTCCTCCTATCTGCCTCACTATTTCAAAGTTGCTATATTAAGACATGCTTACAAGCTGCATCTCATGGCCACTATTGAATACCCCATATAACATGACCAAGTGGACAGAAGCAAATTAGCTCTGAATTGTTTTGGTATTTGTTTGCAGAAACATAGTGAATGAAGAGTGCAGTGGTTGACCATTTTTTATGAATGACTCTGACTATTTTTCTAGTAGAAGATTCTATGAAATGTCACTGTTTTGATTTAATATATCACAGACTAATTCATTTGATTGTTAAAATATGCAGATTACTGGTTTAAACTGGCACTCTTACATGATATTATATAAAAGTTTATTTTTCTTTTGCTGAAATTGGTAAAGGATTCAGAAAATTGATAAAAGATCACTGAGATACATGAGAGAATGAGGTGACCAGTAAAACCCAGATAACTATTGATTAGCCTCAACTAGATGGACACATAGCTGAATTAAGTGAAATTCTTGTGTTACCCGAGCATCCCACAAAGTAAATCAGTGGAATCCTATGCATGATTGCTCAGAAGTCAACCCCACTGTGTTCAATGTACTTTACTTCTAGGACTGCATGGTATTTTTATGCATACACAGCTATATAGAGGCAACAGGAATTTCCTGCTCTTAAAAATGTTCAATTCAAGGATGATTGCCGAACTTTAAAACGGGACTGAGCTCACCGACCAGATGAGCCTTTGAAAAATGCAGACTATACTAGAAAAATCCATACTCAAAAAGATTCCATTAAGCAGCGACAGAGGGATTCTTTCATCATTCTATGCTAAGGGGGTGATTCAGAAAGGTCAAACTCACTTGCTGAACAGTGAGACTTTAGAACACGGAGAATACATATGGTTTTTCCTGTGAGTACTGCCATAACTCCCAGGGCTCTACTGGAAATGGATTAGGAAGGCGACACTGAGGCATATTACAGATCTTTGATCAAAATTTAACAGCAGTCATGTGTCTTGGTTTTGATGAAAGTAACTCTTTGATGGAAAGTAGTGCTTAAGTGATATTCTTAACAGCAGAACAGCAGTAGCTTTTGGCAAAAAGATGATCAATTTGAATTAGCTCAAATTGGCCAGATGAGCCCAATTCCACACAAAGGTTAACATTATAGCTTCCTAATATTGCTTTGGGTCACCTAACTCAATTCCATTTATTCTGATGGGCAGCTGCTCTGTTTTTCCCAGGTCTTTCTAGAGGCAAGTAAAGGTAAAGAGACCCCTGACCATTAGGTCCAGTCGTGGCCGACTCTGGGGTTGCGGCGCTCATCTTGCTTTATTGGCCGAGGGACCCGGCGTACAGCTTCCAGGTCATGTGGCCAGCATGACTAAGCCGCTTCTGGCGAACCAGAGCAGCACACGGAAACGCTGTTTACATTCCTTCTGGAGTGGTACCTATTTATCTACTTGCACTTTGACGTGCTTTCGAACTGCTAGGTTGTCAGGAGCAGGGACCGAGCAACAGCAGCTCACCCCGTCACGGGGATTCAAACCGCCGACCTTCTGATCGGCAAGTCCTTGGCTCTGTGGTTTAACCCACAGTGCCACCTGCGTCCCCTTTCTAGAGGTGCCAGGGATTAAACCTGGGATCTTCTGCATGCAAAACCTGTAATCTACCACTAAGCGATGTCCTCTTCCCATTCTGAAGCTAACCACCAGAGCAAGAGGAAATATGAAGAATGGAAAGGATTTACTTACATTTTCTTAAATATAGTGACTTACCTCAACAGAATAATGTGATAAAGCAACTGCAACCATCTGGCTGTTGGGACAAAAGTCACAGTACTGAATAGTGCTGTGGTGGCTTATAAGAACCTCTGTCAACAAATCACTGGTCTTAACGTCAAAAAGCTGTAAACATAATAGCCATATTAAACAGCAATCGTAAATGTCACATGATTTTACATAAATATGTCTTTATACAACAACATCACTGAAAAGAGTTTAAACACCAAAAACATATTACTTAATTCTTTCAACGGGATGCAGGTGGCGCTGTGGGTTAAACCACAGAGCCTAGGACTTGCCAATCAGAAGGTCGGCGGTTCGAATCCCCGTGATGTCCAGAACCCCAGAGTCGGTCACGACTGGACCTAATGGTCAGGGGTCCCCTTACCTTTACCTTATTTCTTTCAACAGTATATTGACTGCCAGAGGACCAATTTTATTTTATTAATTTTTTTATCTGCCCTTCCCCATAAGGTGCCAGGGTCTGTTGCAGCAATAAAATATACAATTAAAAAAGAAAGTTAAAAAAACACACCTCCATATATAAAAATTAAAAATGTACTTCCAATACAGATGCAGACTGACATCTTAGCATTCTCCAGAGTGGCTGGGGAAACCCAGCCAGATGGGCGGGGTATAAATAAATTATTATTATTATTAATAATAATAATAATAATGGGAAATTGATAGCCAATTATACAATAGAATGTTTAACAGATTCAGTGTTTTATAACTATCCTCAAAAATAACACTATTTCTGTAAACTATAATTAAAAGGCTGAATGATGAAAACTTGAATAAAAAGTATTATTACATCAATATTATCTCTAAACCAGTTTAGGAATTTGAGTGTATGTTCTTCAAAACACTGCTTACAATTTTAATTTTATGTGTGTTATATTTAAAAATCATTAAAATCCTATCCTCTAACCTACAACAATTCCACTCCCGATGTTCATGGAACTTGGTGGAACACTACCAAAATCTTTTGGAGTTATTTTCCTAACTCCAACTTATACTCTACTCAAAGAGAATTTAACATTCTATAAATCAATACAATTTATTCATGCCTTCTTACTGATAACTTAACAAAAATAAAATGATCCTTTTGAAGTCTGTGAATGCGCTACTACTATATGATATATGTTCTCTGAGCAATTTAGTAGAAGTACGGCAAAAATTGCATTTGACCATTTCCAACATAACAAAAATCATCTCCTAACTGCAATTCAGAGCCTGTGAGATGGCAGGACTTACACTCGCTTGTGGACATCAAAACTACAGTAGGGAAGAGGACCAGTGCAAAAGAGCCATTCCTTGTGGGACAAAACTGCAGCTCAGCAGAGGCAACTTGGAAAAGTCCTTTGATAAGTCCCTTTGAAAAGTAAGTGTGTGCATGCGTGAGAAAGTGTGGGCACAGAACATAGGATGCTGCACTGCACTGAAATAACTTCTGGTTGGAGACCAGCACTTGGTTGAAGGCTCTGCATCATGAAGTCTAAGCACAAGTGATGTGTTCCCTATGTTTCTGTTGTTCTCTTCTCTTTCACTATTGCTCTCCTGCTCAATTTTAAAAATAAACACAAATGGAAAACAAGATGGTGTCTCAGAGGAAAGAAGTCATTACTGACATACTTAAGTACTTACAAAAAGCCTGTTTTTCGCTGCCACCAACACTGTAGTTCCATTAGATGACCAGGAGCAACACTTCACTAAGACTTCCACATCATCCTGGTACTCATCCACATTTCTAAAGCAGTCTCCTATGTCAATAGTTTTCAGTTCATTTGCCGAATGTGCATACCAAAGCTTTAAAAATAAATACACTGTATTAAGCATTTAAAAAATGAATCTGAGTAGAAGACAACATTAATGCTACCTAGTGATTTGTAAAATTTAATTTTGCAAAGGTATTTATTCATATCCAATTATAGCTGCTAACAAAACAATTTACTCTCTCCAGTGATCTATAGACATTAAAGTCAACTGTCTGCTTGTGGAATTAGAAGTAAATTTTTAAAAATTGCAGCATATTAAAATCAAGCAACTAAATTAATGTCAGACATTTTATATTTGGGCTGATTTATATCTGAAATATTGCCAAATAATGAACAGAGCTCATAAATGCTTTTTGTTTGAGAATACCCAATACTATTTTTTTTCAAGTGCAAGGTATTTGTGAATAACAGGGACATCTATATTTATAACCTTTTCAATGTAAATTTCAAATGTATTTTAGTTATAAAATGCCATCATTATCTTTCAACGTAATCTGCTTCAGAAACATAAACAAGGCAAGAATGAAAAATGAAGAATGCTATAGTGACACATGTATATGAGACTACATGAGAGTAATGCAGAGCTCCTACCATAACAAAGTCTCTCCCCCACAGGAATACTACAAGAGATATTCAGAGTAGACTTCAATAAATTAATGGACATGACTAACTTAGGCTCATTAATTTCAGTGGGTCTACTCCAAGTAGAACTTATCTAGCTGCAAATCAATAACAAATCTTGTTTATCTCAACCAGTAATACCTGCTTTAGCACTTAACTGTCTTAGTTTCTCTCCAGCTGGGTTTTCTTATAAGTGTGCAACAGAGAGTGAAACTATGGCTAAGAATTTATGGGCACAGTGCAGGATTGCAATCTCTGCTTTTGAAAAGCATTTAATTCCTGGACTACAAAATCAAAAGGTTATTGAATCTGGCTTTAAGTACTAGAAGTCAAAGTTTCCAAAGCATACCTTTAAAGTTCCATCTGCTGAGCAACTAGCCACATACTTATCATCCGGTGAAAATCTGCAGTGAGTAACAGAACTACTGTGACCAAACAGTGTATTACGACACTGTTTCTTGTTCAAATCCCAGAGCTGCATATAAGAATTGGGGTTGTGGGGGGGATAGAGTAAAAAACATTTGAGTTTCTGCATAAAAAAGTGGTTGATTCAGTTTCTATCCTCAAAATAGCCACTAGTACAAATTTCTTTTTTGGGGGGGGGGGGGGGGGGAGAATGCTGCTTGCAATTTTCAGTATGAACTTTCCGAATTTCCTTACCACAAACTGTTCTGCAGTTTTAGAGTACAGTATTTTGTTTCAGAGAGTAAAGTTACAGACCATATTCTGTTAGTGCATTTCATTCCCTTAAATCTGTCTGCCTACCCTTATATACAGCACCTCAACCCCTAAGTACATAAAAAACAATGACAGTTATATAAAGTCTCAAAATATGAGACAGATTTGCAGATAAGATAGGAAGCAGTGTGGGAGTTCCTTAAAGCCCATCCAACATGAATTAAGGATTGCTGGAGCAAGCAGCAAGAAAGTAAGATGTTCAGAAGCAGCAATAGGCATATGCATGCATGCACGTATTTAATAAAGTAACCTTATCTCCCTAATTGAACCCTAAAGGCCAGGAGCAAAGTATATATGTGAAACATTTTACAAATGGTAATATAGGACAGACACTATTAAATCAATGAAAGTATATACAAATCAAATAGAGAAGCCGAACTACTTCATTTTATTACCTTCATTGTTTTAGAGAATGCCTTGAACAAACACATTATCTGACCAATACTGCTTTTAACCTGGTATCTGAAGTCAGGAAGTATTTGAGTGGCCTCAGGCAGAGTTCTATAGCCTGGGTGCCACTGCTAATAAGTTCTCTTCCCAGGTGTTTTACCACTGCAAATGGGAGAGCAGCCTGGAGTAGCTTCCCCTGACAACCAATGAGAACAGGTAGGCTCATATACAAGAGATCCTTCAGATATCCTGGTTGAAAACAATTTATTACAAAAGTATACATGGCAAGCAGGAAGCAACTGGATATGTAATTAATGTGCAGTCCAAGAATGAAAGCCTATGAGTGACTTCTGCAGGAAACTTGGAAAAGGAAAGTAATGGACATAAGGAAGCAAGTCTGTAATTCCTTCTCCTACTCTAACAAAGCCAGTAATCATGCAGAATCCAAGTGGCCTCCAGTGGCTAAGGTAAAGGATACCAAGTCTGCAGATCTGAGGTAAATTTCCATGGATACTCTCACCACCACAGAGTATGAAAGTGTACAAATTACAACTGTAAAGTAAGTGTAACTATAAATATGAATTCTGTATTTTTTACTTACTTACTTTGACAAAAGTGTCATTTGAACATGTAGCCAACAGAAATGGGCGGTGATTTGTATTGTTAAACTGGCAGCAGTTGACCTGCTCTGCATGTTCTTCAAACACACACACAAGCTGGCCTGTTCTTGAATTCCAGACCTACAAGTAATTTAAATAATAATAAAAAATTTAAGTAAGTGTTTTGAAATATTTTTCAAATATATACACTCTAATCAAACACTCATCTGGACACTTGGCAAAGCTTTCTAAAACATTTTTTCTGCATGCAGTACATTTCCTGAGATCTCCACATTTCAATGATAGTGGAGAATAGTTGAAAAAACAGTTTTCAGCATGCTACTGTGATTTGGATAACCAAGAGTTACCAGAGAGTAATCAGAATGAGTTGCAGAACCTGCTTACTGGTTTGACAGGCAGCAGAGCTTGTAGCCCGGCGTGGCTGTGGGCATTGGCGGTGGGGGGGGGATCCTTTTGCTCTTGCACAACTAAAATATCTCCCTCATTGGCTTTGTGGGATGCAGGGAAAGTTCATGAAATTCAAATTGGCTTGGCCAATCACAGACCACATTTTAATTTAAACGGCCCAATCATGGGATGGCTTGGGGGTGGGTCATTCAAGGTAGACCTGAGTGAAGCCTTTTCCTGCCTAGCTTTCAAACAGGCTCATTTCCTTTCTATTCAACAGCACAGTCTGCAATGAATGTCTCTCCCTCCCACCCTAAAGTCTGCCCCTTCCTGAAGGAGATGTACAGGAATTGTACAGATGGAATTTGCGGAGAACCTAGAAGGCATTATAAATATAAATAATACACTGAAATACAAATAGAATGAAAATCCAAAGCACTAAGCGTAAAAACAAAGCAATTTTGTTATTTTCTAGGTGTGAGAAATAACAGCGATGGATTTAGACAGGGGAGATCTTGATTCAAATCCTGGCTTCAATCAGTCATGAAGCTCAGTGGGTTACCCTTGATCCAGTCATATCTCACCACCTAAGCTATCCTCATGGGACTGTGGTAAGAATAAGATGGGAATGGGTGGAAGAAGGACCATGTAGCCCAACTAAACTTTCTTAGAGGGGGAAAAAGGAGTATAAAAATGTAGTAAATGCCAGCATAAAATAAACTACAAAGGGGGAGCAATATCTTATTATATTTGTTGATCACAAACTGACTGTGGGCAAAATGCAGCCACAAACAGGGCAAATTAAGTTCCTACATATATTAGTGTAACTAGATGTGACAGCAGCATGACTTGTTGGAACACATCATGCTGATTTAACACAGAGAAATGTGATGGCTGGGAATAGAACACCCTCACGCCCCATCACCTCCTCATACTTTCTTTTCTCTCAGAGAAGGAAGGACTTCTAGTCTGAGAAATCACCAGAACAAAGCAATAGAGAGTTTGGGGAGAAAAGCCATCTTGTATGCTATCTTTCGACATGAAAATGCCAACCTGTACTCTAAAAGTATACATCTGTCGCCATCATGTCTAAGCTGACGCTCAAGCAAAACATGTCTAGTAGAGACAGGGAAGTGTCAATGCGATTTTAAAAATTTGGAGCACTAGTGTATACTATTTGTTTAAAGATTTGTCTTGTAAATATGCCTGAAGGAAAAGTTAAAATAAATTTAAATACTTTAAGCACTGATATCTTTCCATAAGTTCCTGATGAGGTCTCTTCTAAAATGCTAGACATGGCTTTACTTATCCATCTTTCAAAAGGATCCATTCACGCTAGAACAGATTCAAAGAGCAGCAACTAAAGTTCTAATCCTAAGAACACTTACTTGGAAGCCAGTCTCACTTGTGATCTTCCATTATCTCTTACTATTAGTCATGCTGTCTGTAGCTCATGAAAGTTGGGAGTCCAAAAGCATCGGGCGGGCCACAGGTTCCTCCTGCCTCATCTAATGCTTCCCTTTTGGAAAGACAGAAGGACCTATAGTTCTGTTTTCTGCAGTGTCTCCCTGTTTGTGGAATGCTGTCCCCAGGCTCCAGGTGAAAAAGTTCTTCTTCAACCAAGCCTTTGGCTGATTAATATTCTGTGCCCTTTTAAATGTGTTTGTGGGAGTGGGGTTATTGTTTTGTTTTTGTTTTAACTATTTTGTGCTTTTATTCTGTATTTTTATTTTGTGAACCGCCATAAGATCAGATGAAGGGCAATAGATAAATATAATAAATACTAATAATATAGAAGTTTATATATATATAGAAGATACAATAAAAATACTGGGCTAATTTCAAACTTAGCATTTCATTCATGGAAGAAATTTTTGTAAAAGAAGTTTGATCTAACCTATCCAAGTTATTTAAAATGTATGAATTTCTCAGTTACCTACAGCCAGAAATGTAAATAGCTGTATAGGTTCAAAGGAGGATAACTGATATGTCATCATTTGCTTACTTTTACTTTTCTATCTGCTGAACAAGTGGCAACAAATCTGTCATCTGCTGAAAAAGTGCAACACAGCACTTCGTCGTCATGAGCTTTCACTTCCAAAAGTTTTTCTCCACTTCCAGCTTTAAACACCTACAAATGCAACATCACAGATACTTATGAAATCATACATTAAGTTTATTTTAAACATAGATATTAAGACTGTTGTGTTATTCTTTTACCAGCTGCGCTGTCCGCATAACTGAACTTTTATTAGTTTAAAAGGAAAAGGGTGGAAGGAAGAGAAAAGATGACCAGCAATATTAAATGTGCACCAATATATGCCATAGAAATTTCTCCTTTTTTCAAAAATGGTTGTATTGTGTGGCTGGAAAAACTCATTGGCATGGGTAACAGTGCCACCCTGTGGTCAGAGGCAGGAAAGAAAACTAGAGGGAAGCAGGCAGCTCCCTGAATCCAGTTTGCATCCTTGCCAGGCTCGAACTGGTTGTTTCAACAAGACCCAGAAAGACAAAGAAGAGAAAAAGATATCAATTTCCCTAACAAAAAACAATTATGTACATACCTAGAGTAAATTTAAGTAATTGGAAAGCAGCCAAGAAGCTAGAGGTGAGGGCCTGAGGAGCTTTGTCAATCAATACAGAACTACCATTCAGATAGGAACCAACAGTTCTTTCTCATATTGCTGGAGGACTTCATCAACATGGAGTGTACGAAAGCTCCTCAAACTAGGGTGGAATATGTGGCTACTGGAGGAAGCAAATAGCTATAGCTTAAAAAGTGAAGCAGGCTACGTCCTTCTCCCAGCCAGGTGGAAGGAGAGGGGAGAACATATGATTCCCAGCAAAGCCTGTGTGTAGTATACCCTGGCTGTGTTTGCATGTCACGCTGAACCATAGTTTAGTTCAGGTTAGGGGAGGCTAACCTGCAGCTCTCCAGATGTCGTTGAATTACAATTCCTATCAGGCTTTGCCAGTATTGTCAATGGCCAAGAATTATAGGAGTTGTAGTCCAGCAGCTTCTGGAAGGCCACAGGTTAGCTACTGCTAATTTAGCATGGCACAAAATAGCAGCAATTAAACTAGAGCTTACATGCTCAGGATAGAGTTCAGAAGCTTTCACTTCTGTTTTAGCTTAACAATAGCTTGCTGTGTCATCCAAACCAAAAAATCATGGCTAATGTTAATTGTGGTTCATTTTAAGCAAACCAGCTAAAAATATACCTGTATATATCTTACCTGCAGCATTTTATCAGCTCCACATGAAGCTATTCTTTGTCTATCCTGGGAAAAGCAAGCATGGTAAACAGCGTCTGTATGTGGACGCACAACCAAACGGTACATGTTCTTCATGGATTTTTTATTTCTATATTATAAAAAACACACAATATTTTAGTTTGTAAATTTCTGGGGACAAATTTAAAACATATTTCAGGAAACAATATATATTACCAAATTTTGTTTTTGGAAGAACAGTCACTCACTGAAATATTTATCGTTCTTTTAACACATATTGTTTCTTCACCAACAGGTTATTATTTCAAAACTGCCTTGCAAATTTCATCAATTTCCAACATAACTTTAATTTCCTTCCACATCATCATCATCTAGCTGCTCTTCAAGTTCACAACAGGACACTGTATTTGAATTATATTTGTTTGCATTTTAACTAAGAGCCCAGCTGAAGCAGTACAAAAAGATGCATGTTTAATCGCCACACACAAGAGTATTGTAAGCTGCCTTGTACTCAGTTAAATCCTTGGTGCATCTAGCTAAGTATACATTAACAGGCAGTGGTTCCCTAGGAGTTTCAAACAGAGGTCTTTCCCAGCCCTACCTGGAGATAACAGGGATTGAACTGAGACCTTTTGCACATCAAAAGGCAAACACTGCTGGTTTCTGCTCAACTTTTATAAATCATGCATGCACAAAAACTTCTGTACAGCACTGGGGTAAAAACTGTATAGACATTTATATTTTGGGGGGTTGATTTGGACAGAATATTATTCATAGGTAAAAATGCATCTGCTTACATCCATTCCACATAAAACGATCCTTTCTCAACTTCTTGCTGAGCTTTTAGCTTTGCTTGCCGATAGACTTCTGAACTTTCTGGTTGACATAGACCCAGCTGTACAATGTCTGGAAATGGTTGCCGCCCAAGGAGGTGCCCATTTAAGGATAGAAATTCCTGGAAGTTTTCACGTGCAATGGCATCCTGTGAACAATATATATCTTATCATAAAGAAAAGTGAACCTGGACAGTATATAAAGAGAGGCTGCTGGAAGTAGCAAGCATCATCCTGTAATAAGGAGGAAGCTAGACTAGATGAGGCCCCTCAAACATTTTCTGACTCTTACCTTTGCCTCTTTCCTCACTCCTAGTTCTGTTTTCCAACATTGCTGAAATTCTGATTGCAAGCTTCTCTCATAAATATATATATATATATATATATAGTTCGTAAAAATTTGCAAAGCACCATGTCAACTGCATAAAACAATAATCTAAATTGTGATCAGCTTCTAGCGAGATGCCTTGAAGCATTTAAATACCTTATGTTCAGGAATGAAGCAAATCACACAAATTCTGTTAAACAAAACTAGATTAGTGGGAGTCTAGTGGAGCTAACTGATCAGAAGGGTAAACGGGACAAAAGTTTAAACTGGGATGTTAGACGCTTGACAATATAAATGGTACGCATCAGATCCTCCAAACTCTTTCTGTTACCTCACTTATTAATATAATCAGAATCTGTTTCTTTTCAGAAATGCAGATATACTATCTCTAAAGTCTTTAAAATGTCACCTGTTCCACACAAGGCAGAATTATCAACTATGCCAAAACTTGGATGCATTATCACAACAAACTTATCTTTAAGTGAAATAAGAAGTGCAAGTCATGCAAAGTATAGTTGCTAATTTCTCACAGTATACCTTTTCATCCAATATTTGACTGTATTCAGCATATTCATGAATTAAATGAGCAGGTCCTACCAATTCTGTTTTGGTTTTAATCCAGTCTAGTGAAAACATGAGAGCACAGAGTTCCTAGAATAAGAAAATTTCTGTAAGTAAATAGTCCTATTTGTAAACTACACTTAGTGCTATTTCAAACTGTTACTTAGCTTTGCATTTTCAGAAGAATAAACTTCCTTTCTATTATAATGTTCCAAAATTCATTTATAAAGTGATAACACTTTGGAAACATTAACAACCATACACTGTTGCACATTCTTTCATTATTTAACAGATTAGCTAATGCTTTTTCAAATCAATCTCTTATGCATCTTAAAATGAGTATTTTCCTTGGCATGCTTTTTCCAATTTTCACAAAACTAGATGAATTGTTACCATTCAATTCACCATGTAATTATGGTAAGATCTTCGAACACCTGTGTTGTGTTTCTGCTGGCATTTTCTTTAAGGAGTGCATTCTTTAAGGAATGCAAACCAGACCACTAAGCAAAACCATGTCTAAGTGTAAACAAGCAGTGGTGAGGGTACTGAAGAGGAATAATGTGACTGCTTTGCTCGTCTCCCAGTCCTACTGCTGCTGTGTAACCCAGACTAAGCCACGGTTTGTCTAGTGGAGACATAACACAAAGCCAAAAACATTGCAAGGAGGAGCAAAGCAAATACAGTTTTCCTCTGAGCACCTGCAAACTTGCTTATTCATGCATAGCAATAGTTTGACTTACTGTTACTGAAACAATTTGCAGTTATATATCCTTTTTCATTAAATTAAGCTTTTTCAGTGTTCAATGAGAAAAAAAGAATTGAGAATTTAAAAATACCTTATGTTGTTTTATGTATATTATTGTATTTTAGGTAATTTTTATCATTGTTTTATATCTATTTTAACCTTTGTTTTGGGAGTTGCTTTGAGTTCAGTTTTTGAAAGAAGCAACTAAATAATAATGAACAACCACACTTCCCTTATATGCAGAAGATTGATATAAGTGCAGACTTACATTGTGCATATTGGCACTTGCCATGTGGTAAGCCAGAAAATTATACCAGTACATGCAGTCTTCTTGTGATGGTATATACTGTTTATAACATTTCTTGTATTGATCAACTACTTTTTTATGTAGTGCCTAAAAAACACAATGCAATTGTTAATCTTGGGCTGAACTTATCCTTTATGTAGTCATTTTATTGAATTAAAATAACTGAAGCTGTCCTACTGCTACAAGTATACACAGGGTTGATAATTTCACTTGCCCCGCTCACCATGATGAGAGGGGAGCCAGGATCTGGTCAATGTACAAGAAGACACTGAAGTTGGAGCTATAAGCATGCTGATATGCTGCCTCTTTCCACCTTAAGCTCAGATCTGAGAAGGAAAATGTTTGGGTTTCCCTCCTTGCCCAAATGGTACTCCAAGCGTGCACTGGGCAGAGGAAGAGCAAGCCACTGCAGCTCCAACCTTCCTACAGCGAAGAATTGGAGACAGGAGGATCTGAACCTGAAGGGTGCTCTGGGCTCAGTGTGTCCATTAGCTGCGTAGGTTGAGCAAGCTGATACACTTCCATCTCCCCCTTCAGTTTTGTAGCAATATATCCAATGTCAAAATCAAATTAAAGAATTAGAATTGTAGAGTTGGAAGGGACTCTGCTGGTCATCTAGTCCAACCCTCTGCAATGCAGAAAAACCGCAATCCTAGACAGCCATAGAATTGGACAGAGGGCAAGAGGGCAAACAGCCAACCACATTTTAGAAGGGTTTTTTTTTTTTTTTACTACAGTTGATTACTCAGCAGAACTGACAAGCCACTCACCCATCCTTCCTGCACATGGCTGTCAAAGGGCCAACCTAGTTGATACGTTAAATGAATGCACTGGACATATGTGGTTTTTGTTATTTCAATAGCAGCTGCCAGAGAGGGGGTTGATACACCATGATGGCACAACAAAGCATACCCACCCTGCTGCTGAATTGCAGCCAAAGGCTTCAATCCAATACGACTGCATACTCCAAGCTTCTAGGTAACCTAGTTTCTCAAATGACTACAATGTGAGAAGCAGCTTGTGTAATAAGGGATGAATAAGCAGAAAGACCTGTCCCAACATTGAAATCAACAAAGGATCCACAAAGTTTTCCCCCAAGCATATAAAGCCACTAGACTGAGCTTTTAAAATCCATCTTCCCCCACCCATTTTAGTATCATTTCCCAATATTTCTGAAATATTAAGTGCTTTCACAAAACAAGCTAAAATTATGGTCCACAGATGGCACAGTACTTTCCTGTATAAGGAAGCCCATTTTAATAACCATAAAAAGCAAATAAAACACTTTTTTTCATTTCAAACACTTGAGGAAATTCAGAAGAATTTAATTTTTAGATACTTCTGTTTGATTATTAGCAAATATAAGTGATTCCCCAAGATACTCCCTCCTCTTGGACTTTGCTCTGCTAAGGAATGGGAAGCATACAAATTATTGTGTCATACAATAAACCTGCCAATGTCATATAGTGCCACTATTAATCTAACTAAGCATTTTACATTGTGCTGTATCAAAATAGCTTTATAAGTTGAATTATTATTCAATTAAGAAATTAGTACTAATGGATATCTAACTGTACAACTAGCAATTTAAATAAGAAGATTTTGAACACTGCGTAAGTACATTTTTAAGCTATGTCTAATTCTTATATAAGTCACCATTAGAAATTCAGAAGCATACTTGAAGCTGAGAGCGATTCTTCTCTGTTAGAAAGTCAAGCTGGAGATCATGCAAGTAATACTGGAATGATTTTCCATTCCGATCACAGAACAGGAGAGATTTGTTAACAAATTCTTGCAGTATGTCTTCAGCTTCCTCTGTCTCCATATCCCAAAGAATACAGAATACCTGAAGTGCATTTTGAAACAAATAATTGGTCAAGTAGCAAATACTTTTGATGATAATCTAATTCAGAATTTAAAATATGCAAATTAATCAAATTTCTATGCAACCAAAGAAAACCAATGAAATCCATAAAGTTTTCCTACGTATCAATAGGAAGAGCCATTTTTAGCAAGGGGAGCACATTCCATCATAAGCAAACCTCTGGAGGCTGTATGTCAGTGGTAGATGGGACCAGAGGCAGAAATTGGTAGAGCAACTGGTAAGAGTCTTACCTTTGTACACTAGACTACATTCCAAGCATGAAAAATAAGGTTTCTTTCTCTCTCCCCCCGCCCTGCCCCAATCCTCCATCAGGCAAACAAAAGGCATCATCACAGTTCTAAGGTCAATTCCAAGTCAGGTAGAAACACCAGTGCGAGGCTCAGAAAGCGTCCTTCAGATGGCATTCAATGCAGCACTCAGGCAAAAATGTTTTCGCAAAGGATAATTCCCCACACCTCCTCCCTAGTGAAGGCCCCTAATTAAGTTTCTTCTGAGGGTCATGGATCTTGCTAATATCAGTAGAAGCCTTAAGCACGTACTTCTACTACAGTGGTACCTCGGGTTAAGAACTTAATTCGTTCTGGAGGTCCGTTCTTAACCTGAAACTGTTCTTAACCTGAAGCACCACTTAAGCTAATGGGGCCTCCCGCATGATTTCTGTTCTCATCCTGAAGCAAAGTTCTTAACACCAGGTACTATTTCTGAGTTAGCGGAGTCTGTAACCTGAAGCATCTGTAACCTGAGGTACCACTGTACTAATTTTATTATTTATATCATGCCCATCTGACTGGGATGCCTGGGTCCCAGCATATATAAAAACATAGTAGAACACTAAACCTTAAAAAGCTTCCCTATACAGGCCTGCCTTCAGATGTTTCCTAAATGTTATATAATTACCGTATTTTTCGCACCATAGGGCGCACCTAGTTTTTAGGGGGGGAAATCAAGAAAATTGATTTGCAGCACAAGGCTAGGGTTAGGGGGTCTTAAGTCGTGTTTGTTTGTGAAAACTGTCCCCAGTGCAGGTGGGGTAACAGCAGCCAGGATTTGGGGCTGCAAAGAGGAAGGAAACAGACCATGTGGGAAGCGGGATTTAAATCCACACTCACGCGCTTAAACCCTGCCCCCCCCCCGTAAACGCTGCTAATAAAATCCCCTAGCACTGCGGTGGGTTGGACTAGATGACCCTTGGGACCCCTTTTAACTTTACAATTCTATGATCAAAGTCGGACATCTATGATTCTATGCTTCCCCTGTGGCTGCTTCAAAGTTTTAAAAAAAGAAAGAAAGTCGGGAGATCCCATCGTGCCTATTTCGCGTCTCCTTTCCCGGCTGCCTTCGCCGCCTCCCCCTGCAAAAAAAGGGGGCGCTTCTTCTCCAGGAACCCCCCTCCCCCAGCAGGCAGGGGTGACGTGTTTTGGCGTGTTCCTCGTCTCCCCACCTCCGCCTCGCCTTCCGGGTTCCTTCGCTCCCTCCCCTGGCCGTTTCTGAGGTGGGTGCTGGCAGGGCTTTCCTTGGAAGAGCAATTCCCCCCACGGCGGTGAGGGAGAGGGGCGGTGGGAGCGAGCATTTACGTCGTTGTCAGGCGGAAGGGAAGCGGCCTCACCGCCTTTAAATGGCATTGCTTGTCATCTGAGCATGCTCCTGTGTCGGCAGGCGAGAGAGAGAGCATGGCGCGGGGACACCAGGGGAGCGCGTGCTTCTTTCTGCCAGTCGCCGCCACCAGCCCTCCCTCCCCAGCGCGCTTTCTCGGCTACGAAGCGGCAGAAGCCACCCTCTCGCCCCACCTCCGGTGGCTTTCCGCACACACATTTCCCCTTTTTCGCCCGGGTCTCCCTCGCATTAGACAGAAACACCTCAAGGCAGCGAAGAATAAGCAGCAGCACAAAGCAAGACCCAAGCGCGAGGCGCTCTTTGGGGCGTTGGTTTTCTGATGCGCGCGCTTTTTCTCGGCTTTCCCTTTTTTGCTGCTTTTCTCTTTCCCCCTCTTGATGGCTGCCGCCGCCGCCAAGCCCGCGGAGCTGCTGGGCATCTGCTCGAGCTACCAGGCGGTGATGCCGCACTTCGTCTGCATAGCCGAGGAGTTCCCTCAGCCCACCCAGCCGGCCAAGCTGCTTCGGGGCAAGCTGCGCAGACCCCGCCAGTCGCGCTTCAAGATGCAGCTCTCCCGGCTTCAGCAAAAGGAACCCGAAGCCTTTGGAGCACAACCCGAGTTCCTGTGCACCGACCCCTTTCGCTCTCCAGGCTTCAGCGAAAGCCTGCATTCGCTCCATAGGACGCACACACATTTCCCCTTCATTTTTGGAGGGGAAAAAGTGCGTCCTATAGAGCGAAAAATACGGTACTCATCTCCTTAAATCTGATGGAAGGGTGTTCCACAGGGTGGGCGCCACTACCGAGAAGGCCCTCTGCCTTAACTCTCTCAATTAGATTTAAAATTAGTATGCATTGTTCCCACTACATAGAAACAAAATTGTACAAATATAGATATAATTTTTATAAGAATCTGTGAACTATTTTTCCAACTGCTTTTTCCATGTTTTTCAGCTACTAAGTACTAATATTTAATTATAATATTTGGTATTATTAAGAAAATATATGTACTACTTTTGACATCTTTATCCTAATGTTTAACTAGTGCTCCACTCTATATCAATGCAGAAGCAATTTTAAGAACTGTTCCAACAGTTGATACCCCTAGCAGCTGCATAATGCCCACCACCCTGTGAGCAAACAGGCAAGCACTTCTGAAACAATCTGACCTCTGAGTCTTCTTTGGCTAGTGAGGAAGGGAACAAGACCAAACATTACATATTGCTCTGGTTCGCCAGAAGCAGCTTAGTCATGCTGGCCACATGACCCGGAAGCTGTACGCCGGCTCCCTCGGTCAATAAAGCGAGATGAGCACCGCAACTCCAGAGTCGGCCACCACTGGACCTAATGGTCAGGGGTCCTTTTACCTTTACCATGGCATTGAGAGAAAAGGGGAGAAATTATGCTCAAGGATGGGTCAGTTCTAATGTCACACTCATTACAACATCAGTTTTCTGCAAGATGTCATGGTCACAATTTGTTTTTATGATTTAAAAGTCACAATCTCCATAACCACCACCAGTGTTTCTTTAAAATGGGTTTTACCTTTGAAGGCACTTTAACATCCTTTTGAAGGACAGAAAGATCTCTGTAATAGTCTTTGAAATCTTTTGGCAACATTTCAACACTTATGGACATGGCTTCATCAAGTGCTTCATAATCATAAGATGATGATTTCCTTATTCTTTTAAATTGCTTATTTTGAAGTTGTTTAAGGTAGTATTCCCAGCGATTGGGGAAATCTCTTAATAATGCTCCTATCAAAGATACCACAAGAGGAGAACCTGAAAAACAGGAATGGATGAAATTACTAAATGAAAATTAAACTTTTGATAAAAGAATAGCAAATTGCAAAGAGAATGCTGTGAAGGAAATGTATTTTTTACATTGAGTTGCTCACTGGTCTAGCTTAGACATCAAAGTTAACCGTAGCTAATTGTTTACTATGCACATATAGTGGTACCTCTGGTTGCGAACGGGATCGATTCCAGAGCCCTGTTTGCAACCTGAACAGAACGCAACTTGCATTTGCGGGTCACGATTTGCCGCTTCTGCGAATGCACATGACGTCATTTTGAGCATCTGCGCATGCACGAGCGGCAAAACCCGGAAGTAACCCGTTCTGTTACTTCCGGGTCACGGCAGGATGCAACCTGAAAAGATTTAACCTGAAGCAAATGTAACAAGAGGTATGACTGTACTGATCTCACCCACTTTGCTTCTCTGCACTAGCACATGGGAGAAGAAACCATGATACCTCAGCTTAGCATTATGTTCAAACTGTGGGTTTTGCTTTGTTTTCTCTGAAGCAATGCATGATCTGTCAGTCAAGAGCAAACCTTACATACAGTTTGTAGATTATTCAAAGTGAAAAAACCCCCACAATGCTCAGTTTGAAAACAGCAAGGGATTTCTTTCTCCTACATTTTTGCAAAGGAGGTACAAATGCTGCATTTACAGTAAATCATTAAATATGGTTTATCATGACATGTGAATGAGGTCACAGTCTAGTAAACAACAGATATAAGATTAAAGTTAAAAATGGTTTCAAAATGCAGAGAAAAGGAGCATTCTTACCTTTGCATTCTTTTACAATACAATCAGCTTTTTCTGGTAGTTCTGTTATTTCTATATTAACAAACCGAGATAATATTTCAAGTGATTTTTCATGTGTTAGTCCACTTTCCACAGGAACTTCATATTTCTTGCCTGTGTTTAGAGTTAAGATTCAAATAAAAAAGGAAATATTTAATTTAATACAAGCTACCTATGAATTTACACTGTAATTAGGATTTAAGTTACAACATGGGAATTTTAACGGGGCTTGCTTAAATGTGCTGTATTTATTTATTTTAATTATTTAATTGTTGTTGTTCATGGTATATATGCATGGTATATTCCATAGAACTGTAGAGTTGCAAGGGACCACAAGGATCATCTAGTCCAACCCTGTGCAATGCAAGAATCTTTTGCCCAATGTGAGATTAAGAGTCACATGCTGTACCATCTAAGGTATTATTATTTAATTTCCTCTATTGTTGTCTATCTCTTCCCTAATACAGTTGTCTGAATCAACTATTTACAGTTTTCTCAAATTTTGTATGCTCTTCAGTGTTTCTCACTGATACTGGGTCATTCTGTGAAATTCACTAAGAAGCTAAATTAATAAAAGCTCAAATCCTGCCTTTCTACATCTCTGTCTTCCTGGCTACATAACAGAGATTATGAGCTATTTTTCAAGGACAGTGCAGTTTTTCTCCTCTGTACAATGCTTACATTATTGTTGCACTTAATAATAATAATAATAATAATAATAATAATAATAATATTTTTTTATTTATACCCCGCCCTTCCCAGCCAAGGCCGGGCTCAGAGCGGCTTACAAGCAATAATAAAAACAAGATGAATGATTACAACTTAAAAACAAAAATAAAATACAACATTAAAATAATGGAACATTAAAATATTAAAATGTAGCCTCATCGCAGGAGGAGAAGGAAAAGGAAAGAGAGAGGGAGGGAGGGAATTAAAAAAACCACACTGTACATGAGTAACCTTAAATACTTAAAAGGAGGAAGAAGACGCAATCCTTACCAGCTACAGAATCTGTTACACTCCTATCTCTACTGGTGATAAGAACCTGGCAATGACTGTCAAAGGATTTTAATACCCAGGAATCCCAAATGTCATCAAGCACCAAGAGAGACCTATTAGAAAAAACACACGTCAAGCTTGGAGGCACTGTACACCTGCTTTGAAGATTCCTCAATATGTTAAGAACCAATAGACTTTTCATTTCACTTCATTTTTCAAAAGTGCTCCCTTTTAAATATTTATTCTAAACAAAAAATTGAGTCTCATGTGCTTTATATCCACGACAACTAAAATTGCCCAGAAGAATGAATTATTGTCCGGGACAACTCTCAAGAGCTTGACTGGACTAAACCATAGCAGTTCTATACTTAATGAACAGCATTTTCTATGTATTTTACATTTATTAAACATTTGCAGAGTTAAAGGACATGCTAATATTGTATTCAGTGTTACCCTCATTTGAACATATTTGTTAAAAGATAGTTGTTTTCCAAAAACAGCTAGGTATGTTACAAGAAGCACAATAGAAAAAGCTAAATACTGCTAAATTCTGAATCTGGATGAGTTGAGATCAGCCAGAGATAGCTGGTGACTGTGGAGAAGCCATAGTCTAGAACTAGTTATACTGAATCAATTCAGTAAGTCTTTCGGACATATGTTCAACATATTGCTCATTACAACTAGAATCAAATGGGAGTAAGGAGTTCTGTTAACGACAACTAACAAATCTGGCTCATGCTTTAGGTCAGAGTGGTTTAACATGAAGCCTGCAGGGCAGCCTTTTTTCGGCAGCCCTTGCTAAGTACTAAAGGAGCGTTGTTAGCGCTAACAACCATTCTCTTCTATTTTCAATTAAATATGTTAATTGTGTATACTAAATAATATTAACTATATTGTGAACACTTCAATTTATGACCTGGAAATTGAATTCAGTGTGTGTCCTGCAGGTTCTGTATAGAAGTACTCTTGCAGCCCACTTGGTCTGAAAGGCTGGATCGTCCCGCTCTAGATGAACCAAGCATGCAATCTAGAATTCTTTTCAAGCAAGTAAACGTGCAAAAAATTCACCAATGGTAAGGAACTTTAAATTCACATGCTAGAAGACAGAGCATTGCTAATTATGACTTGGGCTGGATCTAGATACATCGACGAAGCGGTTCAATTTAAAGCATTGTAAATTTAAACAGGGAAAACACGTAGAAAAAAACCATGTTATATCGCACATACAACGCATAAAAATCTCCTTTTCTTTACCAGTCTAGCCAAGTCCTTGGAAAAGTCTTGATTAAGCCATTGAGTACATACATGAAACAAAGACAACACAATTCTAGTAGCTGACTTGAAATATTCAGATATTTCTTTACACTATTGACAGTACCTTGGGTATTTGCGCAAAAATAGCAAACGAAGGCGATCTTTAGCTTCCTCTATATTAAGTGGTGGCCTCTGAGAGTAAGTGAAGTCCTGGTCTAATCTTAGACAGAGATTCTGGAGTTTCATTAACAGACCTGCTTTGTCTTGTTTCCCAACAGAAACCCAATGTACTCCTCCTGGGAAACAATCTAGCAAAAAGATGCAAAGTTGAAATTATAATATATATAGATATAGTTACATGTATGCCTAAACATAAACAAATCTGTTTATTTATTTTAAAAAGCAACAAAGTTAACTGAAAAAAATTCTAAATGTTTATATTTAAGAACTTGTGCCTATGTTGGCTTGTTTTCCTCTCCCCTGCCATGCAATTTACTTTTGTGACATATTTTCTAGATTGTAAGCCTGAGGTCAAAGACTGTCTTGTTTGCTATTGATATTATGTAAACTGCTCTGGGAATCTTTTGGCTGCCAAACAGTGTAAAATGCCTAAAATAATAAATAAAATCAAGCTGTATTAAGAGAAACAAATGAGAACAGGATGTTTACATTCAGCACAAATAGGTATAGGACACATATATTGCATCATTCAAAGAGGGCATATAGGGCTCAGTTCTCAAAGCTCAAAATACTGTTACTCACACCAGATATGCTCTTTTGCTGCTATAGCTGTTGAATATAATACCCTTCACTTTTACAGTGATAGCAGTATTACATGAAAGGTTAGTGTACCAATTGTGTTACAAAAATAATGTAATTAGTTAATATGGTTGCAGCAACATAGCCATCTTCATGAGATCCAAAATACATTTTCAGTTTACTGCAAGTCATAGCTTATTTCATAACTACAGTATTTGCTTCTGTGAGTCAAACCGCACTACTCCTCATGTGATTTTCTAGTATTCACAAATAAAAAATTAAAAAATACATGGTTCAGGCAAGCTATTTTCACCACATATCACCTCTTGTCTGGAGGTAAACTATCCTTTGCAATAACCTCTAAGAAGCAGAACATATCTTATTGATACAAAGCAGCTAGAAATACCTTTCAAAAGACTGTGGTCACGTAATGCTTCTGCCACCAAAACAGTCTTTCCACAGCCTGCCATGCCATAAACAATAACCCATCCTGGATCATTTTTTAATTTATACAATTTCTGTTGAATTCTGTTTGCTAGTTCTGGACGAGTGACGAACACTACTGGTCGCTGTGGAACACCGCCTTCACAGAGAATTGTCTTAACTTAAATTCAAAAACAGAAGATACAAAAAATTAGAAAGAATGTAGACAATATAACTTGCAGAGTTTTAAAGTATTAAATAGAAATACTACACCACCACTCCTAATACACAGAATAGCATCATCACTCATGATAATTTTTCTGTTTAGATGCCAACTAAAAGAAATTTGGCTTCAAATCACCTAGGTTGTAGGTGTAGCAGCCAGCCCTTGAAAAGAAGCACAAATTGCATTCCTCAGCTGTTTGGTATGGAGACAATCCTGGAAGGGAAAGTCAATTTAACCTTAGTCCCAATGTGTAATAGTAATAGTATGAAAATTAAACTCCTACACACAAGCCACAAAAACTAATGCAACCCTATTGTTGACTTACTTTAGTGGATTTGTATATTGTAGATTAAATCACTTGGAAATGAAGGGACCATAGAAATTAAATATATCCTGAAATACTTTTTTCAATAAAAAGCAGAGTACAGAATATTGTCATGCAATGAAGAATAGTTTGTCATACTGACCATATGAAGTTACTCCATCCATAGAATTCTTTCCATTATAAGGGGAAAGAATAGGGATGCCATCCTGGAGAAGGGCAGCAAGATCTTTGTATCCCTCATGAAGCAGTGCATTATAGAAGGATACGTAAGCATAATTATCTTTGGCAAGAATTATTTTTACTAACATAGCTGCTCGTTCTCTCTGTGTAGTCTAATAAGGGAACAAAAAGACAATACATATTTGATACAATCTATCCAACCTTCAGCACTTTTAAGCCCCTTTTCAGGCGCAAGGACAAGTATACAGAGGTTCTGCTGTGATAGTGGGACCTTGCGTTTAAATCTTTTCCACTGAAATCAATAAAGTTTGGATTTAGGTGGATTATGTCCCATACAACAATTGCTAGGTTACTTAGCGAACAATCCAGGCAGTTGTGCACTTTTGCAGTCCAATATGATGCATGTCATATTGTGGGACGCGGGTGGCGTGGGACGCGGGTGGCGCTGTGGGTAAAACCTCAGTGCCTAGGGCTTGCCGATCGCATGGTCAGCAGTTCGAATCCCCGCGGCGGGTTGAGCTCCCGTCGTTCGGTCCCAGCTCCTGCCCACCTAGCAGTTCGAAAGCACCCCTAAGTGCCAGTAGATAAATAGGTACCGCTTTATAGCGGGAAGGTAAACGGCGTTTCCGTGTGCTGCGCTGGTGCTGGCTCGCCAGAGCAGCTTCGTCAAGCTGGCCACGTGACCTGGAAGTGTCTCCGGACAGCGCTGGCCCCCAGCCTCTTAAGTGAGATGGGCGCACAACCCTAGAGTCGGACACGACTGGCCTGTACGGGCAGGGGTACCTTTACCTTTACCTTTTTATGATGCATGTCTATTCCAAAATAAGTCTCAATGGCAGTTTTTGAATGTCATCCTAAGCCATAGTTTAGCTGCAGGAAATGAATAACCCTGGTTTCCTTTTGCACTTTCTGAGCTTCCTCCCAGATGGCCAAGAGTTGTTGAGCAACTGTTGCTTTTGGTTAAGCAGGATTTGTCATGTTATGTGATAACACAGTAGTTAAGATTAAAACAGTTTAGCTTAAAACAAGTCAATTTCAAGTCATGGTTTATAAAATTTGCTCGTTTTAAACTACCTGTGGCCCTCCAGATGTTGTTGTATTCTATCAGTCCCAACCACCATGGTCAGGGGAGATGGGAATTTGAGTTCAACAACATCTGGAGTTCTCAGATTGCCCACCCAGATTTAAATTAACTGTACACAGAAAGCTGTAGTTAACTAAAAACAGAAGTGAAAGCTTCTTTTGGCCACCTGGTAGCAGAGCACAAGCACCTAGAAGAATAGGTTTATTCACATTGTGCTAAACCATGATTTAGGATGACGTCCAAATGCGAGCACTATGACTTACTTCCAGGTAAGCATGTGGCGGGTGGCGCTGTGGGTTAAACCACAGAGCCTAGGGCTTGCCGATCAGAAGGTCGGTGGTTCAAATCCCAGCGACGGGGTGATCTCCCGTTGCTCAGTCCCTGCTCCTGCCAACCTAGCAGTTCGAAAGCACGTCAAAATGCAAGTAGATAAATAGGTACTGCTCCAGCGGGAAGGTAAACGGCGTTTCTGTGTGCTGCTCTGGTTCGCCAGAAGCGGCTTAGTCATGCTGGCCACATGACCCGGAAGCTCTACACCGGCTCCCTCGGCCAATAAAGCGAGATGAGCGCAGCAACCCCAGAGTCAGTCATGACTGGACCTAATGGTCAGGGGTCCCTTTACCTTTACGCATGTGTACATTTGCAGCCTTAATACCATGTACATACCACAGGCACACATCTATAAAGTATTAATTCAACAAAAACACGCATTCATATGAAAAACCATGTATAAGATACTCAGGGAGACAATTGCTCAAACCTATGAAAGAATGACACCCCTCTCCTCAATTTTTTTTAGGACACAGTCTGAGTGCAACCAGATCTTCTAGAAGATGAAGACAGTAACATTTTATTTGACGTAAATTGAGCATGTCTATTTTGCTATGTTTCCTATTAACATTATTAAATTACTGTTTTTAGTCACAGAGTAAGTTATTTTCACTTAGTGGCCACTGAAATAAAGGGGAGAGTCCCACTGATTTCAAAGCCATCTGTCTCCAGATGAAGCTAGTTGCAATTACCGGTAGTTCCCATGGATAGGTAGTCACATGTTAATTTAATGACTAACTATCCATGGGATCTAATTGCAACTAGCTTCATCTGGAGCCAATCCAGGTTTACATTTAGCTAAAAATATTTCTACTTTTTCTGTTAAAGGTATCAACTTTACAACTTCAATGTTCAATGTTCAACTTTGTATTGCACTAATGTCCATGAGAACCAGAAGAGCACTGCATTTATAAGAGAGTCTGTAGGTGCTTAAATATTACAGCAGCATAAAATACAAAAACTGCAAATAGTTTACCTGGGCTTTTACTTTCTCCTCTTCCAGCAATGTTAATGCTTCATCCGCAATCATATGATCCATTATGTAAGAAGTTTTGATATCTCTTTCCAATGCCTCGCAATTCTGAAGCAAATAACTTCGAGCCATCATATCCATTTTTATTCCAACTTGTTTCTTCCTTGCTGAATGGTAACATGAGCTAGCCAAGACAATATAAACTTAGTAAATTTTTAAAAATACCCTTAAAGTGTGTAAAAATCACCATTACATTGTTTCAAGAAAAACTAAAACTGCCAATCAAGTATCAATCAATCTCCTTTACAGTATTGGCATGAAAAGTGCATTGTATTCATGGATCAGAACACAACTGTTAATCAAGTAAAGACTGCTATGGATTCCATAGATTCTTATTAGACATACAACACTTACCAGTATTTCAATCTGCAACTGATTCTGGAGACATCAGTATGTAGGTAGTTTTTTAATTATTCATGAACCAGGGATTCACTGAAGTTTATAATACACCATTCCAAACAGTATTCTGAATCTAACAAAATAAAAAAATCCTTAGAAAACTTTATCAGAAGATAATTCAACAATGCAAAGGAATGATGATCTGAGGTAGGCAAGCAGATATGTGAATAAAAATGTTATTTAATGATCTTGGGAAATATAGATAGCAATACTAAAGAAGCACAATATTAATTGAATCTACAGTAATTCACAGAAAAGAAGTGCAGTCAAATTTGCAGATATTAAAAGTTTTTATACACTTGAAAAAACCTGTACATGACCTATATAGAGTCTAAAAAAACTATTAAAGCCACTGGAAGCTTGAGATTATAAAATTAATGTTGACGAAACACTCTACAGGTTTAAAAACTACTTGATCAAAGTGCTCTCCAAGCAATGGACAAATGAAATTGTACATAAAACACAGCTAAATCCACATGACAATTAAAAAACACACACATCATTATAACACAGATAAAGTTAACAGAAGACTTTCCAGTAGAAGTCGCTGCTAGACTAACGTAGAACATCCATTACAAACTGCTGTAGTACAGTGCAACACACACTAGGAGACTATTGTTTACCTCTTTATACTTTATTGGTCCATACAATTAGTAAGAAGCTGCTGGCAACAGCAACGTAGCTTCCAAGTATAGAAGAAGTTATTTAAAGCACACCCTGCCAGTTATCTTGTCTACCCATCTGAATACACACACAAGCAAAAAACAAACTTGCAAAATAATGTTAAGTCTCCAGACTTCACCAACTGAAGCCATTCTGCTCCAGATATGCAAGGACAAACTACCACCTAGACAAAAGGCAAATAGAGGGATGACATACGAGCTTGGATATTTGCCCACATAAACCATCAGAATTATGCGGAACAAAAGACTTAAGGAAGTGCATCCGAAAAACGGAATAATCTATTGTTACTGGGATTTGCGCTGTCAGGTGCATCAAGTTGCGTCTTCAGGCAACAGATTACCATCAGAATTTAGTGACTGCCCCGGAGATATATGTGCATATAAATGTATCAGCTATGTGATAATACCCAAGCCCAGCCCCTCATTTGCCTTAATCAAGTACAGGGGCGGACTTTTGAGAAGTCAATGGGCGGGCGGCCCACTCCCTCGCCCCGGATAATTTAGCAATGACCCCCCCACCCAAACCGTCTCTCACCTCCTTCTTCCCCACCCCCCTCTCTCGCGCCTGTTCGTGTCTTTCTTATTTTCTCCTCACAAGGCTACGCCCCCTCTGCCCCCCCCACCTCACGGCTGCCGGAAGGGTTACCTGAGGAACACAGGCAGCACCGTGCGCGTTTTGTGGGGAGCGGGGCAGGGGCGCAGCTTCCCTGACAGGGTCTGCTTCTTCTCACCCCGGGTGGGGCACCCAGGAAATAGCGGCCACTTCCTCCTCCCCGGGGCAAGGCGAATGGCTGAGCGGAGGCGGGGCGAGTCCGCACCGCACCTTCCGAGGGGAGGCGCCTAGTTCGACTGAGCCCCCGCCTCTCAAGAAGCCCCCGCGAGGCGCAGGGGGAAACAAAGCCGCGGAGGCTCGTGGACCCGAGTCGGCCGCGGGTGCGCGCGCTGCCGAGTGCTCGGCACCCGCCAGCCAACCAGAAAGGAAGGAAGAAAGCGCGCGCGCCTTTCGCCATCCTCGTTCGTGAATTTCGTTCGACCGCCCCTCTCTCGCGCCCGCGAAGTTAGGCGGGTGGGGTAAGTACTGGCGAGCATGCGCTTTGACGTGGCGCCGAGAAGTGGATGTCTGCGCGTGAAGACCCGGGGCTGAGGTAAAAGTTGGGAGAACTTCCGCTCCCTCCTTGGTAACGGGGGTGGGTGGGGTGCTAAACTAGGGAGCAAGGAGAAAAGGGAACGGGTTGAATGAGGGATTATGAGCATGAAGGGTGCAACCCCAAACATCCTTGCTAGGGAGCAAGGATGTTTGGGGTTGCACCCCAAACGGCCTCGGTCCAGTATACTTGAAGGAGCGTCTCCACCTCCATCATTCTGGCGGGACACTGAGGTGGTTCTGGTGGTTCCCTCGCTGCGAGAAGCCAAGTTACAGGGAACCAGGCAGAGGGCCTTCTAGGTAGTGGCACCCGCCCTGTGGAACACCTTCCCACCAGATGTCAAAGAGAAGAATAACTACCAAACTTTTAGAAGACATCTGAAGGCAGCCCTGTTTAGGGAAGCTTTTAATGTTTAATAGGTTATTGTATTTTAGTGTTCTGTTGGAAGCCGCCCAGAGTGGCGGGGTATAAATAAATTATTATTATTATTATTATTATTATTATTAGTTCTGCACTTGCGTTCCTTAGCGGGCAGGCTTAAGATGCCTCTGTAAGGCTAACGCTCCACTGACTTATTTCCTAATGAAACATGCATAGGATCGGGGGGGGGGACGGGACGCTCAGTCCATTTTTGAAAAGATTTGTAAGTAGCGGGTTGTCGTCCCCCACCCCACCCCCGCTTGATCTATGCAGGCATTCCAGTATAAGACGTTGGAAATATGGCTGAAGTTAAGCAAAGAAGGAAAGCTAACCTTTCAGACAAATCAACTGAAGATCAAGGGAAGACAGCACCGATGTTGAGGACTACTGGTGATGAAAAGTCCAGCTGGCGGGACCCACGAACAGCCTCAAGTTTACTGTCCCTTATAGCTTGCCTAGGGCTGACATGGTAAGCAAAATGACTGGAAACTTTGTCTTTACGCAGATGTCTTCTGCAAGTGATAACCCCAAACCCGTTTCTTCATCTTGAGCTGGTTGGCAGGTTCAGCTTTGGGGCTCACGTCATCTGTCTATACTGTTAAGTATAAACATCATGCCTTAACGGAATCCTTCACATTTGCTCTTTAATTATGGCATATATTTTTATCTGAATTATAAAATCAAGTCTAAGCTGAAATCGTACATGCAATTATTTGAGAATAAATCCCATTCAACTCAACTTACTGCTATCTAAACATGTATAGGATTGGGCTACCCAAGAAATTGCTGAGAGTCAGTTCATTCCAATATTTATGCAGCCATATTTTTGGATTGCAAGTTGTGCTGAAGTAGGTGATTCAGTAACGTGGAAAAAGTCTATTGCTTTTGTAAGTTTGCTGATTCTGTTTTTCTACATTTCCCAGGTGTCTTTTTCAGCAGTCAGCTCAGCTGGCTGAAGTGGAAGAGAAATACTATTTATTAAAGCAGGAAGCTGCCAAGTTTCAAGATACGGAAAATAAGATAAACTTAATATCTGAAAAGGTAATTCAAAAGGGTGTCGTTTTAATGGTGTGGGTGTTTCTCAACTTCTCTAAAGTTTGATATATTTTTCATTAACTAGTATTAACTGTACCTTGCTAGATAAACTACACTCAGTTGCAAAATCAAGTTTAGTAATTACATTTGCCATCCATATATTAAGTCAGTTTCTTCTCTGAAAACCAGATGCTTAAAGTTGCAATCTTATACAAACTTCCTGGAAGTAACACTGAACTTTTTTCTGAGTAGATTACACTTTAAATTGATTTGAACTGCTAATCATATTTGCTGAGAAATAAGTCTGTGTCGTATTGCAGCCACTATTTTACCTTTTGAAACAGTTATAGAGCATAATACTGAATAAATGCTAATTAAGAATGTATTCAGAAATTATTATCAGTAACCCGACCAGAGGCATTTATGCTGTTTGAAATTGCATTCATTTAGATGGCTTTTAAGTTTTACTTTGTATAGTGCAATTACTTATGAAAAATATTCTAATATTTATTGTGTAAGTCTTGTGATCATGAGACTGTAGCTTAAATGGATTGTCTTTTTTCTATTCATGTTTTACTTTCTGTTACGTTTTTTAAAAAACCAACATTCATTTTGCTGCAGATTGCTCTTCTGAATGACACAGCTATAGAAGTGTCAGGATTAAAGTCTGTTTTTTAGCATAGCCCTGCTTCTTTAGTCTCTGCTCATGGCAGTTACACACATAAGTGCTTATAGGATTGCAGCCTTGGCTTCAGCTTTAGAAAAAAGTCGTTGATCTAGGATGACATTTCATTTCTTGTATATTTCATACAAATGTTGCTATTCTAATCACGCCATAAATGGAAGTATGTCCTTTTCAACACTGGATTTTTCTACCATGCAGAAGATCAGGCTTCACAAAGACAGCCTCCCCATACCCTTCAATCTGTTCTGAAGGGTCCTCCAACTTCCCAGAGCAAATTTTTTTTGGGGGGGGGGAGTGTGGTCTGCAGTGGGGGAGACCCATTTGCACAAGTGCGCTATGGGTTGGATGTCAGCCATAGACTTGAGGCTATGTATGCATGTGGATTTACAAAAGCAACTAAAAGTCTTGCTATCCAGTGCCAAATAAGAATTATGTCACGTGCCAGAACAAAGTTTGTTGTTTTAAAACTACAAAATAATCCAATTTTTGAAATACTTCAGAAAAGTCAATATCTGAGCTGAGCATACTGTTTTGTAGAAAATTGCTGCCTCCAGGCTACCTTGTAATGCAATTCATTCCTCCCTATGGCAACATATTGAAGTACATTTGGCCAACTCAAAACACGTTTCTAGAATTTTAATTCTAAAGTGACATTTGTTTAGTTTTTTTCTAAATAAAGCTATGCAGAGTTTTGAAAGTATTCATAGAACAGATTAATAAGAATCAACAAACTGTTAGTTGCCAAATACATGTGGACTCAGTCTCTCTCATATATACAGACACACCCACGCACACATGAACGACTTATTTGGAATATGTATCTTAAAACATATGTTTATCGAAAACTTTGTTTTATATTTTTAAAAAAGTGCAAAATCTGTATTAAGTGAAGATGGACATTGTTTTGTGTTACAAATGCAGTTTGAATCATCTTCGGGTATCCTGCAGGAAGCCTCTTTCTTTCTCTCCATGGTGACCAAGTTTGAACAAGAAGTATCTAACCTCCGTAACATAATAAATGACATTCAGAACAGTGAGCAGGCACTCTCTAAAAGGATGCAGACCACTGATGCAAAATTTCAAAATATAATCAAGTCCTGGGAAAAGAGCCAGACTGAACTGGATACAAATACTAGCAGTTTAAAATCGGAAGCCAGGCTTTTACATATCGAAGTGACTTCTCAAATCAATGCAGCAGATCAAAAACTAAAATCCCTTTCTGAAAGACTGAAAGATCTTGAAGACAGTACTGTAAGAAACCTCAAAACATTAAGTAGGCAAGAGGAAGATGAACTGGCTAAAGTTGAGCAGCAGCTGCAGTCTGATACCAAGGCAGTTGGAAAATTAGAAGAACAGCAGAACAGTATATTAGCCAGAAATAATGATCTGAGACAAAAGCTTGCAGGCTATGAACCCAAACTGGAAGAGTGCAAAACTCATTTACCAGCAATAGAGAATGCCATTCGCTCTGTTGTTAGAATATCAAGGGATCTGATGGCTGTAGAGAAGAAAATGGAAGACATGACTATAAAGGTGTTCAGTGTGGAAGATGAAATGATGAAAGCTGTATCTGATATAATGGACATACAAAAAACTCTTGAAGACATGCAGTATGGTAACAGCCTACTAAAAATGCAGAATGAAGTGCTTGTTTTAAAGGAGAAAGTCCATGACTTTGCAGAATCTACCACAGAAACAGAAAAAAATACAGAAAACTACCACAGTGTGAATGATGAGTGAACTAGTCATAATGAACAGTACAGTATTGCTGAAGCAATTGCAACTTCAGTTAGCTGACTGGTATTCACTGAAATAAGCAAAGTTTTCCCCTTTACATGAGAAAACTTTGAAAAGGTGAAAATACGTTTGCATTCCTGCAAACATGTATTCGCATGTTTGTTGTACTTTACCCCTCAAATACTACATTGTATTAGGAAGACATACAATATCTGTTAATGTGTTAAGCTGTATTATTCAAGTTAATGTACTTAGACTAATTTCAGCTTAAAAGGTTGTTTTAAATGCCTTTGCAGGATTAACTGTTACAAAGTTTGAACACCATGCTTTCAGAGAAAGCAGGTATGGACAGATATAAGATCACAAAGCTAATAGGTATAATGATAAATAAGCATAGCTGTCAACATTTCCCCTTTTTTAAGGGAAATTCCCTTATTCCGACTAGGATTCCTTGCAAGAAAAGGGAAAAGTTGACAGCTATGTAAATAAGGGCTTTATGAAGTAAAGGCAGGGGAAACTATAGATATTTAATTGATATGGAAAGAAATGTAATAAAGCCACAGGCATATTAATTGTCATATGAAAGGTATTCCCACTTCACCACTTGCATATGCTGCACAGAATCAGGTAAGTCAGAAAAATAATAGTTATTTAGAATGAGATGGTACAATTGGGTGTGATTGGTAGGAAGGAAACAATTTTCCTTTGAACATGACTTTGAAAAACCAACCATTCTTCTCACAAACACATTTGTTTTGCTTTAACAGTAACTAAAATGCAGCAACACCATTTTTTCTGGATAGCAGAACCTATTAAAGTACTATATGCTAGTTTTGTATGCATTTGCCTGTGTGCCATTTTTCTGGAATATTGCCACCCAAAGTGTATTTTATTAGAAAGAACATCAGTTGTAATTATAACAAGCTATTATATTATCTTGTTTTGCTTTGTTGGAATACACAACTGTTAAGGAGCTAACTTGTAAAGTGAGGATGAAGACAATGTCTGATTGCTCCTCCTCAGTTTTCACATGTTTTTCTCTTTGTTTCCATACACTGCTTGTTGATGAGAATCAAGATTTACAATTTTCCCCATTGCTAGAAAACTAAATACGCCCCTGCACTCCATTATGCCTGTTTTTGGGACCTAACACCATTGTTTAATAAATTAATCAGAAACATATGTATGAGTTGCACATCCTTTCTCCCTTTAAAGTTTGAGAGAAACACTAAAGAACATATTGTACACTAATCTTTTAAATAAATTTCAAGACAGCTGGTATAAAATTAAAGTGCAATTTTCTTATGATTTTTTTTTTTTAATTCTTAGTGTGAGAAGACATTAAGCTTAATGGAGCAACTGGAAGATCTTCATATAATTGCTCAGATGAAGCACCTGCAGGAGGAAGTGAACACCATGCAGATCTGGTCTAGTAAGTTAAGTCAAGAAGAAGAGGAGCGTCAGCAGAACTTAACATCTCTCTTTCGTGCAGTTACTAAGTATGAGGAGATTATAACTTCAGTAACTAATAACTTCTCTGTAAAGATTGCCGCTGTGAAGACTGATATTAGACGCATTTCAGGTCTTGAAGCAGATGTAAGCTCACTGGTAGAGAATCTACATACTCTAGAAGACAAAGTTGATAAAGCTGAAAAGACTACAATAAAAAGTATAGGGACTCTCCTTACAAACAGCATTGACAGGACTACAATACTACGGAGTTCTGCATCTGAAAATGCCAGACAAATAGAACACATTAAGACAAAATCATCTGAACTGAATTCTGAACTTAACAAGCAATTAAATAAGCTTTTAGATTTGGAAAGTGATAGAGCCAAAGTTCTTACAACAGTAGCCTTTGCAAATGACTTAAAACCAAAAGTACACAACTTAAAGATGGATTTGGCACACTTGGAACCAATGCTAGATGAACTAACATTAAGAATAGGAAGACTGCTTGGGGATCTAATGGAAAGACAGAAAGAAATTTCATTCCTGAATAAGAAACTCTTCAATTTGACTTCTGCTCAGAGTGATGTTAAGACTATGAGTGATGAGCTAAGTGAAATTTCAGATTTGAAATAGTCCTATCACATCAAGCCTCAGTTCCAGCACTGCTTGAGGTTGCTAGGTTACTCTTCAAGATTTAAGTTTTGGGGTTGAAGCAATAGTGAATTTAAGATTACCTGCTTACAGCTAATTGAATTCAGAGTAAAACGTGCATAAGATGGTGCTGTCATGTTCACTACAACTTACACCCAAGGAACTACTGAGGACTGCAGTCTTACAAGTAGGAGTGTCACATATAATTGAGTTACATTCAATCAATGATAACTAGATCAAAAATTATTCTATAAACCACAAAGTTGTATTTGTAAAACGTGTTTCAGTAAGTCTTGAATGGTGTTGGATGTTAAAAAGATGATTGTAGAAGACTAAAAATAGATGAAACCAAAAGAATACTGCAAGCAGAATTCTGCTCAATGTCTCAACACATTGAAGTACAGTAAGGAAATCTTCCCTTCCACATTAGGGGCAGGCTCTGCTGGATCAGCAGCCCTCCCATTTTTCAGGAAAGCTATTCTGGAGGCAAGTTAGAAGATTTGTCTGAATCTATAGATTGTAAAAAAAATAAAAATTATCCATATTTAGAGTTGAGAACTGACATCAACTGGGTAATACATGCACGCACTTATAAGGTATTTAAAAAGTTGTCTAATACCTTTTATAGGTGGATTGTAGAGCCATGTTTAGAGTAGTACTGTATACAGTTTCAGTCACTCCATCTCAAATGAGAACTAATAAAGTTATATAAAAACACAACTAAATGAGTGCGTGGAAGAAAAATTACTAGGGACATTTGTATAAGTATACCTGTGGGAAATGATTTTTCTTCTTTCTTGAAATAGAATTCTGGGTCCCCTAATCAATTCATTGGCAGAAAAATGACTTTACAAATACATCTTGATGGAGTTCAGTTGCATGCAGTATAAATGGTGGCAAACAGATTTTAAATGGGAGGGTATCATTTCCAAAATCCTGAACAGCCACTGCCAAGGTAGATGACCCAATGGTTTGATTTAGGAAGCCATGCAATTATTAGACACTAATCAAATTGAACTTTTCAAATAAATTACATTACTAAATACCAGTTGGCAGTTATTAAAGGAAAGCTGTTACATCTTGCTTGCGGGCTTTCTAGAAAGATGCCTGGTGCTGCTGTAAACAGCACTAGGTGGATCTTTTGAGGGAACAGTGTTCTTGAGTATTTGTAGATGGCTGATAACATACAAATGCATATATAACTATTGATTTTAGTGCATCTACGTGAGAGTATGACTCACCTTGATTACTGCCCACAGCTTTTTATTTCAGCCTCTGACCACTCGGAACTCCTTCAGGCTGGGCATCCATAGCTATGGCTATGCATCCCGTTTGCAAAAGGGCTCTAAACCAGCATATATCCCCATATGTGTTTCACATGCCAATGGACACTCTATAACAGTATCAGGGTACTGCCGGCCCTATTTAGCAATGGATTTATGACCACAGATCTGTAGGGTGGCAACAAGAACAAGCCTTGTCAATGGTGGCTCCCCACTTGTGGAATGCTCTCCCAGGAAAGGCTTGCCTGACACCATTATTACATATCTTCAGGCACATTCCTTTTTAACCAGACCAGACCTCCAGCTTTTAACTACTGCCATTTTGCATGGGTAGGATGTTTTAATAGTGTTTGTTTTTGGCTTTAAAATAGTGTAACTTGTTCTTATTTGCCATGGCAAAAAAGCAACAACATATACTTGCTGATATTGTGAAGACCTTTCAATAATAATGGCTGCAGCAGTATTAACTGGCCATACATATACTTTGAATACATACGTCTCTCACTGGGTTAGTGATAAAAATTTGTAAACATACCGTATTTTTCGCTCTATAACACACACCCGACCATAACACGCATGTAGTTTTTAGAGGAGAAAAACAAGAAAAAAATATTCTAAATGAAACAGTGGATGTATGATTTTTGTGGTTCATGCTGTGGCCACAGACATGTGATCTGACAGTGAGTTTGGAGTAGCCCAATGCAAAAATCCTGAGGATCCATGTGGATCCATGCTTTGTAACCATGTTTTTGCACCACTGCGGCCCCAGGCAACAGTGGGTGCGTGATTTTTTTTGGTGCAAGATGTAGCCATGGACATGCTATGTGATCTGATGGTGAATTTGGGGTGACCCAGTGCAAAAATCCTGAGGATCCATGTGGATCCGTGCTTTGTAACCACGTTTTAAGTGGGGAGGGAAGGAAAAGCACTCAAGGGACAAGGAGCACGCGTGGGGTGTGTGGAGAAGGATGCTGCTAATAATGCAGAAGAGGGGTTTAAGGGGAGAAGGAGCACGCGTGGGGTGGGTGGAGAAGGATCCTGCTAATAATGCAGAAGAGGGAAGGAAGGGGAACCATGGATCCTCTGCTCACGACTGCAGCAGATCCCCCCCGCCACCCGTAGGCATTCCCTCCATAACACGCACAGACATTTCCCCTTACTTTCTAGGAGGAAAAAAGTGAGTGTTGTGGTGCAAAAAATACGGTAATTACCTAACCTACCACTAAAGTGAAAAGCAAGAACCTGATTGCCTTCACAGACACTCAAGTGAACCCACGTTAAGGCAAAGCAGTTTGGTAGATCATACTTGTAAAATCCTAGAAATTCATTCTTTTCTTCTCTGCTTTAACCGACTGTCAGTAGCAACACATGAGGGGTCCTTTTTCAGGAGTAGACCAGTTCCCTTAGCCACCATGAAACTATTTTTTCCCAACAGGCTGAAAACTAAGGCAAACACTTGTCAATCTAGTACTTTATTTTGACCAACAGCAACCATGAGGCCTGAGCAAACAAATACTTTATTCTCCTACATTGCTTGTGTATAAAGTTTCATGATGTTATTTAGCCATTCAGTCCATGATCCATCTACTCAGAAAGACCAAGCTTTTTCTTCAGAGATTCTGGCATCTCTGGTGGTGGTGGGCGGGGAAGTCTGAAATAAACTTTCACGGAGTCATAGATGAACCACTGTAGTGCTGTCAGAGTACCAATCATAATAATACGGGCGAACAGACCCTTCCATACACCTGTTGGAACAAAACATCATTAGTATCTGGAATTATTCATGCACTTTCACAGTTCAGTATCAGTTTAAATCCTCACCTTTAAATCCCAGCCTCTTCAGTACTTGAGCAGCTGAACTGCCTTTTTCTTTGTTCAACACGGATACCACAGAATCAGCAGGATGTGAAACGATGGCACAAAAGACCCCAGCTGAAAAGCAAGTAGTCACCATTAATTTAAAATATTCATTAATATGTTTATACATATTCCAGAAATATCCTATGTCAACAGGAGACTGACTCACAACTGCTATAGGGAGATGAGATCTCCACAACTCATTACATAACATACTTGTATCATTACATGCCCCTGTCACTTTAAAAGCAGTTAGATAGTTCAATAATCCTGCAGAACCTACTAAAGACATTGGCCAATTTTGTGTGCAACATCCACAAATCTGAATGCGACTTGTGTGATTCAGGGCAGTGGCTTCCTGGTGCTTGTCAAACAGGTCAGTTTCAAAACAAGCCCACTAAACCATAGTTTATAAAGCTGGCTTTTAAAGCTGGAGTTTAAAGGTAAAGGACCCCTGACAGTTAAGTCCAGTCGCGAACGACTCTGGGGTTGCGGCGCTCATCTCACTTTACTGGCCAAGGGAGCAGACGTTTGTCCGCAGACAGTTTTTCCAGATCATGTGGCCAGAATGACTAAGCCGCTTCTGGTGAAACCAGAGCAGCGAACGGAAACACCGTTTACCTTCCCGCCAGAGCGGTACCTATTTATCTACTTGCACTTTGACGTGCTTTCGAACTGTTAGGTTGGCAGGAGCTGAGACTGAACAACAGCTCACCCTGCCGTGGGGATTCGAACTGCCGACCTTCTGATCGGCAAGCCCTAGGCTCAGTGGTTTAGACCACAGCACCACCTGCGTTCCATAAAGCTGGAGTTTATTATACTATTATTTATCATCTGTATGCAAGGGCAAACCAAGATTCTATGAAAGTGAAATAAAATGCTGCTGAAGGCATTTTAATCTGCCTACGTGGGAGAATACAGGGAAGCATGCAAGCCAGACTCTTCTTCGGAATTGCTCATGAATACTAAACTGTCACTATATTCCAAAAAGTTAGTATTTCCTTACCTATATAACCTGCTACAAATGTAACAACCAGCTGTTCTCCTTTTGAACATTCGCTCCTTGGTTTCGGGACAACGTATTTGTAAAGCGCTTCCACAGTTCTTTCAAAGCAGGCAAATTTCATCATGGTGTATGGAATCTGCCTCATCCATAATGGAACAACACCTTTGTAGAAACTTCAAAGTAGACAAAACAATTAGAAAGCCCAAATTTAAGTGCTTCTGATTTGGAACTAATTCTGGAATTCAAATCAGTTACGCTACCTGACTGTAACAAATGAATCTCAATGGCAGAGCACATAGTTTTAATACAGTAGGTCCCAGGCTCAAAACCTGGCACTATTAGGCAGAACAGGGAAAGACACCTGTGTGAGACCCCAGGAAACACAGGCGTGACTAACGTTTTGCCCTAAACAACCATGTCATTTATGCCATGGGTCGGCAAACTAAGGCCCGCAGGCCGGATCAGGCCCAACTGCCTTCTGGATCCGGCCCATGGATACTCCGGGAATTGCCACGTGGATCGCCAGCGCACACTTTCTTTTCCCTCTCCCTCACATGGTAGTGGCACCTCCTCCCTCCCTCCTCCTGGTTTCTCCCCACCCTGCCTAGAAGAGGAAGCGGGCTGAGCTTTGTTGGTGGCAGCAGCAGCAGCACTTGAGTGGTTGCCATTTTAAGCCGCCCCTCTCCAGAGCCCTTTCGCATGCCGATCACTGTTCTGCCACCGCCACCGCCAGCCCCTGCTGCTCGTAAGACACAGGTAAGCAGCCACTGGAACTCGTGGTACTCTTGCATATTTCCCCCCAAAAAATATAGCCCGCCCCCCCAAGGTCTGAGGGACAGTGGACCGACCCCCTGCTGAAAAGGTTTGCTGACCCCTGATTTATGCACACACTAGAAATACCAGTATTAGCAAAAACTGAATTAAGGTTAGTGATGCCTTCCCTTGAGAAAACACAGTTGCATTGCAGTGTTTCTTTCAAACTAGTCATATCAGAAACAACCTAAACCTCTAGCCTCCCTCTTAAAAGAACAATGGGTATATAGTACCTTTAGCCTTTAATCTTGGAATTTATTGATAAATGTCCACAATCCAGCCAAATCCTGATAGTGGAAAATGACATGTATTGTATTACAGCCATTGCTATCAGAACATAAAAGACCAGAGTGAAGGTATATTATTCTCACATGCCAATGACTCAAGCATCTTTGACTGTACAACCATAAAGTTGTTGATCCCTCTTGGCTAGAACTACTCAAAACCAAAGTTGTAAGCAGAACTCAACACAAGAGACATCTAACAAAGATGGATCTAAGGGAGCATGTTGGCTCATACTGCTTAAGAACTAAGAACTCTGCTCCATGTCTAAAGCAATAATATCTGTGATCAAAGCTTAACAGTTCATAAACAAGGAGCTGTGCAGGATCATTAAGAGCCACTTTAGGGCCCTGACTTAACTGCTATAATACTTACGCCCAAACACCTTCTTCTGCAAACATTTTTGGAGCAGCTTGTCTCAGTGTATTTGCATACCCAGGCTGTGTCTGAATGCGCACCTTAGCAGCTTCCATTGGAGCCAGAGCAATATCAGCAAAGAACTCTGCACTGGCAGATGCAGCCAAGTATAGTGATGTACGCCACAGATATGTATTTTCCTGAAATAAAATTTAACAGACCAGAAAATATGTTCATATGATATTCTTTGGACAAATTCACAACAAAGGGGTGCTGAACTGCAGGATAAATAAACTTACCTCTCCCAACATGTTGCTATACATGATTTTGAAGACTTCATAGAAACCAAATTTGCAGAGCCCTTGCATGGAATATCCAATAAATGTTGGAGCCCATCCTTTTGCCAAACCACGAACACCATCCTCTTTGACAGTAACTGAAAAGCCGTTGAAGATGCTCTTATATTTTTGTGGATCCACCTAAACAAGTTTTGAGAAGTCAGCAGTTAATAATTTTTTTAACCTTTCTCACATTCACAGCAACAACCAGTATACTCCAAACATATAGACATCGTACTTAATGATTGTTTTAAAGAGTTTAGGATTTTTACCAAGTGAAGAAGAATGCAGTGAAGAGAAAGATTAAAAATGACAAGTCAACTGAGTGGCAAGATGATTGCAGAACTTCATGAAAGGTTTTGTGGAAGTAATTTTTGAAAGGGAGGGGGAGAGAAAGTTCTGTGACAAGTAGTAAGATAAAGAACAAATATGGGCTGCAAGTATAAGATTCCTGGGTTTTGACGCAACTTAAATATATATGCATATATAAGATATACGCAACTGGCCAAACCAGCTCTACTCATCAATTTGGAAATTTAATCAAAGATACATCCAGTTCTAGAAGTGTATCATTCTACGTGGTACACTGGAAGCTGTGATGCACCATATAACTAAGTTAATTCTACAACAGAAAAACTGTAATCATCCAATATTGAAATGTTCAATTAAGCAACGAATTATGAATGTGCTTCAGCTGGGAGAAGGATTTTGAAGGATTAAGGCAGTAGCAAATACGACTTGCAGTAAGTGAAAGAAGACGGGATTTGGGTTGAGCTGCAAGAATATGTGAAAGCAAAAAGGGGCAGTATAGGTATGCAGATATTAAAACGTTAATATCACCAAAACTAACAGCGCATTGGGGTGGGGTGAATTGTTACTCTTCATTGTAAGAACACCAGTACTGTCTCAACTGAATAAATGGGTAATTAACAAGTGTCCACATATTAGGGTTTTTGTATTGTTTTAAATGTATTAGCTTTTGTGTTCAACTGTTTCGTTATCTTATGTGTAAATGCATCTGAAACGATGGATTAGAAAGCAATGAATATATCATTTGTAAAAATAAGTACTCAGAAAAGTTGTACATAAATGTTCTGAAAAAGGCTGCAATTTGTTACAGCTATTTAAAGTTTGCCTAGATATGTGCAATCTCAGTAAAACCTGTTCAATATTACAAAAATATTTTATGCAGAAATTGGCAATATGCTATTTTGTAATATAAGATGTTAATACTCTCTGGGTCCTACCTTCCTACCTCCTGTCGCCCTCTACTGACTTGTTCCATTTCACCTTTCATCTTACTTCCTGGCCTCTTTCTGACTTCTGCATGAACAGGATTACATTTTCTGTAATGTATAGTTGTATCATACACAGCTCAAGCATATTTCCTCAATACTTTTAGCTGCTTTAGAGGAATATAATAGTTGAATCAACTTTGTGAAATAAATATCTAAAATATCTAAAATCAAAGCACTCTTTTTAATATATTACAAATATAAGCAAAGGGTTAACTTCAGATTCTTCATTCCACATAACCAACTTCCTTCGGCCATAAAGCTAGAGGTTGGTTCATTATATGGCTAAAATCCTATGCACGCTTCCTTGGGACTGATTCCCACTGAACTCAGTGCAACTTCTAAGCTAATTTTCAAAGGATCATACTGTTTCTCATTGACTACATCCTCACATATTCAAGCTTCCATTGTCAAAGTTTCCATTGTCAAATGCATGGATTATTATCTTTTCTTCAAATTATAACTCCACAACAAAGAACTGACACATGCATGAAGTCATTCAGCCTTTATGCTACATGCATTATAAAGATTCTGAATGTTTAGTATTCAAATATATTAGGCTCAAATATTTTAGACGTATTTGTGCTGGAGGTATACATTTGATAAATCATGGTTTCTGATTACTCATGAAGCTTTCAAACACAAGTATCTGCCATTGCTGCTTATTTGTCAAATGCCAGTTACATGGTTCCTAACTAAATCTGGCTCAATTTAAAATTTGTCCAATTATTTCATCCCAAATGATAGGGGGGGAAATCCATATTTGGCAGCATACAAACCTGGATGCGACACTTCACTAAATCCAAAGGTACCACTGCTGTATGTGTCAGACCACAACTTAGGACCCCACCAAAGCCACAGAGAGCGTAAAACTTGAGAGAGCCATATTCACAACTGTATTCTTCTGCAGCAAAGAAAAGACACACCATGCTGTTAAATAAACTACATGCAACAATATAAACAACTTTATTTGGGTGAAATCCAAGCCTTGTTTCCTTTTGATTAGTAAGATTTCACACTTTTATCATGCTATGATAACCAACTTGACATGCAATCAAACCTGAATTCGGCATTTAACGAGATCTAAAGGAACCAATGCTGTGTGCGTGGTACCACAGCTAATAATCCCACCAAAGCCACAAAGGATGAAGAATCTGCCAGAGCCATATGCACAGCTATAGTCTTCTGCTTAAAAAGAGATAAGTACAAGTTGACAAACTACAGAGTTTGGCATTTGAAGTTAGCATTAAATTATGTAAGCTCAATCAAGAAATTTCATTTTTCTCCTAAAACAAGTTTGTCTTCCAAAATTTATGAAGTGGTAGTAGGTCAACTAAAAGCATTTATTCTTTTTACCAAGACTGCCTGAAAACATTCTCAAAGTAATTAAAATGGATCTTAATTCACTTTCAAATAACCATGTTCAAGGACCAGTATCAATATCAACACATAGGCTGGTATGCTACTTGACAAAGATATCTATGCCAACATGAATGGGATTCAAAATAATATCATAGTTACTGCACGTGTCATAGGAATGACCAAAATATAGGTATTTACAAGGTGCATTCTGCTTAAGGCAACACTTTCTTCCAAGAGATGTGCTGTGCAGGTATTAAAAGCCACATAAATATTAGATAAGGGTAAATGTTCAGTTATGCAAAAATAACATATATACAGGATATAAAACAAAAAAATTATTTCAATTCAATTCAACAGAGCTTGATTGTGTTTGCTCATTGTTTTAGGTAACTTACCAGGCCCTGATTTCAGATTGCCTTGTAAGGGCTAAACCAACAAGTAATTTCACAAGTTACTGCTGTGCAATTCTTTACATGGGCATAAAAACACTCGCTGGTCAATAGATCTTCACATGATTAACCCAGTATCTTTGTAAGAATATATTGTGAGGATTTATTCATTATAAAAAAAAATAAGGCAAATAAGTATGTATAAGGTACATCTTAGATTCAAAAGTATTGCCTCAAAGCTACATGCACCAACCTCTAATAAATCGAGGGTTCTTGTAACATAAAAAGCAACTGCTATAAGGGTCTCTTTTTATATATTTTTTTAAAATACAAAAAACAAAGCTTAACTTAGTTATACATCATGAATGACATGTTGGTATGTACCAACGGACGACGATGCTTCATGCATCTGACAAAGCAGGGTCTATTCTTTTCACAGACCAGTACAACTATATTCATCTTTTAAATGTGCTACAAAACCCTCTTCACTCTTTTTTTCTAATATACGGCTGCCCTATGCAATTAAATAAAGGACAGGTTTAGTAATAGATATTGTGTCACTGTAAGAAAACAGATATGGCACCAACGGGACAAAGTTGGTGGAGAACCTTTGTATGGAAGTTTTGCTTATTTTCATTATGAGACTTAAAAATATTGGTTGCTTACATAGGAGCAACATTGTATCGACCTAATAAACCCTTCAAGGTAAGCGAGTGTGTGGAAAACTACTTAGCCTCACCTGCTCCTCCCCGTGTCATTCTAAGCCTGTGACCTTGTCCCCACCATACCACCCTCCTTTAAAAGTGTTACCCACCCGGGGAAGGACCAGGCCGCTGACTAGTTGCCATGGAGACATGCCGTCTTCTACTAGCCTTGGGCTTCTGCGCAGGCAGCATCCTTAAGCCGCTGAGGGCGACCACGCACTAGAAGACAAGATGCCCCCAACCACATGCAAGGCATGGCTAGGCCCGACGCCTTCCAGCCCCAAGGTCGCCGCGGAGCAAGCCTCCTCCGAGGCCTACCCAGGCGGGGCTCAAAGCACAGACGGGAACTCATCCTGGCCTTTTCCAGTGGGAGGAAACGGAAGGGGCTCAGCCAAGGAGGCACCGTGAGCCAAGCACAAGCCCGGCCTGCATTGACCTTCCATGTCCTCCAAGAGGAACCCAGGGGGCCCGGTAGCTGCAGCCCCACCCGAGAGAGAATTCAAAAACCGGGGGGGGGCCCTTCCAGAGAAGGAGCCGAGGCAAAGGTCGTGCGCCCCGTCCCCCCCACTCCGCCCACTTACCCTCTGCGGAAGCGGCTGCCAGGCTCCGCCGGGTGCACGAAGGCTCCGCGGGTTCGGCCGGGAGTTTCCTTAGGCTGAGTCCGTCCTGCTGCAGCTGCAGCTGCGGGGCGTGGAATGGGTTGAGCCGCACAAGCGGCACTATGGACGAGAACATGGCGGCGGCAGGAAGCTGAGGGAGGGAGAACGAGGGATGTGGTTAAGCAGGAGGCCCCCCCGCCTCGCCCTGCTTGTGGGGGGGAGAAACAAAACTGCCCCCGTCAGCAGCCGGGACTGAACACGCGGCGAAGGTGCGAGAAGGGAAAAGCCGCCCCTGCACCCCATTCCCCTCAGGGACTCACCTTCTAAGATGGCGGAACCCGCTTCCCCTCCGCTCCGCTACTCGGCCGGCGACTGCACTCAAAGGCCGAATATCACCCTTCCTCAATGACTTTGTCCTTCTCTGACGCAAAAGGGCGGGGCGGCGGTCCAAAAAGGCGCGCTGCGATTGGGCCCTGCGAGCTTGCGTCACTCCGCCGACGCTCTCGAGAGCCAATCCTGTCATCTCGCCTAGCTCTGCCGCTCTCTGCTCCGCACCCCTCCATTGCCTTGCCTTAGAGCGGCCGTGAAATACTGGGAAGCGGGTGGAGGGAGAGCGAATGCGCGACAAGCACCAGACCTTGGAGGGAGCCTGCTAGCTGGACCTTCCTATGACTGGCACCGTCTGGTTTAAACCCTAGAGGCGACCGTGAACTTAAGTAGTTGGGTAAAGGAGAAGGAACAAGGTTACCTAGTTGGCAGCGCCCAGTTCGTGCGTGGTGGAAATTTTGTGAAAACTTCCACGTACTGAGATCTGCTCATTGGAGTTTACATTGCTTGTTCCTAGATTGTTTCAGTGCATTTACGACTGATATCGTTTGAATTTTAATACCACCAATATTATTTTTAAAAATAATTTTTAGAAAAGACACACGCACACACCGCAATACTCCTGTTGCTCGAAAAGACGACGGTGCGTTGGTCAGTCGACTAACAAAAAACAAGACGTTTTACAGTAATTTATGTTCTCAGGCACAACAATAAATATCTTAGTATAAGGTGGACCAGAGCTTTATCCACAAGAGTGCAGTGCTATGCAACCAGAATGTGGCTATGAATTGGGTGGTTTAAATGGTAACCTGATTTAGAAAAAGGAAATCTTCCAAGTTGTGCTTAACGGGCAAGTGCGTTTCTGCCAAAAGCTTTGGAAAGCAATGGACTACAAAAGGCCATTCCAGTGGGAGAGTATTTGAGGGGTCATAAATCCTGATAGCAGTGTAGTATTCAGAGATGAGTACTTGGAACTTATCTACCATCTGTCAACTACAACCCTTCACCTACAGTATGGATATATTGTTGCAAATCTGGGGTGACAGTTGTGGGGAGGCGAGGGAACCCATAACTGCTAGTTAGGGAATGATAGAAATTGGTAGAATTTAGATAATATTTGAAATAATGAAGAAAAGATGTCAGATGTTAGGAAATGACCTGGGGAGAAAGATCATCATGGTATAATGTGCCAAACAGTGTCCAGGCATTGACCCTCTGCCTGCCCTCTGGGTAAATAGTGTGGAGGGGAAGGTTACAGGAGGTGTGATGTCACACAAGAAAAATGTGTCCTTTTGAAATCTAGAGGTTGCAAGAGAAGAACTCCATGAGCGGCTGTGAAGTCCAGAACCATCTTGGCAGGCTGACACCGTGGCACGGAGATGGCTTGCAGGATGCCTTGGACTCCAGTGCTGCACTGCTGTGAATAACAAGCCCCTCTTGAGATGTAATGCTCTGAACTCTCTCCAAAGTAGCCCTAGGCGTAAATATGTGTACAATAAGCCATATTTCTTGAAGACTTGTCTCTGCTGTGGTTTGATATGGAAACATAACCCTGAGCACCTGGAATCTTGCTACTGCTTAGCAGAGATTGCGAGTGGTACGCAACCTTTGTAACAGTGGTGTCAGTAACAATATATTACAGTATATTATCTTAATATACCAGTCTTTGGTCCTTTTCTCTTCATAGTAGTCTGAAAGGTAGCAACTGGTCCAAGATCACTAAGTAACTGTCAAAAGTTTGGAATTTGAGGCTCTTCACTCTATGCACTGGGCCAGACTTTCTCTGACCGATTACGGAGTTGGCATAAGATTATTGAAGTAATGTATATAAATTGCTTTGAATACTCAAAATGCTACAGAAATCCCCTTATTTCCTTTTAGTTCATCCTATAGCAGAAGTTCTCAAAGCAGCTTACAATATTGTAATGTCCACAGTACCAACTGAGGGTTTAGGACAGTGTGCCCAGTCCAAATACATTAATTTTCCTGCAATTGTCATGTGAAACCCTTTCTTCTCAGTAACTTACTTCCAGTGTTACATCCTGTAGTTCAGAAAATAGCGCCACGCCTCTCTTCAAGAGATCATACTGGCATCTTCCCAACATGCTGGAATGCAGTAACATTTATTGTGCACTGTGAAGAACTCATAGGCCAGCATGTAATTCTTATCTTTAGGTTTAAAATAGACTATCCTTACATGTCAATTGCAGTTCCATGCTTGGAAATATCAAATAGCAAGCCCAGTGCATATTTCATGTAAAGACCCCTAAGAAGAGGCGTTGACAAACATATATACTTACCAATATTAATACTTGTGTTTTAATACTTTGCCCCAGTTACATAGGATTGTTGTGTGACAAGTAATATTGCTACCATTATAAAACTGTTGCTATAATAGGGTATTACAGTGGTACCTCGGGTTAAGAACTTAATTCATTCCGCAGGTCCGTTCTTAACCTGAAACTGTTCTTAACCTGAGGTACCACTTTAGGTAATGGGGCCTCCCGCTGCGCCGCAATTTCTGTTCTCATCCTGAGGTAAAGTACTTAATCCGAGGTACTATTTCTGGGTTAGCAGAGTCTGTAACCTGAAGCGTCTGTAACCCGAGGTACCACTGTATAAATGTTCAGCTCATATGGCAAATGTGGCCATTTTGCAGCTAGTTCAGACATACAGACACGTGTACCTGACTGTCTTTTATTTTAATACTGAAGACCATATGAAGAAAAGTTACTAAGATATCCTGAAGCTGTCAGACAGAATGTCATGTCAGAACTACCTTTGTTATAGTGCTTTTTTCTGGGGGTACGCATACACCTAAACATTTTGAGAATCTAAGTTTGGCCTTATTGAGGGGCAGTATTTCAATATGAGTAGGAAAATGAAATTACCCCTAAACATTTTTTTAGAAAAAAAAGCGCTGGCAAGCATAAGGTTGCCTTAGGAGCTGGCATGCAAAAAGCACTTTAAAGTGCCATCTAGTGCCACGATTGTGTCACAGCACAGAGATCAAATTATTGCCACATTATCTTTTACATTATATATTACATTCTTTTACATCTTAAAAAATGCTCCAGACCCAACCAACACTTTTCAGTACTTGCAATTACAAAACACTGCCAACAATTTAGTTGGTAAACATGGTCCTATTTCAGAACTTGTAGAATCTGAATCTTTTAACATTTAAAGACCCAACACAGATTATTAAATAAACAATATTATATTATCATTAATATTGACATAACAATTAGCACATCATTTAAAATAAAGGATCTTGGGCAATATGTTCTGCATCAAACCAAAAGCATTGCCTTGAAATAAAGCTTGTTATGAATTCATTTTTCACTGGTATGTATTAAACCACATATATAGGAGATAATCTATGTTGAAGATGCAAAACAATGAATGGTGATATGCCCAAATATATTTTGGACAACTGAAATAAGAGAAATTGAGAATATAACTGGATATGATCTACCCAGATCTGTTGGCAAGTTGCTATCTCCAAGAGCCTGCCTGGAATAGATTCTATTCCAGTATAACCGATGGTTTTTTAAAATGACTTTAATGTGGTTTCCTTTGCAAAGAAGGGAGACTAACAGCATCATGAGAAAGATGCCAAAATAGTTACATGGACCACCTCAACAGAGGTAATGGCTCATGTGTTGGGCATAGGACATAGGAAGGCAAGACATGGTTAAGGGCTAGATCCAGGTTTTCTTGGATGAAACCAATTTTCTAGACCCATTTCAATTGAGGTTTAGGCCTGGAAATGTTGCCAGTTTTTTACAGGGCTATACTACCTCTGAAGGAGTATGTAAATTAGGGACACTACTGGATCCATCACTGCCACATGAGGCTCAATCTCTTCTTTCTCTAAGTGGAAATGTCAAGTATCTGGAACCTTTTTCATGTAAAATATAGAAATAACACTTGTCATTGACACATTCAACATTTCCCTATGAACCATTACAATTTAATTAAGCAAAAAATGTCAGTAATAAGCACACTAGTTTATAACCCATTTAGAATACAGTATTGTGCAGTTAACTCTGATCAGGCTGTAAGGCTACAGTTCAGAGCGCAGGTAGGCTGCTTACATCTCAGTGACTAGTGACTTACAAGTAGCCTAACTCACTAGTCACTGAGATGTAAGCAGCCTACCTGTGCTCTGAACTGTAGTCTTACAGCCTGATCAGTTAGGTACGCTAAAGCCCTTCAAAACATTAGACCTAATAAGTATGCTTAAGAGTGTACTCCTATGGTCCAGAAGCAAGGGGATACTAGAGCTACCTTTCCATAGGCAGGCAGCCCTCGGATGCCTCTCCAGAGATGTCAGAGAAAAGGTGAAGAGAGCAAAAATGAGCTGCATATGGTCTAATGGGCATGCCCCTGGAAAGGAGGAAGGAGGGAATACAACCCTAGAGTTGGTATACTAATTTCCCCTTCTATTGGATTCAATGGATTGCTCCATAAATGTGCCTCTCTATAGCATCAAGTAAGGTGAGGTAGTAAGATAATTTTACAACAAAAGTTAAGGTTAGTTTGATTGTATTAATACCAATTTTTGATGAGACTAGAACGTTAAAAATAAGTTTATTGCATTTTGTATAGAATATGCAGTAATATCAAGATCCCATATGTGCTGCAAATTGATACATTCACATTGTATTTGTAATAACCCACACTTGAAATTAATTGAAGTTACTTGATTGGTAAATGCAACTGATAACAAATTATGGCAGACTAAATTTGTTGCATCCATCAGCAGAACTTTTAACCTTGGTTGATACATAATAGGTAACATAACAATATCTTTTTAATGAAAGTATGAAATGTTTTGGAATATGAACATCCATGATGGTTCAAACAAAATTCTAAGTTGGAAAAAAAAGAAATCTACACATAGAAGTCAATTTACCTACATAAAAATAGAGGTTTTTGCTTGAGAGCATAACCATTTTGTAATAAGACAGGAATTTTAAATCTGCAGTTAATGATTTAAGATTGTAATTATTCAGTAAAAAAGTAGTTCAGTTTATTTAATGTAAATTTTCTTTCACACGATTTTACTAATAAATATGTTTTGCTCTAAGGACACCTATTGCCAATTTGATCAGTGATATGACATTAAGCACTAAAGTAGAGAACTATTATTAAAAATAGAGAATAGGGTTAATTGGAGTTACTACAATTAAAACTAGGACAGATACAGAAATGTATACAATAGGTTTACATTTATTTATTAAAATGTTACAGTATTCTACAGAAGAAATGCTGGATTTTCCATTAAACTACAATACACTAAACTTAGCTGCACAGTTTCAACAAAATGCATCCAAAAATGCATTTCCCTTTATTATCTTAGCACTTCCCACCCCTAAAAACAATAGGCAATGTAGAGAAATTTTCAGTACATTATCTTTTTAATATGAAATAAAAACATTAAAACACATCTTCACATTTTACTATCACTTTTGCCCTTGAGCAGCTTGCAAAAACAAATATACAATCTCAAATGAATGTAATGATATCCACGTTAAAAAAATAAATCCTACAATAAATTCCAGAGAGATCTAAAAATATTAATTATGGCACAAAGTGATCTCCTAATACTGAAAAAAGTTAGTGATGTCCACTTATACTGTCTTGTTTATTTCACTTTTCTGATGCCGCTATTATTTGTATGCAGTCGCTGAAATAGATGAAGGATGAAGACATCTCTACAGTTAAATAGGAGACCAAGTTGTGTGTGCCATACAAACACTCAATCTGTCTTTTCCTCCAGGTTATTATTACTACTAAGAAATTTGGAGAATGGATTTCCTTGGTTGGTTTCCATAGACTGATAGACCAAAAGTAAGAAGACTGAAATAAGAACAAAGAGCAGGATTTTTATCCACATAGGAATGGAACGTTTTTTAATTGTTGGTTTCTCTGGGTTGAGATCTGCTGTGGCAACATATTTGGGGATATATTTTGATGAATAGGTCTCCTCCAGCCGGAAGTCACTGAGCTCTATAGGTCGACCAGCAGCTCCCTTGATTGGTCTGCGGCAGGTAGCACTGTTAATTAATGAGAAGTAATTATATGTTTATTTAAGGCTAAAATAGACCTCATTTTTAAAAGGCATTTGGGAGGGGATGAGGTAGGCATTTAATGCTCTGAAGTTTTACAACTCTCTAGGGAAGACAGGCAAGTGTTTTGCCTCACCGAAACTATGGATTATGATAAGGGAAATACATTGAATGAGCTTCATGATGGATACTAAATGTTATATCCATCAAATTTATATTGTTTGTTAAGATACCTGTTCTTTGAATACCAGACTTTTGACAAGCTAGCGGGGGGGGGGGGGGATAGAAGATCTGTCCCCTTTCACCCCCTGGTCCATCTTCAGAGCATGCATGCCACCCAATAAAAAGGCATTCTTTTGAGACAGACAAGAAGTGTTCTCAGCATTCAATATTCCTCATTTCAAGTACTAGTACTGTATAGGATTTTTATAAGCCTGCAACTTCTAAAGCAGACAACTTTAGGTCAAGTTACACTGCAAGAAAACCTGCACAACCCGCCCAGACTCAGGACTATAACACTAAGCAGAAGACCAAGGGAAGCTGGGTAAACCTGAGCAATGTGTTGTCCCCAACTTGGCTGTGTAAATCAGATAGTTCTATCCTTGGGAATTAAAATCTATGACATGGAGTTCTACCATTTTTATACCCAAGGAATATAATGAGATAGAGGATCTTAATCTTCCACAAAGTTAAGGGTATAATAGCTGCTTGAGAGACAAGGTGCAAAGCACTGTGAAAGACAACTAACTGTACTGTGCACCCTATTACTAAAGATTTCCTCCTAGTCCTGTTGCAAATATTTTCTGTGATTTAGCAGTATGGCGCAAATCATATGTTGCTTTAGAAGCAGTAAGTTCAGTATATTTACTTTAGCAGATTATACTACCTGCTAATTAAAGACTATTCCTATGATGGCTTTTGATCTGGATATCTCAAACAATGAGCCAAATCCTAGAACAAATAGTCTGTGGTTCTGGAACTGACAAGTACCTTAACACATGATTTGCTTCTAAAAACACCAATTTAAATGATATACAGCTTTGAAAGATCTAGGGTTTTCTAGTTGCTACTGATAAGCATGAAAGAACTGGATAACATATTTTTAATATTATAAAAAATAACACTCCTTTTAAGACTGGATTCTTAGAAATGTTATTATAACAGAGTCAAATGCACTGAGTTGCGCTGACAAAGCCTAAAAAGGCAGTCACTGCATGCTTGAAACAATAATTACACCTATAAATACCTAATTCCTGTAGGTGTTGATGCCTCATAATGGAACATTTCTTTAAGAATATCCCTGTCTGCTCTCCTTTCCTCTGTAGATGTTTTCTCCATGACCTGTAAGAAGTTAGACAAAGGGAGATTTTTTTTAAAAAAAAATGCACAAGAAAGCTGTACCAGAGAAAGAAAAAGAAAGCGTGCATCACTATGTGATTTGTAAAAGAATTTGGTAAGCAGAGTAAACTTTAAGAAGATTCTTGCATGGAGTTTAGCTGTTGATTAAAGTTTGGTTATTTTGGTCTGTTTGGCCATTTTTGTATCCAGGGATCTTCAGTACCATCCTTTTGTTCTTTCAACATGAAGCATAGTGTTATGTAATAAAGGCTACCTTGATAAAGGAAGACTTAAAAGGCACTGTCAGCACTTCTGTCCTAACTGAATTGTATGGCTATTGAATATAAGTAATTTTATGTTTATTTCCCATTTCCGCTTGGTGGAAAGTGAAAAACGCTGTCAGTACAGAATAATACTATTTTAAAAACAGTGAGCACATATTTGTAGTGAGATTTCAAATTCTCCTATTTGTTAGTAAGGTAATAATTGGCACATAAGAAGCTTTTAAAAGAAATAAAAAGCTACACAACAGAGATGAGTAGAAAAATAATTATTTTGTATCTATTCTGCTGACTTGGTTATATGAATTTTGTTTAAAATTTCACGTTTGATGTAGTCAGTAAGAGTTATGTGATGAAATCTTAAGTTCTTAGGTATCCCTAAATTCCTGTTTGCTCCAAATATACAAAACATCACTCAGGAATACACTGTAAGCTGAAGTGAGAAAATAGTTCAGAATTAAGTTAGCATGACATTTCCAAGTTAAAAGCCAAATGCATATATGTAAGTGCACCCTCCGCCCCTTTCTATTCAACAATCTATGTTTAATTCATTTACTTCAGCTGACATCAATGGTTTCTTTGGTGTTCTTCTGGGCAACTCTGAGAAGTCACTGATTGACAGTATAGGATCTGCATGCTTGAAATTTCCAGGCACCCTATTGACAACCTGCTGAAATTCAAATTGTTCAGACTCAGAATTAACAAAAGAAACAGCAATAAAAAACTTAACCAACCAGGTAGCTTTACATATGAGAAGCCAGCCCTCAGAAATTGATTGCAGTGTTTTAAAAGAAAATTAGTGCATTCCAGATAGATAAATTGTAAGAAAAACAGCTAATCTATTATCTACAGGCATCACCCCCATGTACTTAAGCAAAAGGAAGAGCAACTTTCAGAGGATTATATCCAACAGCATATGAACAGATTTGCACAATGGGTACCCCTTTCCTGCACTCCACCCTTCTGCCCCTTGTGCTTCCCCAAATCTGCTCTGGAGGGTTCCCCAACCCTCTGGAGCAGATCTGGGGCCACATGAAGACATGCAGGGGAGAGGGAATCCATTTCATAAACAGTGTTCATTCTGCTGAAAGACAGATGTAGTTGGATACCAGCCAGAAAAATGTAGTTCAATATTGCTCCTTCTGATTTTACTCTTTACTTTGCATCAGACTTAAGCGCAACAGCACATTTCTTTTTTAAAGAATGCCTTTTTTTAAAGGAGCCCCCATTCCCCCTTTTTCCAAGCAGAAAGGGTTTTTCCAGGAGGAGGAAGATTATAGAATACCACCTCTTGCAAATTCAATATATTTACTAGGGTCTCGTTGCTTGAAGCCACTACAGTATCAGCTATAGGAGTACTCTTTGATATTACTGCATCATGTACAGGTAGCGGTACTGTAGTTTCAACCTGTTTGTTTAAAAAACAAAAACATAAAATAAGTGTACAATTGTCACTAGGGCCCTGGGGAGGAAAATAAAAGTCTAGATTTCAAATTAGCCTTGCATCACCCTTTTTCTTGGTGTTCTTCTTGATACTCTTGCAGACTCCCTAGAAACTGCCTGCAGAAGTCCACTTTTTGAAGATCCACTTCTCCAGAATGTCTCAGTAACTCCATCCTGAGAATAGTTCTATTTAAGCATCAGACATGTTAGCAAGCATATGGGTGCTTAATATTTTCACCAGATGACCACTACCAAGTGCCCTAGTATTTGCATCAAGTTACAGAGAAACATTTAGGCGCCACACATGGGTTCTATCCTACGTTACTCTTTAAAATATCACAGAAAACAGAAATAATTATTAGGGATAGCCAACATGGGGTGAACTCTATGTGTCATGAAACTCCAGCTCCTGTCATCTGTGACCGCAGGTTCAGTGTGTGATCATATGGCCATAGTATCTTTTGATTAAGGCTGCCTACCTATCCACACCTACCTGGAAATAAAGCTCACAACCAATGATGGAGACATAATTACAGAAATGGAGTATTTTCTCTTGGAAAAAGCACATGGCTAGGTAAGCACCCACAGAAATAATACATTTTGATCCCAACATTGACAATGAAGGGGGAAACACAAGAAACTAGAAAGAAATCTTCTAATTCCTACTTAAATATATAAATGCTTGAGAAATGTGGTTGCATTTAATTAATGGAAGCCAAAACAGCTATAGCTTGCGACTGGAAGCAATCGATTCTATTTCATTCTTGTGAATGGTCTCATAAACCTGGCAATATGGCTCTAATGCCTGAATTGATGTATCACATCAGAGGTCAGGTTGTGCTTATTATAAAACTGATTTATAAAGAAATATGCATTGTTCATAATTCCTTGAATGACAAGCTTCAAAACATACCAAGTTATTTTTTCTTTGATCACTGAAAAATATTTATTCCCATTATCCTTGGGTTTTTCTGTATATTTGTGAATGCGTTTGGATTTTTTTCATGAGAATAAAAAAAATTCAGAAACATGGCATTAGTTTTAGGTCATTCTACTTAGCAGGCTCATTTCTATAATATTTGATTAGTAGCAGTATTTTTATTATCAAAAGAAAAAGGCTAGTTCTAGTTTCACATAGATCTATTCCTTACGTGTTCTTAAGATGTATGAACATTCCAGGCCTAATACAATTCACAATAGACAGTACAACTCTAGGTAAGTATCAGCTCAGAAATAAGTCCCCATCAAGTTTTATGGGGCTTACTCAGATAAGCTTGCCACATTTTTTCAAATACCTAGATGACCAGTAATAAAAATAGTTTCTGAAATGATTTGTCAAAATCCAAAAAGTAGCAATTATGCGCCTTCAGCACCGCTTTCTATGCCACACACCATAGAATCCTGGGAACTTGCCCAAAAGTATTTCTACATGCTAGATCAGAAACATTCAAATCCAGTTATCTGCAGGTCTTTCTGTTAAGAAATCTGGTGAAAGAACTGGCTCCTGCTAGGAATATACATTGCCAACTTATGAAAGAAGCATCATTGACCAATGTTAGCTAGTTAGCTGACTATATATGCGTCTCACAAGACACTCAATACAAATTGGCAATGCTGAACCAGAATGCACCACTCCTTTTTGATGGTGAGGGATAAGCTGTTTCAGTGATCCCTCCCCACTACCAGGACTGACAGACTGTGTAACCATTCCATTATGTTCAGAAAGCTCTGATCCATCTCATCACCTATTATCCTTTAGGGGCTGATTTGTGGCCTGGTTGGCTGCTCCTTTAGCACCCCTTTTTCATATAAAACAGCCCCTCTTACTAGTAACAGTGATGCTGTCATGCAATCATTTCTTGCTCCACAGCAATAGCACTTAGGGCAAATGAAGCTAATTTGCCCCTCTTCTGAAGATGCTTTGTTTACCCTCTATGGCTGTATGATGTTACTATTAGGAAAAAGAACAATTTTCAAAACAAAAATAGTCATGAAGCTTGTTGCCAAAAACAGCAATTCAGGATGAAAAGAAAAGGCTGGGAGAGCAAATTTAGATAATATTTTGGGAGCTCCCAAACACCCCCTCTTCCCAACCAAATGTTTTCCTTAAAGATTATAGACTGCCACACTTCCAATTCCCATCTTTCAAAAATGTGCCATTTTTAATGTATTAAGAAAATAGACAAGAAACTTAATTCTATTTAGCATAATATAAGGCTTTATCATTTTGCTGCAGTCAGGAAAAATGACAGTTTCCACTGCTACACAGCACTGAATTGCCTATAGCCCCTTAAAAATAAGCAACTGTTAATCAGTGTATACAAGATGCAAGTCAAATTTCTAAGGACAGCCTCATTTTTATATGAGAATGGTTTAAAACTGGTAAGAAACTGCTATAATGGTACCTGATTATGTTCAGCAATTTTTCTTTGTCTAACTGTAACTGAAGTCTTTGTCTTGCCCTTCAGTGGTTCTCGCTTCTCAAGTCTGAATTCTGTTTTCGGGTCTGTGAATAAATACCATCTATTATTATTATTTTTCAGGTAAAAATGGCAATTTACAGAAAAAAATTCCAAACACTACAAATTATGCTAAAGGTTAACGTGTGATCACAGCTTGTGACAATTTCACCAGCTGTTTCAATTTATATTTTTCAAACAACAACCCCCTGAACTTAAGAATATCCAGAGGTGCCAACACCAGCAATCTGAGCTCCTCTAACACAGCCCCCTTGTTCCCCATTTGGTGTAGGGCTTCCTCCTTGGAATTTGAAATATTTGCAAACATTCTCAAAAGTATTTCAAGCAAGACTTGAAATTCCAAGCAATAAATTTAACTTCTTAAAAAAGAAAAAAGAAAAAAACCACTACTGTACTAAGATATAATATTTTACATTTTAAAACTGGTTTTAGGGACCAGTACAGCTTCTACAGTTTTATCTTCTGTTATCTAATATTTTACACTATTTGCTTAATATTGTTATGGTTTTTATAGTATGCTTCAAACATGTTGTAAAGAAGTTGTGCAGGAAGCGGTATTGAAATAAAAGTAAAACAGAAATATCGATGCCAATGCAGCTGCTGGAAATAAGACTTCTCCAAACAGCATGCTCTGATTTCTTCTGAATGGGTAAGACCTGACACTAAGTAGCTGATGAGTTATTAGTTCAAATAAAGTATAAATTTTATTTAAATCGATGTGAACACAAGTTAGAAAGGACATCAATCAACAAGTATGTGATCACAGTAAAGCAATTTATGTCTTTTCTTCATCTGAAACCTAGTACTATCTCTCTGGCAGTTGGTGACAGTTTGAATGGAGGAGCTAAAGTTGATTTTGAGAAGACTGACGGTACAGATACAAATCCATAAAAACAACCCATTCAGTGATTGGCAGAGTCCTCCAGAATATTACTGTTTCAGTAGTTGACAATGTGAGACTATTAAGACTATAATTTAAGAAATATTGCAACTACATCTTCAGTTTATATCATGGGTAGGCAAAATAAGGCCTGGGGGCCAGATCCGGCCCAATCACCTTCTAAATCGGGCTCACGGACGGTCCAGGAATTAACATGTTTTTACATGAGTAGAATATGTCCTTTTATTTAAAATGCATCTCTGGAATATTTGTGGGGCATAGAAATTCATTCATTATTTTTTCAAAATATAGTCTGGCCCCCCACAAGGTCTGAGGGACAGGGGACCGGCCCCCTGCTGAAAAAGTTTGCTGACCCCTGGTATATATGTTTATTCAAAGCACACACTGACTATAGATATTGCCCCTATGGCAACAAATGATGCTTAATGCTGAAATGGGCTTGGCCCTAAAATTTAAAAGTTAGGGTTATTCAGTCTAAATTTTCTCATATGCTAAACTAAGGACCTAACCGGGAAAAAGTCTTCATATGAACTTAGTCTTAACTATTTGTCTCATTTAAAAAAACTGAAATTAATATTTTCTGTAAAAAGAATTGTTAACACATTTAAAGATTCCTTTCCATTACTCATTACTGTGCAGAATTTAAAAATTATTATAAATTGATCAAGTTCTAGTTTATTATTGGATAGAAACCCTAAATACATTTCTACGGAGTAAGCCTCAGTCAATACAGTGAGACATACTTCTCAGTAAATATGGGTAAATTGGGTTATTAAGAACATGGGCATCATTTAAATAGTGAGACTACAGAAGGAGAGCCTGAAGTTACCTAGAACTAGTGCACGTATATCATTATCACATAGATAAAAGTGCTGTGCCCAATTTCTCATACAAAGTATTCTGAATAGGTGATATTCTCACATCATTCTTCTTCCTGCTCCCAACCTTACATGACCAGGGTTGAGTCACAGGCATAGTTTCTTCTCCTCCCTTATTCAAGTCTACTTATAGAATGCACTATCCAACTCGAGAGTTCCTGTATTGCCATATTTTTTGCTCTATAAGACTCACTTTTTCCCTCCTAAAAAGTAAGGGGAAATGTGTGTGCGTCTTATGGAGTGAATGCAGGCTTCGCAGCTATCCCAGAAGCCAGAACACCAAGAGGGATTGCTGCTTTCACTGCGCAGCAATCCCTCTTGCTGTTCTGGCTTCTGAGATTCAGAATATTTTTTTTCTTGTTTTCCTCCTCCAAAAACTAGGTGCGTCTTGTGGTCTGGTGCGTCTTATAGAGCGAAAAATACGGTAAATTGAATATGAGGTCTCAAATGGGGCATTACCTTCTACATGTGGTAAGGAAAATGGTGACCAATAGAAAGCAATCAAACCCAGGAACTACTTCTAATCTACCATAAACTATTATTTTAACATCTTCCTTGTCAGCTATTCATATTTCTTTGGATTTATTTCTACCTTCTTCGTTGTCACTGTATTGATCCGAGTCATTATTTCCATTTTGTTTGTTGTTCTCTGCAGATGAAGAAACAATTGGTGCAGGTATGAAAGAACTTGGCTCTTGGCCCTGCTCTTTCAGCTTCAGTAATTTCTTCTCATACAGCTTCCTTGTAGTAGCTACAGAAGAACAGGAAATTAGATATCTCAGAATAGACAAAAAGTTCTAGTTCCTATATGTGAGTTGATAAGAAACTCCATTTTCCCTACTGTGTTCAGTGAATCACCAAGATTAACAGACAGTGCACTGCAAGCTTTTAGGCAGCATTTTGAAGCTTATGTATTTCAACAGTTTCCAGTTAAGAAATCCCACAGCAGTAAAGGAAAGATCAGGCTAGTATCTGTCAAGTAAGAGCTTTTTTTTTTTTTTAAAGGGTGCCAACGTAAAATGAACTAATAAACCTGGGGAACCTTTATCTGAATCAAGGTAGCAAAATGTAGGAACCTTTGAGGATAGCCAAAACAATCACAAAACAAAATGGAAAACCCTCAGTTAACATAAAGTAAACAAGTAAACAAGGCCACATTTTATGGCTGAACATTTTTAGGTTCAAGAACGTTTCTTGAATTATGTGATTATGAAATGACAGATGAGGAAGCTTGATGGATTCGTTTGAGGATGTGAAAGAAACACTTTTATGGAGTTAAGAATGCAAGATCCAGGAAGGGGTGAGGGAACAAGGGGCATGCAAACACGTTGGTGGGCCTCTCAGGGCCAAACAATGCATTACAACAAATACACTTACTGAAGTGTGCTGAAGCTGGCCACTTTTATTGTGACAGAAAAGCGGCAATCCAGGGCCCCAAATCACCCTGCATTAAAGTCCTGTGCCTATGTCCCATCAGCAATCCCCACCCCTACCTACAGTGCTATTTGCCCCTGAATATGTTCTTTTCTGCAAGCAACACATTGAGGTAAATAGCAGAAGAGGGTTTTTTCTTGGGCAGGGGCAAGTTCAGCAGAAAACTGTGGCCTTGGCACAAAATTAAGCCAGATTATAGAAGTATTATTTGTTCATATATACAAAGTGTAACATCAACAAAGGTTCAAATCTGGAAGAGGGGCAAGGCCCATAAACACATCTTACAAAACAAAGCCCATAAACACATCTTAAGTCTGTCATGTTTCCAAACAGTCAATGAGATAACAGCTTAGGTACATCCAACGAAGTACTAGTAGTAGTTTTTCAAATTCTAAATGGCTATCTGCAACCGTAATTTCATGGTTGCACCACCTTTATGCAAACCTTCTCATTTCGCATGTGGAGAGTCTTTATTTATACCAGGGATGGGTGGCCTAGATATTGCTGAACCAGAATTCCCATCACCCACGATCACTTGCAATATTGGCTGAGGCTGATGGGAGTTGGAAACGATCAATGTTTGCAGGGCCACAGGTTTATATGACTCAAGAACAGCTTCTGCTTGTGTCCGGCTAATCAGCATTACGCAAAATGATTTGAGGTGCTAAATTCTTGTTTACTGAGTGTATGGACAATTATTATGGACTTGTGCACCTTGCAAGCATCCAAGTTAATGGCAGACATTGTAGCACTGACCAAAGGAAATGCTATTTCTGCCAGCCTGGAGGGGCTGGGCAATTACTAATGTTGATGAAGTGAACACCACCAAGCACGTGATTATTATTTTGATTTAAAAAACACTATTAATGAGATACTACAGAGTATTAGCTTACCCACAATAGGACCTGGATTCACACCATATCTCAGAAGCTGGTCTTTGAGTTCTTCATTACTGAGATCTGTTACATCTATATCATCCTGCTCTTCTGGCCTCGGTTTGTCAGTCTTCTTTGTTGCCTTCTGGGAAGAGATAGCCAAAGTGTTAACTGCATTGAAGAACTAGGTTATTAAGCATGTAAATACACAATAATATAAGCATGAGGAGCAATACCACCAGAGCAATCCAGATTCCATCTTAAGTGTTCCTGCGTACTGATATTTTGGAGTTGAATGGAAAATAAAGCAACTTCCCTATATAGTTAATCCTCTTAATGCTGTGAAAAAATACGCTACCACCTTCTTCATGCCCTTTCCATTACTAAGAACAGTTTGCACCACCAGCTAACAATTCCCAGGCCTTGATGGAGTTTTGCTTTTTAAAAATCACTTCCTTTTGGCCTATGTTACTTCAACATTTCTGCACTGTCACTAAAGCATGAACTGTGTGCAACAAATCAAAACCCTATTTACAGTGGTTCCTCGGGTTAAGTACTTAATTCGTTCTGGAGGTCCGTTCTTAATCTGAAACTGTTCTTAACCTGAAGCACCACTTTAGCTAATGGGGCCTACTGCTGCTGCCGGAGCACGATTTCTGTTCTCATCCTGAAGCAAAATTCTTAACCCGAGGTACTATTTCTGGGTTAGCAGAGTCTGTAACCTGAAGCGTATGTAACCCGAGGTACCACTGTATTGTCTTTCCCAATCATGCTACCCTAAAGACCTTCCAGGGAACAGCATAACTTTGGATATGTTTGGTTCTTTTGTCTCTATAAAAACAACACAATACCAGTACATAGCTCTGGAAGGCTGGGGGACCCTCTACAGCAGATTTTTAGAGTATGCAGAGCAGGAGAAAAAACAGAAGTCCTGTTGCACAGTATTGGATAAAAACCCCAGTTTCTAACTTTTCACTATCACATAGTCTATTTAACGATTCACATATGGAATGCCATAAAATCTTCATTACAAAATAGCCAAGGGAAGAAAATTGAAGCACATTTCTGCAAATGCATTCCTATATTCTGGAACAGCCTCAAGTAATTAGCATAGCCTCCTTGTGGATCCATGGCAACCCACAAACAGAGAACAAGTATTGTTAGTAAATATTACAGAAATCTGATAATATATTTGGCCCATTGAGATGAACACATTTCACAATCTTATAACAGGGAAAATAAAGTAGCAACATGGGACAAGTATAAAACTTTGCTTTCCAGGAAATTCTTCCAATCATTCCTATAACAGACTTTACACACTATGTGTAAGAATTTAGAAACAGAAGTGTTCTCCAATAATAAAAATCACAGCCAGAAAGGCCCAGCCAAAAGTCAAGTCTTTCTACTGAAATAGAATCAGCTATGTCCCAAGTGCTACTCTGATGGCACACATTTTGGCACAAGCATTTTATACACACAAAATTGTTTAACCATTTAAACTTTAACATTTATCCCTGTAATCTATGATTGCATCTCAAACAAATTTGTGCTAGAGATTTAGAAGACCTGAAGGACAGGAGGACAAAATTGGGCCTCTTTTGTAAAATGAAATTAAGCTACAGCCTTGGCACACATTAAGTTAAGCAAAAAGCTTAAGAACCAATCAAGATAAGATGGTACTGAAGTACTTTAAACTCCTAACTCAGTATTTGGGATACAAGACCCTTCTGCTTTTTATGACAATTTCTGAAAAGAAAATAATCATTGCTTTATCACAGGGATGGGGAACCTGTGATCCTCCAGATGTTGTTCAACTACAACGCCAACCCGCCCTGATCACTGCTTATCTGGCTAGGGAGGGAATTCAGAGTCAAACAATATCTGGAGCCACAACTAAGTATTTAGCTGTATTGCAGGAGCCTGGACTAGATGACCCTCATCATCCCTTGCAACTTTACAATTCCATGATTCTTTGAAATAATTTCAAGCAGAGGATAGAATTTCTAGCAGTTGTATACATAGCCAGTAGGAGGCATCAAAGTCAGCAGAACATACTTTTACTTTCCTCAGTAGAACATCTCTTGCAGTACCAAATGGGAAAAGCTGCATATAGAGAAGCACTGAACAGATAACCCAGTGGAGAAAAACACAAAACAGTTTAAAGGCGGGGTGATTACAAGACCTCCAGAGAAATAACAGAAGATGAGTTGCCAGCAAGATGACAATTTATCATGCAAAATTGAGATTGTGTCTGAAAACAAAGTGGAAACCAATATGCATGTGGACTACATAAATATCTATTTGAAAGGTAGGTTGGCCTTTAAGTTGCTTCAGCATGACTTCAAGTCAACAACCAACTGGCTAACATAAAAATGTACTTGCAGCCAGGTTGGCTACCCACAAATGCCAGCAAAGGTTCTCATCAATCAGTCATTTTTGTTTCACTATCCTGCTACAGGAGTTGAAATTAAGTCGAATACTGTTACAGATATACTCCATTTGCACATTATTTCTCCTCAGCTCTATTACATATAGTATAGTAATGATAGCTATATGTTAGCTATAACATATTAACATCAAAATTGCTTTAGGCAAAGTATATATTCTATATATTCGAGAGAAACTTCAAGTATGCAGACAAAAAAATTGTTAAATATATTTTTAAAAGTCATCTTTAAAAGCCCTAAGAGGACTGAGTGTAGTCACTTCTGTCCACTGTTGAAGGCAGTTGAGTCAGGAAAAAGGAGTGAAATGAACAAGATCAACCCCAAAATAGCTTATACCCTAAGTTCTCTTCCAGAACACTATTTCATATCCTGGGGGAGTTAGAATTAAGAGTCGGAGAATGACTACATTAAGGGGTATGCATCCCCTAATTCCTTCCGCATAGTCTAGAATTATATGAACTGCTACAGACTATTTAACAAGGGTGGCATGGAGGAAAAGTGTTCACTTATCCTAATTAACTCACTCTCCAGACCTCTATCAACTATGAATGACACAGGCTTCAACAACTTATGTCATCCTAGAGAAGTGTAAACATGTGTATTCTTTCACTCCAACCCTCCTTTAACTCTCCCATACAGCACAGAGAACAGATAATAGCTGCTTCTCACACAGTGCCACTCAAGATTAGAAGCTTTCCTCCTCAGCTAGTGCTGAAGCTCACTAACAGGGAAAGGGTTGTCAAAATAGTATTCTCTGGGTGTTACTGGACTACACTTCCCATCAGCCCTAGCCAGCACTGGTAAATGATCAGCGATAAAGAAAATTGTAATCCAGCAGCATCTGAAGGGCACCACACTGGCAACTCCTACAACAGGGCAATTGCACTATTGGGTTAGTCTGCAGAGGATAAGGAATCTATGCACCTAGTTCCATGAACAAGTCTCCGTTGTGCTGGTGGAATGGGAAGCAGAGTTCTCAATTGTTTATGCTCCTCAATTCATCACTGCATCACAAATTTCCCCCCATGACTGGAAAAACAAAACCCTAGTTTAATATTGATTTTGTACTGTTCACATTTCATGGTGCACATAGTTAATTGCACCTACCTTCTATACCTCAACTCAAATCAATTTAGCATTTATTAACCGAAGGAAGCTGTATCACATTGTAACAAAACAAGTCTCATGGCACATTGAAGACTAACTTATTTTAATAACTAAACTTTCATAATTATACATTAATTTTGAGTACTGTACATCTACATTTTTCTTAAAATCCAAATAATATGAGGGAAATATATGCTACCAAGTTGTGATGTTTTGAAATATTCCAAATAAAATATTCCAGTAACACAATGTCAAAGTAACACTTTTTACTAAGTAAATTTTATTAATTTCCTTCCCCACCTTCAATCAATTACTGAGTTTCATTACTTTGGGCTATTGGAAAATTTATCCAATATTCAAACACATTTTGATTTACATTTTTTCCAATTAAAATTTTGAGAAAGCCCTCATTACTCTTTTAAAAATCTATTTAATGAATTGTACATTTAACAGCCTTGGATAAGTGAATGGTGGAAAAACCCAACAGGTTTACCATGGAAACTTAGCCAAGGCAAAGTCAGCTACCCTTTTAAAGGTCTTGCTGATTCACATTTAATACTTTCTTCTTAATTACCTGACTGACCTAAGGTCTCATGCAAAGCAGGCTTTCAAATAAAAAGTATTATTTGTTGCTTATTTTATACTGTGGAGAACCCAGATGCCTTTAAAAGAAATGAACTGCATATTTTCTCTAAGCATTAGCTGGATAGATTATTCATGATTTTAAATAAGTTGCCGATAGGCCTATTGTGAAAGTCACTCCATCAGATTAGCAAATGTAAAGCAAATTTCTGTGTAGTGCAATCCTATACATTTAAATAGTCTTACCTTGGAAGTCGAATGGAATCTGTTCCGAAAGTCCGTTCAACTTCCAAAGCATTCAGAAACCAAAGCATGGCTTCCAACTGGCTGCAGGAGCTTCCAATTGGAACCTGCGTCAGACGTTCGCGTTCCAAAAACGTTTGCAAACCACCACTTCTGGGTTTGCAGTGTTCAGGAGCCAAAACGTTCAAATCACAAGGCATTTACCTTCTGAGATATGGCTGTATATTAATAAACCCAGGTGAGTATGTAAATATGATTTATTGTCATTGTGATTTGATTTTTCAGATTGTTTTATTATGAAGCACATATTTTTATGTGCCTGCTCTTGGACTGATTTGAATGAAAAGCAGGTTACCTAAGTAAATAAAATATATTTAGATTTGGAACTTTTTCCTCTGAAGATACAAGAGTTACTTTGTTTCTAGTATTGCAAAATATATATATGAATGTGTGTTATATACTGTAGCCATCCACAGAAACAAAGGACACTTACAGATAAATGGTTCAGTGTCTCAGAAACAAATGATCCACAGGCACAAACACCACATCAAGCATTTTGGAGTGGTTGTCCCAAACTTTCTGGTTAGTATTCCTTTTCTGGAGGTGCACTTGCAACTTTAAATTGGGTTTACCAATATTTTCATTGCTGAAATTGCTACACAGGATTGCCCTAAAAGCAGAATCCATGAGACATTGTTCCAAAGGATAATTAAGACTGGGGGATTTTAAACAAAAACACAGATGGAAGTTGCTAAAATCCATAATTTCATTTTCTACATTAGGCAGAAATTTCTAGCTACACTTTCCTCTGCTCTTTCTTGTAGGTTTCAGAGGAGAGCTCTCCCTTCACTACATAAAGGGAGCAGGGTCAACATTTATGTGCCCTTTAAATATCAGGTCAACTCTCTGAGGCGCTTCAACAAAAGTTTGGTCACCTAATATTTCCATATCTGCACAGCTCCTTCAACTTAGCTGTTCAAAAGTCACTACTCTTTGACACCAGACACCTGTTATTTGAAACTGAATCCCTGCTTGAAAACTTTCAAGTCATGACAAGATGCAGAATCTTGCAACACGTTATTTTATGGCTACGTTCATTAAACTGCCTTTCAGAAGACTGTTTTTAAAGAGGCAGGGGAAGATTACTTGGAAGCAAGAATGCCTCTGATCGGTTACGCAGAAGGAGCAAAAAATAGTCAAAAGAAGTTCAGCCATAAAAGTGCAGAACAGCTTTAAATAAACAAGCTTAAAAGGGGTTTTACAAAGGCAACCACTTTTACTGTCCCGAACCTCACATTCATGCCCAGTGCAACATGGAAGTAGGTTCGCGCGCTCAAGGAACCGTACTCTTGTCGCGAAAGTGCTGCTAAGGGTGACAACGTGGGTCGCCAGGGGCCTAGCTCGGCTTTTTTCACGTGGAGAAGGGGCCTGGTGTAGTACAGGGCGCGGAGCCAAGGCCCACCACGTGCCTTGTTAGCGACAAGTTATGCAGAAGTGAAACCCTTCTTGCGCCTGGCAGGGCGCCCGGTAAGTTCAAACTTCTTTTAGGAGAGCTCTTCGCAACCCTCCTTATAGAAAGAGCGGTCTGCAGCGCCAGAGGAGGGCGGCAGGTGACAGCTTTTTGGGTGGGGGGAATCAGAGGGCGGCCCAGGTCAGAGGGCCCATCTTTGGCTATTCCGGTCGCGTTTTGCCACTAGAGCTTGGAGCGGCACCTTTCAGCTTACCAAGCGCCCCCTTCCCCCCGCAGACTTCCTGCCTGCCAGCCTGCTTGCACTAAAGCAGTTTCTATCCACGCGCAGCCATCATCTCTCTCTCCGCGCGCGCGCCCCGCCCGCCCGTGAGGAAACATGGCGCCGCCCCCTGCGAGAGAAAGCGGGAAAACTCCGCCGCCCCCTCAGCGCTCGAAGGCCGCTTTCCAGGCTCGTAATCTGCTCTGGCGCCAGATAACGGCCACGGGGAGGAGGAGGAGGAGGGGGGGGCGGCGCGGCTTACCCGGCCCACGGCGACGGTCGCGGCGGCGGCGCCATCTCCGCCGATTCTGTTCCTGGCGACGACCGGGCTGGGCTCCTGCTCCTCTTCGCTGGAGAAGTCGGGCTGCGCCTGGGCTCCCGGCGCGTTCCTCGAGGTGAGGTGCTGGAGGTAGAGCTGCACATACACGTCCTTGCGCTGCTCGCCGCCCGGCAGGCTCACATTGTTGGCGATCAGCTCGCTCTTCAGCTTCTCCTTGGTGAGCACCGACGGGTCCGCCAGGAACTCGGGCATCGCCAGGCTCGGGCTCTTGTCGCCGCCCTCCCAGGAGACAGCGAGAGAGAAGGAACCGCCAACAAAGAGGGGAAGGAGGAGGAGGAGGAGGAGGAGGGTGGCGGGAGGGAGGAAGGAGAGGAGGAAGAGGAGGGGCGGGATGGAGAGAGAGGGACGAACAGCCTTGCTTAACGCACCCAACTCCCGCACAGCGCGAACGCCCCCCTCCTTCGCCCGCCCGCCAATAAAGCGCGCCGGCATTGGTCGGCGCAATCGCAGAGCTGCGCTGTGATTGGCTGCGCGGCGGAGAGGAGCTGCGCGCGGGTTCCCCTCAGAGTCGGTACTTTGCGCGAGCTCCCTGTCGCGCAGTTTAAATTCGAGTCAGGCGGGAGCGGCGGAGAGCGCGGCCCGAACGCTTCTCCCGCGACGGGGAGCTTCGATTGTCGAGGGGCGGGGCTTGTTCAGTAAAGGAGGCAGACGCGGGCAGAGATATTTCCTTACTTTCCCGATAGGGAGAGAAGGGAAAGTAACCAAGTTGTTTCTACCGGGGTCGACCCTGGACGGGACCGGGATTGGGGAAGCGGGGTCTGTAGGCGGAGAATGGTGAGGCGCCCATTGTGAGGAGAGAAAGAGCCTTTGTTTACTACATCAGCTCCTCGAGGGCCTTGTGATTCTGTTAATAATAACAATAAAAACCATTTAAACATGAAGTATTATTCTCCCGTGCGCTGCTGTGTTCCCCTTTGATCGTCTTGCCCCGGAGAAGCGGCCCGGGTGTCACGCGGACAAGCTTTCGGCCGGATTTGTTGCGCAACGCACGAAGCCACCTTCTCGCAACTCGCCCAGTTTGTTAATTCCACTTGCGCAAGGCAGATTTTAAAAGTACTCGCTGGGTGACAAGTTGTTGTATTACGTAAAAGGAACAATTGGGTTTGGCACTGGTTGCATGATCAAAGGTTTACTTAAAAAAACGTAGGTTGTGATAATTGCTAGTAATTTTACAGATAATTCCTGTAAAAACTGAACAGCCAACAATATTAAAAACTTGGTTTTGAAATCACCTGCATATGTACCATGTTTTAACACTAATTAAATAAGTGTTAAAAATCAGTCTGACCAGTGTAGAAAACTGCAAGGAGTTACTGCTCTGGTGTAGTAGAACTTGTAAGATTTTCTTGCAGTGAACTTTTTCTTTAACCATCCACATGGGTGTAGCCAGGATTTTTGTTAAAGGGAGACAGGCTTTTATTAAGGGGGGGCAGAACCTCAGATTTGTATTGATTTCTATTGATTTGGGGGGCAGCTGCCCCCTCTGTGCTACACCCATGGCCATCCATGGCTGTAATTATGAGTCATATTTTCATCTACCTAGTTTCTTAGGCCAGTATGTCTTTCTATATTTTTATTCTTATTACTTTTTCATGTAATCCATCTTAAGTACATTACACAATATTTTTGTTTTGTTTTTAACTTCCCATATCACTTGATAAGATGTAGCTCAGATCTCGTTACTGCCCGTTCGTTTTTAACAATGCATAAATTTAAACCTACGAATATCAAATTTATGTTTTTCTGTTGCTAGGGATATAAATCCATCTTGTATTACAAAAGAATTAAAATATTTACTTAGGAATCCAAAAAGGGTTTCCACTTTTCTACAAACACCTTATCGTTAGAGTCTTAGTCTGGCAGTTAGTTTTGCCATTTCAGTATACAGTGGTACCTTGGTTTACGAACTTAATCAGTTCCAGAAGTCCGTTCTTAAACCAAAGCGTTCTTAAACCAAGGCATGCTTTCCCATAGCAGCGGGGGACTCAGTTTACAAATGGAACACACTCAACAGGAAGCGAAACATGTTCCTATTCCAAGGCAAAGTTCACAAATCAAAACACCTACTTCCGGGTTTGCAGCATTCTTAATCCAAGTTGTTCATAAACTAAGCTGTTCTTAAACCAAGGTACTACTGTAGTCCATTAATTTATTAAAATTAGGCAAGTATGTCAATAGCCCTCTTCATCATGTGTATGTCCCCACTTCAGTTTAAGAAGAAATATGTGAACTTCCCCAACTATTGATAATAAATAGATTCTGTAATGCTGTGTAGACACTGAAGGGCCAGTTTCCCTCCATTCCTGACTCAATTCATGAAGGCCCAGAGTTCACAAACTGCAATGACCTTCTGGCAAGCTCTGTGGTTGCTGCATAAGCCACTCCACAATGTGCCAATCAATGCAATCAATGTAGGTCAGATATGGATGGGGCTTCGAGCTGCTGATTTCTAGTCTGCAGTAAGTAAAAGCTGGTGGTTTTTTTTGCAATCGCTGTGACTACAGGCAAACAGGAGAAAGGAAGCGGAGCAGAGGTGTTGAAAACAGGTGTTTAAAAGTTTCCTGGACAGGTATTCCAGCAAAGGGAAAAAACAGTTGCAGGGTCTCCTGTGTAATTTTTAGGAAAACACAGTTGCACATCAATTGTCACTGAAGAGTAGCTGCAGTAAGGAGATGCTTAAAACAAAACACTGTAGAAGCAGGGAAGTGAGTGGAGCAAGTAGTTCCAGGTTCCTGGGACTATTGCTTCAAAATTCTGGATGCCATTCCAATATTTGCACTTTCACTGCACTTCAGAAACAATCACCTAGAGAAGGTAGAGTAGAACACGTGCTAGGTGGGGAGTTTTAGATATGGGAGAGCATTCAAACAAGCAACTGCAGTCTTAAATGTTTTAATCTTGGAAAGGTCCACTACATCCTTTTTCTTTAACTTAGATCAGTTCCTCACCAAACAATCTGCTGCGATAGCTGAAGTGGTATGGATACCACTGGGTGTATATTTTCTGTTGGTGTGTGTTTTATAGGGTGATATTGCAAAATCCCCAGTTGCACCACATTTTAAAATAATACCAGCATGAGGAAAGCTACAGTGTCAGCACATTCACATTCTTTCCAAGAATATCTTCAGTTTCTTCATACTATCTTCTGTTCACAAATTTATTGTTCTAGCCCAGGGGTCAGCAAACTTTTCAGCAGAGGGCTAGTCCACTGTGCCTCAGACCTTGTGGGGGTTTGGACTATATTTTGTGGGGGGAAATGATGCAAGAGAACCACGAGCCCCGGTAGCTGTTTACCTGTGTCTTGCGAGTGGCAGGGGCTGGCAGCGGCGGAGGGATGATGAGCAGCACGTGAAAGGGCTCCAGAGAGGGGCTGCTTAAAATGGCGACCGCTCGAGCGCTGCTGCTGCTGACACCAACAAAGCCCAGCCCCCTTCCTCCTTTAGGCAGGGCGGGGAGAAGCTGGGAGGGAGGAGGCACCACCGTGTGAAGGAGAGGGAGGAAGAGGGAAAGAACACGCACACTGGTGAGCCACATTGTGATTCCTGGACCATCCGCGGGCCGGATCCAGAAGGAAATTGGGCCTCATCTGGCCCACGTACCTTAGTTTGCCGACCCATGTTCTAGCCAAAGGCCATGACAAACTTGTATCAATAGTATTAATAAAATAATACCGAGCATACATCCATAATGTAAACCAACATCCAGGATGTATGAGAGAGAAGATACCAGAAACACCAAGCTAAAATCTAGCTTGATTCCAAGAATATCAAACAAATGGTTACATTAAGCATACAATTCTATGCACACATATGGGAGTAAGCCACACTAAAATTGAGACTAACATCTGAGCAAACATTCCTAAAACTGGGTTTATAGAACTGTGTATTAAGTATTTCAACTGTTGGGGGGGAGGAACTGCTGAATGTGTGCCTAAAAATGCGAAGTATGTTGAAAGAAGAAGCCAAAAGTATTTGTGCAATACTGTGCCAGAATTTCTAAACTTGTAGGAATGTGAGAAGGGGAGATCAAAACAGTTCCTTAATATGAAAGCACAATTGACTTTTTGGTAATCTGAGGTTTGGAAGTTATCAATGTTTCTTTTATTGCAATCTAAACAGAATTGTAATTTCTTATTCCCTAAGTTTTATGATTAAGAATGAAAATTTCAATCAATTCTTACGTTGTAACTCCCTTCAGGCAGCCATGGCCAATGGTCAAAGATGATGTGAGAATTGTAGTCCAAAACATCTGGAAGGCATTAAGCTGGGAGAGGCTAACCTACATAAACATTAAACAAGATACAAATTATCATTTCTAAGCATAAAACTTAGGCGATATGAAATTAATATTTTGTTTACAATTTCATTAAAATAAATATTGATAACTTCTGAATCTCAGCTTACCAAAAAGTCCATTGCACCTTCACATTAAGGAAAGTGTTTTGATCTAGATCATTCACCATTAAGTATTTTCAGGATTAGCTCAAAACATTTTTTTCCCCATTATTATATACCACTTGATTGTAAAAAGAGAAAAGAAAAAACCCAAGAACCTCAAAACAGCTTACAAAGAGTAAAATAAGAAAATTATCAGTAAAAACAGTCAAAAACAACAATTTTAAACATTTAAGTAATAACTATTCAATAAAACATTCAAATAACACTATTAATCTTTTTTTTCTATACCCTCTTCTATCTACTTGGTGCAACCTCAATATAATTTTATATCTAAATGCAATATTATACACCAGGAGTCACTAACCTGTGTCCCTCCAGATATTGAACTAGAACTCCCAATAGTCTCAGTCAGCATGGCCAATGGTCAGAGATGATGGGGTTTGCAGTGCCCACTTTCCTGAGCAGAAGCCCTACTGAACGTAGTGAGATGTACTTTTGACAAAAAAAGGCATAGGATTATACTGTAAATTATTTAATCTGTAATAAGGACCCACAAAGCCATTCACATAAAATAGCAAAAATCACAATGTAACCAATAAAAGCCTCAAAAGCAACAGTAATAAAACCTTCAACTGAATACTGTACAGTGGTACCTCAGGTTACATACACTTCAGGTTACATATGCTTCAGGTTACAGACTCCACTAACCCAGAAATAGTGCTTCAGGTTAAGAACTTTGCTTCAGGATGAGAACGGAAATCGTGCTCCGGTGGCGTGGCTGCAGCCCGAGGCCCCATTAGCTAAAGTGGTGCTTCAGGTTAAGAACAGTTTCAGGTTAAGAATGGACCTCCGGAACGAATTAAGCACTTAACCCGAGGTACCACTGTATTAAAAACCACTAAAAGCCTTGTGAAATAAGAATGTTTTCATTGCCCACTGATACTTTCACCTCCTTTGGGAAGAAATTCCATAACCAGGGGAAAAGGTAAAGGTAAAGGACCCCTGAAAGGTTAAGTGCAGTCAAAGGCGACTATGGAACGCTCATATTGCTTTCAGGCCAAGAGAGCTGGCGTTTGTCCACAAACAAGACAACTTTCTGGGTCATGTGGCCAGCATGAAACACAGTTTACCTTCCTGCCGCAGCGATACATATTTATCTACTTGCACTGGTGTGCTTTCGAACTGCTAGGTTGGCAGGAGCTGGGACCCTGAGCTCACCCAGTTGTGGGGAATTCAAACCGCCAACCTTCTGATCAGCAAGCCCAAGTGGCTCAGTGGTTTAGACCACAGCGCCACCTGCATCCCTGATACTTTCACCTCCTTTGGGAAGAAATTCTACAACCAGGTACTGCCCAGAAAAGACCCCATTTCACATTTCCAACAACCAGACCTCTTTTGGAGGTGAGACAACCAGGGCCTCTTGTAATATTTCTTGTGTTACACTAGGACTTCCTGTGTTACAGGGCCTTCTGTAAGACATCCTGTGTTACTAGTTCCTGTGCAACTCCTGTAAGTAGAAGACTTCCTGTTTAAAATATTTTAGAAAAGAATAAACATGGTTTGTACATTTATGATTGACTTAGTAGACAAACAAGCTTAGTTATGGGACATCTTGCACAAGCAGACCATTATGCAACATGGAGTACACTAATTGCTATGTAGAACATCACAAACCACAATACAGTAATTGCAGAATATTATCTTCATGGCAGTCAAGGGTGATGGGTGTAAACACCAGGCTGTCGTTTCACATACACTTTCTCTCTCACACAAAAGTGAATAAGGCATCAACTGCAAACTATACTGTGATACGCAATGGAACGCAATCTTACATGGGAGAGTAGGAGATACCCTGCCTTTCAGCATCATAAAAGCTAACACTGCTACTGTGGAGAAAGACAAAGAAGAGTTACATTACTCTGACTTCTGAGACTTCTCATATGTATACATTCAAACATGCATGCGTGCATAGGTGCATAGGGCAGGTTGCCATTTCTGGTGTATATGATGACTGAACAGTGGTGAGGTCTGGGTAGATCTGGTTTCTGAGAAACTTATTTTCAGTCTACCCCTTCATTGGTTCTCAATGAGTAGATTTGCTGTCTGTACAAGTAGACTGGTCCAGATAACATGTTTTTATATATGGACTTATTTTAAATGTTGGTATTGTTTTATATATGGACTTGTTTTTAATTGTTTTATACATGAAACTGTTTGGCACTTTCCTTGTTTTATGGTTGCAACTGTTTTATTTGTTTTATAGTTGTGTATTTTATTATTGTAACTCACCCAGGGATTGGGTAAGAAATCTAATAAAATAAGCAAACAAATACCCTTTTACTCACTGATGAAGTCTTCATCCTCCTCCAACCCTTAATTGCACTACTGCTATATAATCAACTTTACAACCCTGCCAAACACTGTATTTCCCTAAAAAACAAAAACCATCAATGTGCAAGGATAATAAAACTGGAATACATACACTACTCTAATCCTCTCTCCCTAGCGAAATGGGTTTAACAATGCTGGTTTACTTTGAAGGAGCATAATCCATGGTCTCAGCTACAGCCCAATCCCTTGCAGGATGGGCATAATGTATGGATTTAACACGCATTGGCAATGGCAGAAGAAAATGTTTACAAACATCAGGGAGGGAGGAAATCACATTTCCACCTATAAGATCTCAGAAAGATCATGAACTCCTCTCTTTGCTGTTACCATTTATTTTTGGGTTGACAGGCTTCTCTCAAATCACAGGTACACTAATATCTGAGCTATCTGAATTGTTTTCTGTGGGACAGCAGTCCAGCAGGAAAGCCTAGCAGAAAAGGCTTGAAAACAAGTCAAAAGCTTCCATCTCTTTGAGTCTATAAGCAGCAGGTGTTTCAATCTAGCCTTCTTGTTGTCTAATTGCCCATGTTTGTTTTCCATTGTATCAAATCATTGCTATGATTTCATTCATTAGCTAAAAGCACTGAACGGCACCATCAGGCTAGTTTCGCAGAAACCAAGTGAGGTCTGCAGTTTCTGCCTCACATATATCTCAGGTCCTAGGAACTTAATCTTAAAATGGTAACACTCGGAATCTGGAGATTTCCATCTGGGTGATGGGAAGTGCTTCTCCTTACCCTACCTGCAGACACCCATGGCTTGAACTTAACAACGGGCTGATAGATGTCTGTGTTGGTTGTGAAGACATAGTTGATTTTCATGTCACATTCCTTTGAAGCACCACCTGAAAATGTGGGCGTCAGCTGAGGAGGAAGATTAGTCCAGGCCCTGAAGAGATTTCCCATGTTTTATTTTTTTATCAGACGAAAAGAGAGAGGAAATGTTAATGCATTTTGCCAATTTACCTGCAATTATTACATATTTTAGAAAATTAAAAATGTAAAAAGCTTGCTATGCTGGCAATTTGCTAAGTGTTCTCTTTAAGATGTTGGTTATAAGTGAAGTACATCCCTCACTCCTGTGCACTAGCAAAACGAACAATGTGGTAGAGAAACTTCATGGTGGGTTCAGTGTCTTTTTCAGAGTGCTTGCATGTGCTGTGTCAGCCATTCATTAATTGCTAGTCATCTCTCTGCTTTGCTAATGCTCCCACAAACCTTTTAATTAGAAAAGGATAATTAGGGTCTTTGCTGCCAGTGAAAAATCATCTGGTGCTTACCCAAGTTTGATGCATAAAAGCTTGTGTCTGTGTACAAAAAAGAAAAGGCACAATCACTTTATTAGTGAGCCTTCAAACAAATTCTGTTTAAAAATGTATTCAGTGTTAAACAAGGGACACAGTTATAGAAGCTTTATTTCAGAAGAGAGTCCCCCACAAAAAAAGTCATATTAGAGTGCTGTTGGGCTCATGTCCTACTTGTAAGTTTCCCATGGGCATCTGGTTAGCCATTTTGAGAACAGAATGCTGGACTAGGGAGGCCTTTAGTCTGATTTAACAGGACTTTTCTTACATTTTTATAGCATATAAGTGGAACTTATACAAGTCCAAATAACCTCCCATAAACACTCCTTGATTTTTTGTTATGGGTCTTGTCCAGCTTTGCAAAAGGAACACAAATGCATGACTGTTTTTATTAAATACTGCCTTGTACATTCCTGCTTTGAAATGGATTGTCAGTACAGTATTCTACTTAAAGAGAATACAGATCATGAACCAGATCAGAAGAGTAATTTGAAGAGGTGGAGGGGGCCATGGTGGGTGGGGGTGGGGTATGATCTGTATAAAATGTACCGTATTTTTTGCACCATAACACTCACTTTTTTCCTCCTAGAAAGTAAGGGGAAATGTCTGTGCGTGTTATGGAGGGAATGCCTACGGGTGGCATGCCTACGGATTTTCCTCCTCTAAAAACTACGTGCGTGTTATGGTCGGGTGCGTGTTATAGAGCGAAAAATATGGTAACTTGAAAAAAGAGACATAGCACATACTTTTGTAAACCAAGAAATCTTTAATAAAAAATACATTTTAAAAAAGAAGAGTAATTTCAATTTCCTTAACAGATCTTAGTGTTTTGCTTCAGCTTTCCAAATGTTTATTAGCATTAGATTAGGTTCATTTTCGGTTCAGATAAAAAATGTAATAGGGCTTTCTAAGGCTGACACCAGGCCTGGCATGCAGCACACTTGGGCATGTGCCAAAGCCTAATGGCCCCATCAGGGCCCACTGCCATCATTATTGTTGCTGGGTGGCAGCAGCAACCACCGCTGCAGCTCCTGTTGCAGGAGCCTCCTAAAACCTGGAATCATTCTCTGCATGAGCAGAAACCCTATGGAGTGAGGATAACTTTCAAATCCTGGAGACAGAGGCCTACATACATACCTTATTAATCACTTTCTATCAAGCATCTCAAAGCAATTCACTGCACAATAAGAATATATAGAGAACAATTGCCTATATATAAAACAAGCAAACATGTAAAACAATGTCAAATGCGATAGATACCAACTAGGATCTCCACTTAGATGGCTTGTTGAAGGAGGAAAGTCTTAAAACAGAAAGACAATAACGACGGCACCAGTCTGATATGTAATGGGAGGGAGTTACAAATAGGTGCTCCCTACGACCCTATTCCAATATTGTGTGAAACAGATGTCTTTACAGTGGTGCCTCGCAAGACGAAATTAATCCGTTCCACGAGAGCCTTCGTCTAGCGGTTTTTTCGTCTTGCGAAGCAAGCCCATTGACGGATTAGCGCTATTAGCGCTATCAGCTGTTTAGCGGCTATTAAAGGCTTAAAGGCTTAGGGGATTAGCTGCTAAAAGGCTATTAAAGGCTATTAAAGGCTTAGCAGATTAGATAAAGGGGGGGGAAAGCGAAAAAAAAAATCTCTAGACTCGCAAGGTATTTTCGTCTTGCGAAGCAAGCCCATAGGGGAATTCGTCCTGTGAAGCAACTTCAAAACGGAAAACCCTTTCGTCTAGCGGTTTTTCCGTCTTGCGAGGCATTCGTCTTGCGGGGCACCACTGTATAAGATTGTATATGCAGGAGTGTAGTGATTGGCTGAGAATATAGGGAATAAGATGATCTCTTAGGTATCCTGGTTTGAAGTTGTATAAGGCTTTGTAAACCAGTACCAGCACCTTGAACTTAGCCCAGTAGCTAATTGGCAGCCAGGGCAATTTTTTCAACAGCAGAGTAATGTGATGGCAATATTTTGAGCTGCTGAGCTGACACATTTGGCACTAGCTGCAGTTTCTGGGTCAACCTCAAGGGCAGCCCCACTTTGATTGTGTTAAGAGTATCCAGTCTAGAGGTTACCAGTGCGTGGACAACTGTTGTCAGGCTATTCCAGCCCAGAAATGGCTGTAGCTTCCTTTCAGACAGAGCTGTTAAAAGGCACTCCTAGCCACTAAGGTTGCCTGGGCCTGTAGTGACAGTGGTAGATCCAGGAGCACAGTCAAACTATTAACCTGCTCCTTCAAGAAGGTATGACCATTTTCAAAGCAAACGATCTGTATATGTTTAAGTTCTATGCAGACATTGCACTGAGCATAGAGTACGTGGATTCTACCTCTATATGGGTTCACTCAACTGGATATGTTGTGAAAGCATGGATTATACATTATCTATAATCGATACCATTTTCTTGACAGAAGTTCTTGGTATTTTATAAAATGATTGTTAGGAAAAACCCAGCAGGTGCAGTTTTCCCCCAGCATGACAATGTGGTGATTGGATAGCTTACACCCTTCAGTTTCATAGGCACTGTTGGATAGTCTCTCAGTGTGTGAAAATCATTTGTTCCAGAAACAGAGAACAGAGAAGCAGCAGCAGAAGGCTGAGACTGTTTTGTCCATGCAAGGACATTTTCTGTTGGAACTGTAACTATGAGCATGAGCACTATGCAGGGCCGGATTTACCGGTAGGTTTGATGAGGCCATAAGCTACTGAAGGTAATGGGACCCTTTATATGTCCAGATGTACTTTGTCAACAACCAATTGCCGCTGTTTTTTGTGTTGAATATTGTTGGACTCTAAGCATGCCTTGACCATGGCAGTGGTGAATGTCTGTATATATTTGCTACCAATATGTTTTTATGTCTGTCAAGTAAACCTCTACACTTGACTGAATCTTTATTATGTCTATGACTGTTTATTGCCTACTGTGTGTACCTTCAACCCCAAAGACGCTTCCAAGGGAGGAGCTGCATTGAGATGGAACTCTGCTGAGTATGGATACTAGAACACATGTGCAGCGAAAGTGATGCTGGACTCAATCCTTTCTAAATCATCCATCAGAGGTTGATGGATTGATCTAACAGGCACAGGTGGAGGGATCAGATAAATTGGTGGAAAGTGTACAAAAATTGTTTTTGTGCAAATAGTCATTTTGCCTCATACAGATTCCATCAAACTCAAGAGCCTATGAAGCATCTTTTGCCTAATGGATAACAGTAGATGTTAAAAATAACACCTCATCAGTCTTCTTAGGCCTAACTGCCTTTACATGCAAATATGTGTAACAGATTTGCCATAGAAGACAGTCAATTTAAAGAAGGACAGCTTTGGATAGAGGGAATATGACAGGAAGCGATGGGGCTACTCAACCTTTCCTTTGCCCATCATTTTTCTGTTCTCAATTGCATACACATTTCAGCACTTTCTGATAAAGAATTCAAGTTCCTGTTGATGTTACATTTTGAAATATTATTGTTGCATGCCATCGCAATCTCTGAGTGGTGTCAGATTCCAGAGGTTCCAGGTGCCTATCCAGGGAGTGGAGAAATAAATCAGAAGCAGCCCCTCAGCTCCAGCCAGCTCATCTTTCTCAGAGGTGTTGTCTTCCCCCTTGCCTTCAGCTACTAACTGAACCTCTTCACAGTCCCAGCCCATCACCTGCCCATCCACCCTCTGGATCTCTTCAGCCACCCCTTTCATCTGGGTGCCTTGCAGCCAGGCTTCTGGGTCATTTTCAACCCCCTGTAGCATATGGTCAGGCAGGGCCCTCACCTTGCATGGAGTCACACTTTTCTCCCCTAGGAGGGTTCTCACACACTCTTCTTGCAGCTGCTTAATTTTGTCAAACCACTGGCTCTGCTGCTGGATCATTTGCCCACACCGCTCAATTTGTTGCTGGAGTTTCTGCTGGAGCATCAGCCTGAAGGAGTGTTGCTGTTCATCCTCCATCTTGACCCAGGCACACATCACTCACAGGTCCTCCTCCAGGAAACACAAATCCCATTTCTTACACCAGTGTTGCATGCCACCCCAGTCTCTGGGTGGTACGAGATTGCAGAGGTTCCAGGCATGTACTCAGGGTTCGGTTTCCTTGGAATGAGGGACAGCACAGTGGAGACTGTGGTGTCTTTATGGTATATGGTTTGTTTACACATATATACAACCTGAGCCTATGATGGACAGCTCACAGCATCAACAGCTCAAGAGAGTCTTGCTTCTCCCATAGCTGCAGTCTTGGCTTCAAGCAGAAATCAAACATGTCTTTCCCTTACAGGCTTCAGCCTGCCACTTGTGTCCAGCTTCTACATCACATACACAACTAAACTCTGGCCTTTGTCTTTGAACAATAAGCAAGTTTAGGGAGGGCAGCCCACCCATTTGTTTTCTGCCACAGAACCACTTCCTTTGTTATCTTAACGGCCCACACTTAGGGGGACATTACCTCACCAGGAATTAGAAGGGACTGAGGCATACAGCCTACTCTTGCCCCCAACTCTTAACACTTTGTTTGTTTTTCTGTGCATAAATTAACATCTGAAGTAGTCACATAAAGGATTGCAGAAGTTACTTCGATAGTTAGCAAAAAAATGCACGGTGTGATTTTTCTAGTTACAGAAAGAGATACTGCATGCACCCTTACTTCTGAAGTTAAACTGCTTGTGAAAGTAGACCATTCACAAGCGAAGCTCCTTATAGGGTTAGCTACAGGGCTGGCCCACCTATGAGGCAGGATGAGGTCTGCACAAATAAATGCAAGTGTCACTTGTTGTCCATTCACGTATGCAGAAAGAGCAGCAGCTACAAGAGTCAGGACAAGTTCACTGCTGGGCTTAAATGGGCCAACACACTTTATGAATGGATTTACATGTCAGTGGGGGTGTATGCATGACTACAGTTACCACTTAAATAATAGCAGCATCTAGCACAAGAAGCACTTTCTGTATTACGGGTGTTTGGCAGTTACGAGGAAATACTTACCAAGATAAAAAAAACCTTTGACCCCGACGTGATTCGAACACGCAGCCTTCTGATCTGGAGTCAGACGCGCTACCGTTGCGCCACGAGGTCCTGGTGGTTTGTGGCAGGCAGGGCTGCAGAACTCGCTGAGCGCGACAGCTGAAAGATACCCGATTCAAAAATATACGGCGGTTGGGAAAGTTAAGCGGGGGTGGGGAGCGCGGGAAACGTTAAGAGTCTGGCGGATGAAAAGAGATATTTCGATCTAAAGCTAATAATTGCACTTGAGTCTCTGCTAAGCGACTGCGGGTTCCCCAGGCGGGAAAAGCTCCAGTCTGCTGAGGGTGTGAGGGAGCGTGAGAGTTAAGAGGGCAGGGGCGAAGCCAGCATTTTTGTGGAGGGGGGGGCAGGCCTTTTGTGTGTGTGGGGGGGGAGAGAACCTCAGTTTGTTATGTATAGAGTTTCATTATTGGGGGGGCAACTTCCCCTCCCTGGCCCTCCTTGCCTACGTCAATGGGGCCGCTGCCCCCCAACAAGTAAATAAATAACCCCTCCCCACAGAATGCCGGCCCCCCCCGAAATAAATCCCGGTTGTGGGGCTGCCCCTGACAGGAGTCCATTCCAATAGCCCCTCACTGCAACTTACTTTCCCGCCTTGTTCTTTTGCCTCCTTCCTCCCCTCCGCCGTCTCCCACCCCGATACTCCCTCATAGCGAAACTTTTCTCCCCTCCAATAGCCACGTTTATCAAGGCCAACTAAAATGTCACAAATCACGTATAGAAGAAAGCTTTCGAGTTTTTTATAACTTGGCTCTTACGGGCCGAGGACACGGCTCCGTTTTCTTGCCCGGAGCTCTTATCTCATCGCGGCGATACAGTGGACGTCACAATAGAACGCCAGCTACATGAGGTCTAAAGAAGTCACTTTTCCAAGCAGCTCCTCGTTAGTATAGTGGTAAGTATCCCCGCCTGTCACGCGGGAGACCGGGGTTCGATTCCCCGACGGGGAGAAGCACAGATTTTTTTTTTTACCCCTTGATGTTAGTTCGCTTTCACACAATTTAACAAATAATATAAATGCTAAAGAGTTGGACTAGATGTCTTTAAAAAAGAAAAGAAAAGAAGAATCCAGTTAAAAAGGCGGGAGAAGTCTATGCTATATCCCAAAGAGGAAACTGAATTGTGGTCTCTGACTTGACAGGCAGAGATAGAAACCGCTATTATGCTGTTTTACTGTTCATTTTCTTAATATTTTGAGCCACTTGGTGTAAATTTTGTGGGGAAGTGGCATAGAATTGATTCTAATGAACGTTTATGAGAAAACCCAACAATCAAGGGTGTTTTATGACTCAAGGGTCGGGTGTCCTGGCATTGATGCTTCTTAGTAAGAAAGAATAACAATGCGAAGCATCAAAGTTAAATGCTCCCTCATTACTTCTTCTCCTTCCCTACCAGGAATAAGTTTCCAAGACTCTTTTGAAGATTTACTTCCTAGAAACCCCAAATAACTGGAGGCTGTAACACAAGACCTGGATTGCCGGGTGGAGCCTGCCTTCATAATGTTTCATAACAAAAAAGCAACTATTTATTCCTCAGGAACAACATCTACATCCCTGGTTATTGTGAGAGACAAACCAGCAATTGCAGCAAACGCTCTTAAAATTTTACCCCGCTTCTCGCCAATTTCTATTCATTCTATCTGCTAGCACTACATCAATCAACAGGTCTGTTTTGCTATTTCTATTTAAAAGTAACATTGACCAAAAAAAGTGCTTATATTATTTATAGAAGCTGGCATGGGGTAAGAAAGCAAAACTTCAACCCTAATCCCATTTACCAGTGAGTAAAGCGAGATGGGGCGCAGGTGGTGCTGTGGGTTAAACCACAGAGCCTAGGACTTGCCGATCAGAAGGTCAGCGGTTCAAATCCCTGCGGCAGGGTGAGCTCCCATTGCTTGGTCCCTGCTCCTGCCAACCTAGCAGTTCAAAAGCACGTCAAAGTGCAAGTAGATAAATAGGTACCGCTCCAGCGGGAAGGTAAAGGGCGTTTCCGTGTGCTGCTCTGGTTCGCCAGAAGCGGCTTAGTCATGCTGGCCAGATGCTGTACGCTAGCTCCCTCGGCCAATAAAGCGAGATGAGCGCCGCAACCCCAGAGTCGGTCACGACTGGACCAAATGGTCAGGGTTCCCTTTACCTTTAAACCTTTTTTAGTTCAGTAGTGCTTATTTCTGAGTCAACATGAATAGGATTCACTGTGTCTGCTTGAACCTATCCCAAGCTGTTGTACAGAAACCCTAAATGTAACATTTCTGTCTACGTGTCTGTGCTTTTTAATCTCACTGCTCTGTGCACAATCAGTTTAAGCCACTCAAAGGCAACTTAAACATATATAATTGTGATGACACATTGCAAAGAATGATCCAATGCTAACACTGCAGTAATAGTACCTGCTCCAGGGAGAGAACAGTTTGAGTTTCAACATTGTTGTTGCGGTCAAAAGGGCTTGAGACATAAATACTTTATTATTATCAGGGCCGGATTTACGTTTGATGAGGCCCTTTATATGTCCAGCTGTCCTTTGTCAACAACAAATTGTCACTGTTTTTTGTGTTGAATATATGCTATATGGTAATTTATGGACCTAATAGGTATCTAAAGCCATTTGCCATTGTTGCTGTATGTAGGTTTTATTTTATTTGTTTTTTATCTTATATTCTGGAAATGTACAACTAGGTTTTTTTCCCTTTAAATTTTTTTTGGGCCCCCAAGAGAGTGGGGCCCTCAGCAATAGCTTGTTTAGCTTATACGTAAACACGGCACTGATTATTATTATTAAAAAAACCAATCAAGACTTCATATTTTTGTAAGTTTCAAAACAACACGCCAAACTAGCACAGACTGTTGAGGCAAGAAAGATAGACACCTCATGTGGAGTGCAAAGGATTGAGATGGTACAGAACTGCTAGGCACGTCTCCGCTCAGATTATTTTTCATCGTGGAAATTAGAGAAGCAAGCCGAGTCAGCATCGGTCAAACACCTGCTGCTGGCATGCCGAAAAAGGAGAGTAGAAAAGGAGAGTGGAGGCCCACTCCCGCAGAAAAGCAGCTATCTAGTGACTGAGTGCTGCATCTGCTTCTTATGTTTGTGCCCTGCACAATAGGCCACGGTAGGGCTGCACAGTCATCAGATAGGGGTTCTGGGCAGGCAGGAAGAGGCTCAGTCATTCTTGCAGTGTATGTTTTTATTGGAAAACCCGCAAGTACAGTACTGTGCATTTGCAGCAGTCTTCGCTCCCTCTAGTGGTACTCGGAGATTCCTTCAGAGCTAAACAACAGCAGTGAAAATGGACCATTCTAAAGGGACATTTTTGGCACGGCTGGTGCCACCACAATAAACCTTAAAGCAATGCAGCCCTTGTGTAACTGGAACTGGTTTCTGTTGTGTAGACTTGTAGAGTTGGATGGGATCCCAAGGGTCATCTAGTCCAACCCCCTTGCAATGCAGGAATCTTGCCCACAGCCATCCCTGGGTGGGCTTGAACCACCAACTTTGTGATTAACTGCCAGGTGCACTGACGTATTGCATACCCTACAACATTTATCCAATGAAAATAGGGACATCCTATTCTATAATAATTATAATAATAATGTTATTATTCATATGCCATCCATTAAACATTTTTAAAAATCCCTATTCAAGGCTGCCTGCAGATGTCTTCTAAAGGTTGTATAGTTACTGATCTCCTTGCTTCAGGGGTTGCATATCTCCATACCCTCCAACATTTCTTTGATGGAAATAGGGACATCCTAAGGAAAAGTGGGACATTCTGGGATCAAATCAGAAACCAAAATGGCTTCTGTAAATCTGGGACTGTCCCTGGAAAATAGGGACACTTGCAGGGTCTGTTATTTGCTCGTTGAAGCCCCTCCTATTAGCATTGACAGCAAGCCTGGGTGCCAACCTGAATAAAATATTGTGGGGACCTAGCTAAACCCCACTCCACATAATCTATCACATGACACAGTGCACACACAACATTTGAATGGGAACACCCATCAACTTGGGGGGGGTGGCCCCCTCAAATATTTTACTGTGGGGGCCGAAGCTCCCACGGCCCCTAGCACATATTGTAGCCCAACTTGAAATATAAAAATATTTGCTAGCTCCAAGAAACTTTGCTATTATTTTATGCTTTGAAGTCTGTAGCATCCTCTAACTAAGCTACCATATTAACTTCTTGTGGTTATGAGAAAACTTATTAATAACAGACTGGCCTTAGGCAAAACAATGCAGGGTAATCTCTATTTTTCAAGGGGTGTTTCAAAAGGACATGGAGCTCTAGCTTGTCACATTCATTGTTTTGTTGTTGCTTTAAAACATCAGTAGTATTTTTACAACACAATAGGTGCCTAAGAAAGAGGATTTAGAGATTCACTATAATAAAACACTGTCTGAAGAAAATAAAACTGAATCTTGTGATGGCTTTAGAAATTTCCAAACATCTAACTGTGTAATAAATTGTGGTTGGCAAAGCTATCCCCCCCCCAATAGTGTAGGGGTAGTTTTAAAACATCTGATGTCTGAGGGGATTTTTTGGGGAGGAGGTATCTCATGGCTTGTGGTGAGCTCAGGGGAAAGCTCTCAAGATTCTTCAAAGTTATGCTAGTAAAATAAGCAAGAACCATGAAGATTCTTGTGGCATGTTAAAGACTATTATGGCATAAGCTTTCATCAGATGCAAGCTTATTTCATCAGGGGAAGAAGACTATTCACAAAAGCTTATGCCATAGCGTAGCCACACTGCGCTTTTAAAGCACATTTAAAACACACCTAGCTTCCCCCCAAGCATCCTGGGAACCATGGCTCATTAAGGGTGCTGGGAACTGTAGCTCTGTGAGAGGTAAATTACAGCTCCTAGGATTCTATGGGGGAAGGCATGTTATTTAAATGTATGGTGTGGACGCATTCTTTATTTTGTTGTGCCACAACACCCTTTCTTAATTTTTCAGCAGCAGCATGACTCCCCCTATGGTTGTAGAGTAAAGCCCGTTTGGGGTGTTCCACTAACATGTTAGACCTATGTTGGAGCAGGCAAAGTGGGGATGAGCTTGTTAAATTCCACAAACACGCCTGCTTGTGGAGTGTGAAGGCCTGAGCTGAGCACTACTCAAGGATTAAGCAGAGTCTAAATTTCATGGGAACTTCCACAGTTAGAAGGGACTCTCCACTTCAGACCTTCACTTTCCATGAGTTGGAGGGGGGTGGGAAAAAGAGCTTAGCATGCTTATCCCTGCTCTCCCTGTTCATATGTAGGTTTTACACCCAAATCAGGCTGACGTGTCATATAAAGGCATGCATTTTATGGAGAAGTACTGAAGGTGGACTCTCCTTCATTGGAGGCCTTTAAGCAGAGGTTGGATGGCTAATATTCCTGCATTGCTGTGGGTTGGGCCAGATGACGCTTGGGGTCCCTTCCAATTCTGCAGTTCTATGATTCTGTGAACAGGGATGACTGATAAGCTGTATTGTTCAGTAGACAGTTGAAAGCAAACCCAAATGTTCCTCTGCATAATGTGTGAAATAGCTCTTAGGTGCCTCTGATAGGACTTACATTTAATAAGATTTTCTTCATTACTTGGCAAATGCAAACAGAAATGGAAAATGCTTTCATATGCACGTTGAAAGATTAAATTCAGCATGAAAATAAATATTATTTGAGAATTAGCTATTATTAAATTCGTGTTTGTATGGATTAATTAAAGCGCTTTTCACAATATCTAAGACGTGTGTGTTTGAAAAGAAGAAATACTACACACAATAGGAATTTTACAGGTTCATCAAACTCCTTTTGCCTTTTCCCTCGGCACCTTGAAAGAGTCCTAAGCATGTCAGTCACAGAGAAGGGACTTGGCTCTCAGCCCGGCAAGTTTTTGTTCTGCCTCCAGCAGGTTTCTCTGACAGACGTGATAGGGGAGGAAAGTGTTCCAAATGCTCAAGTGCACTGCTGGGGGATTCTGAGATAGAAATACATTTTAATGAATCTTTCTTTCTTAGCCAACTTTGAAAATGGCTGAACTAAACAGTCTCTCCCATTCTTTCCCCAATCAACCTGATCGAATAAAGGTGCTAATATATTTAACTCCAGAAGGGGGAGCCAGCACCACAGCTATGCGTTCTCTTCCAGACAAAATGTCTACCTGCTGTTCTTCAAAAAGGTTAGGTGAAGTAAACATCATCACAATTGCTGGGCTCATACTATATCTAGGATTGCTGCTTGCTGGCTGTGTCATTATCTCTTGAAATAGACACTGTGGTTGATGGTCCAGATGACCTGTTTTTAAATGGGAACAACAGGTTTGTGCAACATCCAAAGTGAGAACAAAGCTATAAGGCCAGCCCCCAGTTCTGCATCTCTCTTTCTCTTCCAGGGAGAGTGTTTTTTCAGCAAGCTGAAGTGAATAGCATCACATTCTTCCTTCCATAGGGGAACCTCTTTAGGAATTGGCATTGTCACACCATCGCCTGCTTGCCAACTCTCTTTTCAACACCTGGCAGCTTTTCTTGGGAGCAAAGGAAGCAGCTGTGCTTGTAATATTATTTGGGGAATTAATGCATGCGGAAGAAGCCAAAAAGATTGGGCTGGAGATGCACTTTACCTCTAAAGCTCTTTTGAGGGAAGAATGGCAAAGGGACTGATAAGCAATCAAATCACTGAAGTTTTTGATGTTTTAATTGTATTCTTAGTTCTAACTCTTTGATAATAATAATACAAAAACCTATGCAAATTAATTACCTGCATTGCTTGCTTTATAGTCTGTCCACCTGTTCAGAGAAACACTTAGTGCAGCAAAGGAAGCTGTTCTGGCTGCTTTTACTTTTTAATAGAATAAATATATTCTGTTCCAGTATGTTTTGGTCCTCTTTGCCTTTCTATATGTCGTTCTCCATCAATCAACATGATTCAACTGAAGATGTCAACAAGAAGAAAAGTAGTGATAACTGGAAGTAAATAAAGTCTGGGACATGTCTGGGGGGGAAAAAAAGTAATAATCAAATGACATAGCCTGGTTTTATCAATAGCAAGTGTTTCTGAATTATATGTCAGGTTCCAAAGATCTTGGACACTTTATGGTGTCCTTTTTATGGCAGATTCATGATGGTTTGAGCACAAGATGCTGTTGGGTCAGTCATATGGCATCCCCCCCTTTCAATATTGCGTGTACCTGCGAAAGTTTTAAGGCGGTCACGCTGCTGCTTTTTCATTCAGTGCATATTCTGTAACTTCTGCTGAAACCCCATAACTTTTTATACTACAGATGGTCTGGTTTATTTTTTCTTGCTTCCGTTGCATCACCAATTGTATCACCAATACAGCAATAATGTGGTAACATTGGGGAAGCACATCAAAGCACAAACTAAAGCAGAATCAAAGAACCCCTAATCCACTATTTTTGTGTCAAGAGCATGTTGTAGAATCCACCTGACATAAAGCAGCAGAGCGGAGGGGGCCTTTGACACTCAACTTTTCATGCTGATTTTGATTTAGTCTGTTGAGTAAGAGTGCTTGTATACCCAATACTCAAGCAGAAACAGTGCTTCTAGACGTTCACTATTTCCGAGTGACAAATTCAGGATGCACAATTAGACTCGATTTGGCGGTCTTGCACAAAAGGTCTTTTCCCTGTTTTAGGATTATTGCATTCTGGTGCACTCAACTTGCGCTAGTACACTTTCGTTACGCTGAAGGCTTCAAGGAGCTTTATAGGAAGCCAGCAGAATTCCCTCCAAGCTGTAATATTTCCCAAAGCTTTTGAAAGAACTGATGCCAGCTTCAACAGCAAAAAAGAGTGCCAAGCTTTGCATTGTACCCCGGCAACAGCTATCCAGCACAATGCTTCTGCTCAGAAATCTGCCTAGCAACCAGCGAGAGACGGAGGTGCTCCATCTACAGAGCAAGAAGGGGAATTGCACCTGACAAAGAGAATACAGTATGCGCAGCTTTCCTGCTAGTTGTCAGGTTGATTCATTTGTTGCTGTTTGTATCTGGGTGTAGAGTTTTGCTGTGTTTTTAAGGAGGGTTCCTAACAAAAAGCTGTGCTCTGAATTTTCTGTATGAGCCAGGGCCAGATAACAGCAATGGAGTAGCTAGCTGGTTATGCATTACTTACAATTCCCAGCACAAGCCATGGACATATGTGTTTGTGTGTGGAATGGTCTGTATTTTATTTTTATTAAATTGGGTAGTTGCTTTATCTTGCCCAAGGCAACCCAAAGCAACTTACAACCAACCAAACAACCCCCTCTGCCCACATAGATAAATTAAAACCAGGTAGGGGAATGCATTTAAAAAACACCCCACCCACTTCTAAAAGGCCACAGGTAGTTAAAGGCCAAAAGCCTGGTTATAGAGGAAAGTTTTTGCCTAGTACAGTGGTACCTCAGGTTAAGTACTTAATTCGTTCCGGAGGTCCGTTCTTAACCTGAAACTGTTCTTAACCTGAAGCACCACTTTAGCTAATGGGGCCTCCCGCTGCTGCCGTGCCGCTGGAGCACGATTTCTGTTCTCATCCTAAAGCAAAGTTCTTAACCCGAGGTACTATTTCTGGGTTAGCGGAGTCTGTAACCTGAAGCATCTGTAACCTGAAGCATATGTAACCTGAGGTACTACTGTACCTAAAAATATATCATGATGGCAAGCCTCCCTGGGGAGAGCATCCCACTAGTGTGGAACCACTGCAGAAAAGGCCCTTTGCAAGGGCTGCTCACATAAACGCATAAGAAGAGGCCTGTTGGGTCAGGTCAAAGGCTCATCATATCAACCCAGTGTCTAAGGTAAAGGTAAAGGGACCCGTGACCATTAGGTCCAGTCGTGACCCACTCTGGGGTTGCGGCGCACATCTTGCTTTACTGGCCGAGGGAGTCTGCGTACAGCTTCCGGGTCATGTGGCCAGCATGACTAAGCCGCTTCTGGCAAACCAGAGCAGCGCACGGAAAAGCTGTTTACCTTCCCGCCAGACGTGCTTTCGAACTGCTAGGTTGGCAGGAGCAGGGACTGAGCAATGGGAGCTCACCCTTTTGCGGGGATTCGAACCGTCGACCTTCTGATTGGTAAGTCCTAGGCTCTGTGGTTTAATCCAGATGCCTATTGGAAGCCCACAAGCAGGGCCTAAGTTCAACAGATCTTCCCACTTGTGATACCCCTTAACTCAATATATATATATATATATATATATATATATATATATATATATATACACACACTATCCTGCGTCTATGCCTTTAACAGCACCATGACAGGACAGAAATTTAGGAGAGGACAGAGGACATGGAGTTATTCTCAGTTGGCAGCAGGTATATTTATACATGAATGCAATGGTACAGAGAAGAGAAATAAAAGCCAAATGGCAATGAAATGTTAAAGGCACAGGAGCAAAGCTCATGTTGGCAATACTAATGCCATGTGCCTGAAGCAACTGAAAAACCTCCCCATGTGGAGGTGGCCCTAATTAGCAGCAATAAAAGTTTTGAGGAGGAAAGAGATGTTTAAAACAACATCAACAAAAAATACCCCTCCAAATAGCCATATTGGAAGATGGAGAGGGAACCAGCAGGAAGGTGAAACCTGAGGAGTATTTTCAATTACCTTTTAATGTGATTTGGAAAAGAAAGTCGAAAAGTTTGATCAGGGGCTAATTAAGCATAAACATACATTAACTGTTAGGGGCAGGGACCGCATAAATCAGGCCTTCTTGGAGAATTACCACAGGAAGCAGTGAAAACGACTAGTCTTTTTGTAGTTATTTTCAAATAGCACATTTTCCCAGCAGTCCTCCAAGGGAGAATATCAAAGCATGACATTGAAACAGCATCAGTCTATATTCTCCGAAACCGTATTTCCCTTCCTTAATTGGCTCCTGCCTGCTTTAATAGCTTCATAAATGTTGCAAGGGAATAATTAAATTGTACATCACTTGAAGTTGCAGACAGCACCAAGCTAGGAGGGATTTGCAAACACACCAGAGAAGAGAGCCATGACAAAGTGTCCCAATGACATTTCAGAGAACTTGAGAACAAAGCTCCTGTGGAACGAGATAAATAATGGATGTGCCAACGGCAAATCTTGCCCCTATCTCTCCAGCTGCAGGAGCTTTCTTGGCAGAGGAGCTGGTGCAATGACATAATGCAGGGACATAATCAACTCAGCCAGATCATAAAAATCTATTCTCACAACTGCGGTGGTCTGGATAAACCAGATTCCAAAAAGCCTCTCTCTCTCTGCTCATTATAATAGCCATTTTGCTGCCATGTAGTCAATTCTTCCCTCAAGGTAGCCATCTTCACTATACAGTTGTAAGGAGACCCCTGTTCTCTTCACAGAGCTATGATTCCCAGAGTTCCCTGGGAAGAGGGAAACAACTTTGAAAACTGTAGCTCTGTGAGGGAAATATGGGGTCTCCTAACAGCTCTCAGCACCCTTCACAAACCACAGTTCTCAGGATTCTCTGGGGGAAGCCATGACTATTTAACAAAATGCACTGCACAAGTGCAGAACTTTACATTTGTCCCTATTGAAATTCATTTTGTTAGTTTTGGCTCGGTTCTCCAATCTGTTAAATTCCTCCTAGTTTGGTGCCATCTTCAAACTGGATGAGCGCCCCCTCAATAAAGATGGCGCTCCACTTGTCACTTTTTCACAGGATGAATAGGAACTGTTAGTGAGCATTTTGGGGGTTTGTTTGGTCAGTCAATCAGCTACGAATCCACAGTTATCTTATCCAGTCCACATTTTACCAGCTTTTCCACAAGAATATCATGGGGAACTTTCATTGTGAGAAGTAAAAGTTAGTGAGGAGATGACTGTGTGTGCGATTTTTCAGAAAGCTTGTTACAAAGATAAATTGGCAAAGCACAGCAGAACTGTCACAGTTCAGCTGACAATGCATTTGTATCCATTCTATGCTCCTTTCAGTGCTCCAGGCTAGCACCAGGTTTGAATGGGCCCTGCAGAAAGCGCCCCTTGGAATGCTACTGGTGTACCTGGTGCCAGGTGTACCTGGTGGTGGCACAGGCAGGCCTCAGGACAGGACTGGGCAGATGAGTCTAGCATCATTTCAATGGGGCATCATGGGTAATTAAAATGGTGGTTGGATACAGCCACCTGGTGCTGCTTGAACTGATGGGTGAGATTTAAAAAACAAGAAATGGGAGTCCAGGACTGGCATTAGTGCTGAGCTGCATTTCATGCTGAAGCCCCACAGCTGCCCAAGGATCATGGGCAGACCCCCCCCCCCCATATTCACATCCATTTTGCTTTTGCCAGAGAACTGGTGGGTTTAATCTGAGCCACTGCTCGCTGGGATTTGGCCCCAAATCTGCTTCATCACCATGGCCCATGCTGAGAATCTGTGAAATATGAGCAAATGGAATGCCTCTGAACATGTGCAAAGTGCTTGCACACACTGCCAAATAGGCCTTATGTCAGCTGTAACAAAGAGCTCTAGACTGAAAGGTGTCGGGATCTTCTCATCAGAAAGAAAATGAATGTTATTTTGATATTTTTGTTGTAAGTCGCCCAGAGAACTCTGCTTATGAACTAGCAAGCCCCCCTACCTCCGACATATAATTTAGTTACCTATATTTGCTGTAAACATTTACTGGTTTTGTGTTTTAATGATGATTTTATGTATAGTTTGTTTTTTAATTGTGTTGTGTATTTCAGCTGTGTTTTAGTTACAATTGTAACTAAACACCTTTTGGTAGGTGATTTATCAATCTTCTAAATAAATAAAATGAGGGAATAAATAAATAAGAGAGTAAATAAATAAATGCCTGTATCCATTTACTTCTAATGAGAATTATGAATACTTTCTGCCCAGCCTGCTTTATTTTTCTCTATGCCTAATGTTTGAGCTAAAGCTGTACAAATGTACAGTGGTACCTCTAGATACGAACGGGATCCGTTCCGGAGCCCCGTTCGCATCTAGAGGTAAACGTAACTAGCGATGGCACGTCTGCAAACGCGCACGTCGCTTTTCGGCGCGTCTGTGCATGCGCGTGACGTCATTTTGAGCGTCTGAGCATGCGCAAGCAGCGAAACCCGGAAGTAACGCGCTCCGTTACTTCCGGGTTGCCGCAGAGCGCAACCGAAACGCGCTCAACTCGAAGCGTATTCAACCCGAGGTATGACTGTACAAATGTAATCAAGAAAGAAAGAAAGAAAGAAAGAAAGAAAGACGATAACAAGCCTCACATTTTAAATGTGGACAAAGGTGGTCACTGAAATACCCATTTTGTTGGATCTCTGTCTCCAAACATTATTTTGGTTGAAAGAGAGAAATCCATCCAGTTTGACAGTGCAGGCTGGAGATATGGTACAATTCAGAAAGTTAGATGTGCAATTTGGATTCCTCAATCCAGCATTAGTTCAGAGTAAACAATTATTACAAACACCCATAGGCATAAAATCCTACTGCGTTTAAAAGTATTTTATCTTTTCTTTTGCATAAAAAACTCAGAGCCATTCTCCTATTTTTCTCTTTACTCAAATCTGAAAAATAAGAATTTTAATTCTTGAGCTTCCAGGCTTGTCTTTGAATATGCACATTTACATTGATGAATTCATTTGTGCTAATGACATATTTGAAAGTAGCCATGGGCTAATGTATAACTAATTATTATTATTATTAACAATGACTGACACATAATGCAAAATTCATACCATTGTTATCCTGCATTTCCAAGCAGAGTGATGCTTCCCCGTTATCAGAGTTCTGATCCTTCTTGTGAGCTCCTAAGTGATGCACCCCATGCTGTGAGTTGTGGTCTACCTGTATGAGGTGTGGTCCCATCTACACCATGCACTTACAGCACATGGCTTCCCCTTAAGAATCCTGGGAACTGTAGTTTGTTAAGGGTGCTGGGAAATGTAGCTCTGTGGGTATTAACTATAGTTTTCAGCAGTAGCATCTAGAGCAGCGGTTCTCAACCTGTGGGTCCCCAGATGTTGTTGGACTACAACTCCCATCATCCCTGAGCTCTGGCCTTGCTAGCTAGGGGTGATGGGAGTTGTAGTTCAACAACATCTGGGGACCCACAGGTTGAGAAAGGCTGATCTAGAGGCTGTGCAGCTGGGAAAGTATTGCCCTCCTGGCTTCCCAACATAGCAAGCTGCTGTTTCTTACTGAGAGGCAGCAGGAAGGGGGTGCGAAGTGGGGAGCTTGGCAGTGGGAATGACAGACTGGCTCCACTTCCACATGCCACATTGCACCAAGCCTCTTACACCATGCTGCTGGTGGTCCCCAGGATGCTTTGAGGGAAGCCATGATTGTTTAAAAGTGGTATAAATGTGCTTTAAGCTTATGGTGTGGGTGTGATATTTGTTGCTGTAATGTATTAGGAATTTATAAGCATTTGCAAACAAGGAAGTGGGCAAAGTCATGTTAATTGTGTTCTTCACAACTCAAGCAATGGACATATCTGTCTAAAGGAGCAGTCCCTAAAGGCCATTAAGTCCAGGCTCCAAGATTACCTGGCCCCACCACTGAAAGGCTCAACCACACCAGCAACTGGTTTTGTCCAAGTATACTCTTTTTTTATTGCAGAGATAGTAACAGATCACTGAAATGAGGAACATTCTGGACGTTAGAAAGGTAAGGTGGCGTTTGTCAACTCTAGCAGAACTTTAAAATCATTTGATGAACAGTGATCCACTTGTTGCAATACCTCTCCTTCCACAATGTGCTGCTCTCATCATCATTGTGACGTGTGCCCCAATTTTCTGAACGATGTGCAAGTCCAGGTGCAGCGCTTACCTGGGTTTGGTTCGCTCTGGAAAGAGAGATGACTGGAGTTTTAAGGTGTATCTGTAATATTTGAGTTTCTTTACAAAGATGCAAGTTGAGCATAGGTTGGAGGCACAGCTTAGCACCTCAACAAATCAGCCACATCTACCTCCCTAGGTCAGATTCTCAGAGAGCAGTTCCCACACCTGCAAATCCTTCCAGGTTCATTGCTAACTCTCCCTTCTTTTGTCTGGGCAGCTTTCTGGGCCATTTACCTGTAATTTCCTTAAGAATAGATGTGGCTGGCATACTTAGTCACTGACTATTAAGCTGATTTAAGCAGCCCTTCTGGGCACATTAACCCTCCCCTTTCCAAACCTCAAACTTAAACATTCATTATTTTTAGCAACCAAGTTGAATTTTCATTTCTAAATTCAGTGAACTCCTACTTTGGAACATCATTCCTCTGAGTCAAAATTTCCAATACACTGCTCCACCATCATGTTCTGCTTCCCCCCATTGCTTTTGAGCCTAAATTTTGCCTTACCAACTTCTGTCTACCTTTGGAGTTCTGGGAATTCTAAACTTGCTACATAGCCCTCACAGGGGAATTTGCAAAATAACTGAGGATGTAATTGCAGGATTTCCTAGATGTAAACCTTTGCAGAAGGATGCTTATTTAGTTTTGGAAACCACCAAGGAAAGGAACTAATCAATGCCCCTGGGCATCTTCTTCCATTGCCCAGATGTTCTACTCAGTGTTACTTTCCCCTGATATGCAAAGTAAAACTGTAGTGAGCACCACTCAGAGAAGGAAACCACAAACTGCTGCTTGTAACAGTTTTAAACCTGGACATATCTGTGAACTTCCTGCTAGATTCCTGTTGGGATGTTCATGGATGCAGCTCCAGAGAAGTTGTGCGGATGATTATTACAGTTCCATATTTTCAACCATTGTTGTCCCTCGGGAGACTGAGATGTTAGCGGTTCCCACATTCCAATACTTTATCAGAAGGGGAATACCTGTGATAGTCTTTTGGCTTGTGTTGTCTACTAGGAAGGATGCCAAGAGGTGTACTCCATATTGCTTCCCACATGCCAGAGATGGAGAACCGGTGGGTTCCTGATGTTCTTGGACTCCAGCTCCCATCAGCCCCAGCTAGGTAATAGTCAGGGATGATGGGAATTGGAGTCCAAGAACACCCCCGCCCTAAGCCATTCCACAAGCCCCGAGTGCATGGGGAGGGGGTTCCCTGCTGCTTGCAACTACAACTGGTGTTTCTTGCACGTCCCATGGCAGTCTTCAAGGAACCTGAAAGTTCCTATCATGTCATGATTTTGTCTTCTTTAAGCAGTTTAATATATGCCCAGTTTCTTCAGCTATTCCTATCACAGGCAAAACTCTTATTTATTGCTCCCATCTGAACACTATTTTAAAGTTATTAACTTTAACAATTTACTCAACACCGTGACTGGATCCAATCCTCACAGAAAATACAGGATAATTAGTCTGATAACTCATGCTTCCATTCCACCATCTTGCCGTCTCTAGCGGCCACATTTTAAAAATCCATCTTCTTACAGCTTTCCTTTACTGTTCTCAAGCATACAGTACAATTACCACTAACTTCTGCTTTCATTTGTCTTCCTCTGCACCTGCAAAGGACATCAATGACAAAAGAGACCATAACTTAAAATGAAAGATAGGTTCAAGATCATGGTCAATAACAGCTTCCAACCCAGGCTAATATGGAGCAGGGGCTTTCATGGGGATCGGGCAAATGGGCTACCCCCCTCTTTCCCGTGCCAAGGCCTCAATACTGTTTGTGCTGCTGTGTCTCAAAACCCCTCAGATATGTAAAATGTGACCACACATTTAATGCAACTTGTAGTTGGCCCCTAGTCTTAGTTATCTGTTTTTAGTTATCTTAGTCCACAAACCAGAGTCAAGAACAAAATGGAAGCTACATGAAAAATGGTGGTAAGACCTAGTTATCTATTCCACTCTATGAGCCATACACTGGGATGTCCCACATGTGCAAGCAAAAATTTACACCAGTTACTACAGATTAGAATTATAAACTTTTTGAAGTGTGTGTGGGGGACATTATTGCTTGTTGCTATTATTAAGCAATGTGGGAGACAGAAGCCCTTGCCAGCAGTAGCGGTTGGTGGGGTGGCACAAGCTCATCTGGCTTCGTAATGCTGTGCATTGCAGTCAGTTACTGAGGGGACTAGGGGCAAGGCAGTAGCATTGGCTTGGTGTAGGGCAGGCACAGTGGTGGAGGCAATTGGATGCTCCCACTGCTGTAACTGCATTCAGTGGCATAGGAAGGGGGGTGCGGTGGGTGCGGTGTGCCCCGGGTGTCATCCCTGAAGGGGGTGACAAAATGGCTATGAGCTATGTGATGCGGTGGCTTGGGCACCTGCAGGCTCCACACTGCCCAAAATGGCAGCGTGGGGCTTGCATTCGCCCACTGCCTCTCCCTCAGCCACCCTACAGCTGGGGGGGGGGGCAGTGGCGAGGCTCAATGCAGCGTGCCCTGCCCCAACTTGCCCCGCCCCTGGGCAGAGGGCACATGTGATGCTCCAGGCACCTGAGCTACACTGCTGCATGTGTGTGTGTGTGTGCTGGTCCCGTGGGTTACCCGAGAGGCAAGGTCCAAGTCCGGTCCGTGGTCAAAGGTGCAACGAGGAGGCAGTCTGTAGTAGCTGAAGCTGGGTGCAGGGCAGGGAGTCGGGTGAAGTCAGGAACAGGCTTGAAAGCAGGGAGCCAGGGCGGGTCAGGAGCTCAGGCAGGAAAGCAGGACAGGGTTCAGGCAGGAACTAGCAACCAACAATTTTGCTCCCACAACTTGGGACTGGGGCTGGCCGGCTTTTATCTGCCCCGAGGCATAGGGTGGCCTCAATCCTCTGGTGACTCGCCTCGCCTCTCCTGGCCTGGAGGGAGCACTCCTCCTGCGGGAACTTAGTTCCCTCCGCCTCTCTGCCCTGAGCCTCTGCAGCTCAGGAGAGACTGGAGGGTTACTGGACCCAGAGGCAACCTCAGCTTCCTCTGAGGGGGCTGAGAGTGGAGCACCTGCAGGCAATGGGTCCTCCATCACCTCAGGAGCCAGAGGAGACTCAGCTGATGCCTGCACCTGTGGATCCAGTACAGGTGAGGACCCTTCAAGCTCATGCCTCAGCTGGTTCTGGAGGCAGGGAATCCTGTGCAGGCTGGGATCCCTCAGGTTCAGCATCCGAGTCCGAATCCTAGGCCATCACAGTGTGTGTGTGGCGGGGGGGACCAGCTGCAGATTGCAAACGACAGGAGCAAAGCATAGCAAACAGGTCTGCAACCAACTACCCCTCTAAGAAGGCTTCAGCTGGGCAATTTGGAATGGGCAGCAAGCAGAGGGGTGCTGTGGGTGCTGTGGTCCTGGGCCCAATTTTGGGTCCTTCACTGGAGCCTGACTCTGTGCCAGAAGGAGCTGTGCTTTGGCAGCGGTGCTTGTGCCTGGCACAGCTCTGCAGGGGCTGGGTCAGGCCTGGCCCAGGGAAGGAGAGCAGGTGAGTGGGTGGCAGCGCTGCTGCCCGCCCTCCTCGGCCACTGCAGCAGCTCTACCACCAAGTCGCTTCTGACCTGGCGGCGGAGAGCAGGAGAGTCAGCGGCAATACAGCTGCCCGCCCTCCTCGGCTGCGAGGCACCTCTTGCCTGGCTGCAGCAGCTCCCTAACCCTGAACTTTGACCCGCGGAGGGCGTCCTATGCACACCGCCCCCTTGGGGGCGTGCTCTGCATGCCCATCCCGGGTAGCGTAGGCATACGCTCCACTGCTGCCTGCAATGCACTGAGCTCCCCAATGCGTTGCCTCCCCCTCCCTCTCAATCAGTGGCAATACCACACAGTGTTGAGAAACCAGGTGAGCAATGCTGCAATGCCTGGCTGGCCTGCCCTGCTAGCTGCCCTGCTTGCCCGTCAACTGTAAATCACCCAGTGATCTATCAGCAATCAATGCATGAGACATGCTGCAGACATATATATGAAATATCAAACATACCATGGTTTGTGGCATATTCCACATCATTTTGCTTCCTCTTGTGACTAGGCATCTTTCACTTGGGAAGGGCTTTATATTCACACTCCAGTGTTTTTCTCTCAACTCAACTCCCCTCCCCTCCAGTTCTTAAAACCATTCCACGCAAGAGTGGGTCCTACAGTTTGGATTTTAGCAAGTTCCCAATCTCCAACTCTGCTTTAAGGTAGCCTTTGATAACGATGCAGAAATTGGTTTTCCCCCAGAAGTGACTTCAAACTTCACAGAAGTTTAAATTTTTCAACTCTTGTCCAATTTTTTTACTTTTTATTATTTTAAAGCAACTGCAGTGTTATTGGTTCTCTGAACTGGTGTATTCAGACACCGGCAAACTTTTGATATATGAAAAGCTGCTTTCTAAGGCACTTCGGGAACATAAATCTTGCTGGAAAGAAATGTGTGGACTTTAGTACTTATGCTTTTACAAGAAGCATAAAATGTTCAGTTGTGATTTGACCTGGGACTACCATTAGTCCTCTCAATTTGCTTTAGGGATTTGAGAGTATTTGGTGATCAAATCCTGTTGTATTTCATGGACATGTAACAGTGCTGAAACCCTGGAGGAAGGGACTGGTCTCAGAACTGCTACTCAGTTGACATTCTCTACTTAGGTACCAATACATGAACAGAGCGAATATGTGTTTAGGTACCTGGTACAGTGGTACCTTGGGTTAAGAACTTAATTTGTTCTGGAGGTCCATTCTTAACCTGAAACTGTTCTTAACCTGAGGTACCACTTTAGCTAATGGGGCCTCCCACTGCCACCGGCCACCGCCATGCGATTTCTGTTCTCATCCTGAAGCAAAGTTCTTAACCCGAGGTACTATTTCTGGGTTAGTGGAGTCTGTAACCTGAAGTGTCTGTAACCCGAGGTAACACTGTAGCTGGGAATGTTTTATATCATCTCTCTATAGACTTGTGTGGTTTAAAATGAAACAAAAGCAACTGTAACAAATCCATGCTGTATCATTTCACAGATGGATTTCACAGTTTAGAATTCTTCTAAAATCTACAGGTGAGCCTCATATATGCTTGGAGTTATGCACATGTGTTTAAAACAACACCTCCCTATTTGATCAACACTGAAACAATGATTAGGAAAGGATCCAGGACTTGTTTCAGTGTTTACGGCTGTGAAAGGAGATTCCACAAGGTGGCAGAATTTCACACAGAATTTCCAGTAGTTTGGTAAGCATAAGACTGCAGGTGGGCTCACTTGACTAAAGCTGTTGTTTTCATTATGGACCCCAGCTTTACTTTGCTCCCAGATGTAGAATTGACAGCCATATTATGGAGAAGGTATTGCCACTGCACATTTAAGGCTGCAGATTGCATTCCATTATTACCTCATGTCTGGAAAAAAGAGAGAAAAGGGCTTATTTATTAAATTAAACATGGCAAGTGATTGGAAGGTGATGTCTCACTAGGTCACATATTATGTTAAGGATGCTTCAAAAATGCAGCCTTAAATGTACAATGGCAATACCTTCTCCATAACGTGATACAGCAGCAAAAATAGCTCATGTTATTTTAGGTTGCATCAACAGAATTATAGTGTCCCAATGACAGAATCATAGAGTTGGAAGAGACCACAAGGGCCATCGAGTCCAACCCCCTGCCAAGCAGGAAACACCATCAGAGCACTCCTGACGTATGGTTGTCAAGCCTCTGCTTAAAGACCTCCAAAGAAGGAGACTCCACCACACTCCTTGGCAGCAAATTCCACTGTCAAACAGCTCTTACTGTCAGGAAGTTCTTCCTAATGTTTAGGTGGAATCTTCTTTCCTGTAGTTTGGATCCATTGCTCCGTGTCCGCTTCTCTGGAGCAGCAGAAAACAACCTTTCTCCCTCCTCTATGTGACATCCTTTTATATATTTGAACATGGCTATCATATCACCCCTTAACCTCCTCTTCTCCAGGCTAAACATGCCCAGTCAAGGTAAGTCATATTCTCTCTTGGTCCAACCACATCTGGAATACTGTGTCCACTTCTGGGCATGATAGTTTAAGAAGGACATTGACAAGCTAGAACGTGTGCAGAGGAGGGCGACCAATATGATCAAGGGTCTGGAAACCAAGCCCCATGAGAAACAGTTGAGGGAGATGGGTATGTTTAGCCTGTAAAAGAGGAGATTGAGAGGAGATATGATAGCCATCTTCAAATATCTAAAGGGCTGTCACATGGAGGACAGAGTAAGCTTGGTTTTTCCTGCTCTAGAGGCTAAGACCTGAGCTGATGAATTCAAGTTACAAGCAAAGAAATTCTGACTAAACTTCAGGAAGAACTTTTTGATGATAAGAGCTGTTTGATGGTGGAATGGACTCCCTTGGAAGGTGGTGGACTCTCCTTCTTTGGAGGATTTAAAGGAGGGGGTGAATGGTCACCTGTCACATATGATCTAGTTGAGATTCCTGCATTGCAGGGGGTTGGACTAGGTGACCCTCAAGGTAACTTCCAACTCTACAATTCTATGGTGCTATGAACAGTATGTTGGACTACTGGCCTGATTCTACAGGCTCTTCTTATGTTCTTATGGGTTACTACCAGATCTTGCCCCATGAAGCCCTAAATGGCTTAGGACTAAGTTACCCAAAGACCTACCTTGCTCCATATAACCCTACCTGAGAATTGAGATCTTCCACAAGGGTCCTTCTAACCAGTGCTATTTTTCTAGAAAAAGAGGTGCCGGAGCTCACAATGAATGCCTCCATTTTTCTGTAATAATGGCAATGGCGCCCAAACTGAGAGGTACTGGACCTGAGTTCCTGCGAGTTCTAGCTGAAAAAAAGCCCTGCTTCTAACTGTCCCATCAGGTACCCATTAGGCAACAATGCAGAGGAGGTCCTTTTCTGTGGTCCCCTTGCCTCTGAAGGTTCCTCCCCATGGGATGAAAGAGCGCAAGAATGTAATAAGAGCCCTGCTAGATCAGGCCAACAGCCTATCTTGTCTAGCATCCTATTCTCACAGTGTTCCCGTGGGAAGGCTGCAAGCAGGACACAAGCGCCTTAGCACTTTCCTCACTTGTGATTCCCAGCATCTGGTGATCTGTGTGGCTTCTTCCCTGCTTGCATTTAGGATGGTAGTTAAAGCTTTTCTTTTGAACCTTCCTAGTTTTTTGGACTGCCATAAGCTCCATTGTCTCTGTTGCTTGTTGTTATTGTTTTACTCCTTTCAGCGTGCACTGCTCTGATCTCCTTAGGGAGGAAAAGTGGAATATAAATGTTCACAATACTGCGTAATATCTTAAACTTTGCCCTGAGTGCTACAGTAAAAGGAACACCTGCCAAACTGCTTCTAAGATCCCCATTTCTCAATACATCAAAGGAAAGTTCAAGAGACATTACTGGACAATGATCTTGGCAGGATATAATTATGCAGGAAGAAGCTTCTCCTTTATGGCCATCAGCTCTGCTTCAAATAAAGTGCAGAGATTTATAACTTTTGAAAAAATGCTATTTAATCTCTCTTTCTTTCTGTGTAATAAAGATTAGCTGTTTCCTTAGCAGCAGAATGCCATCATCATTGGCAGTAATATCTTCTTCTAAACCTCTTATGTGCAGAAGCAGAGGTTTAAAGTGCAACGCTGCCGTCAAAAGCCAGCCAGCCTCCCCTGGTGCTGAGATGAACAAAAGGACCAAGGTCCTTAGCAATGCTACAGCCCTTTGATCTCTAAAAGCCACTCGAGCTGGAAAGCAGCTGTTCTTCTGTAGATCTAGTTGCTCGCCCCCTACCCTCTCTGCTTTTCATGGCAACTTGCCAGAGTTCCCTTTGTCCTTCCAGTGCTAACTCATACTGTAGGTAAGGCATGCTGTTCGAGGAGTAGTTCTGAGGAAGCCTTGCAAAGTTGCTGAAAAGCCTATTTTGGGGGTTGGCTTACACTGCATCTCATAAAGTTAAAATCAGGGCCAAGCGGGGACCAGCAAAGCCCTTTTCTTTCCAAAGCCTGCCATCTCATTTGGTGCGGTGTGTTCCTTGCAAGCATGTGTTAGGACGTTGCCTGCCATCTTTCTACATTTTACGTGGTCATACAAGCCCTTCATGTCTTGGGATGTTACTGATCAGATCCCCTGCTTTATCTTGCTTGAGTCCCTTTGTGTAAAGTGCCCTTGTCTGGCATTGTATGTAGGGCTCATTCGCACTTTCCTTTTGCCATGTCCGAGTACTTTTTCTGCCCCAGCATCTTCCCCACAAAAACCCGCTCTTTAAAGCTGAATTGGAACAAGAAGCAATTTGAGCCTGTAGTCTCCACTGCCATCAGTTGCACACCAACATTGTTCTACCACTCTCTGTAAACTGTAGCCATCGACTTTAACATTAATACAGCTATGGGCCTTTCTGCTCTTACTGTTTATAGTGGTATAGTTGCTGTTTGATCCAATGTTTAAGAGTGAATTCGTAACTGATTGTCTTCAACTTTGGTTGCATGTTCCTGCTATTGGAGAGTAAACCCAACATGGTGGATTGTGACCAAATTGAGAACTGTTCTGTGGCTATAGCTACACCCCTTATGTACCACTGTCTTCCTCTAGTCAGTAAATTTCAGCATTATGAGCATGTGCACATGGAAAACCCTATTGCGGCTTAAATTTTTTTTATTTAATGCCCAATAATCCAGAATTCTAATCCTGTGGAAATATAGGAGAATAGAAGGAACTATATGTCTGTCCGAGCTATGGTAAAGCCTGGTTATTGTGATGTAATTTTGTCTGCATCTAATGATTGTTGTACTATGATTTAGTACCATTGTCTCTACCTGCAATATCTCCCCTGTAAACTGAGTTCACAAACTGACAGCTCACACCATGCCTGCCATCCCTCAACCCCCCCCCCACTCAGAAACCAGGACTATGCTTGAACACATGCCACACAAATGAAAATACTGAGGAATCATTCCAGATCCTTCACAGAAGTTGGATTATTATTATTTTTTGCTGTAAAAGAAAAAGCATTTTAATGGGTATATTATTCTGGAATACTAGCTGAATAATGATGACATTGTGTTGCAGCATTCCCCCAAAGTCTGAAATCCCCCAGCAACTATTTCAGTAGAAATGGTAAATGTGGAAAGACCCTAAGGTGACCATTCTGTCCCATTATGCCAGGAAGCTGAGAAGTATGTGAATTTGCATTTGGATCTAGTGATCCGCCTACAGGCATTTGGCAGCTCATATGTGGGGGAGTGATAGCGAAGTTCCTCCGCTAGGAATATATTCTGAAATGCTTCAAAAATATCCAATTGAATGAGTATATTTAATTGTCTGACACCTGACGGTTCTATTGTCCTCTCAAATTGTAGATTTAAACTTTTGATGCTCCTTGCTTCAATGGAGACCAAAGGCATCTGGAAGAGCTCAGAGCTGAGCCAGCTTTGGCAAGACACAGTCATTTCTTTGTGGACACACCTCCTGGTCTTGATGTCTCCATCATTCTATGCAACACCAAGGCAAATCATCTGTATCTTCATCTAGCTCATCTTCTTTGCAGGGCTGTTCTAAATGTGACTGAATGGGTGCAGCTTCTTTATGATTTGTTCCAATCTGCATGACTCTCATCCGCTGAAACATTAAGATGAAATGAGAACACCCATCGGGAGTGGATTTGAGCAGGGTCCTGTAATCTTTCTCCATGCAAAGTCACTGCAACAACATTATTGGGGGTCCTGCTATAGGAAAGATTCTGGTGTTCTCTGCCTTTTTCCTTTTCAGCAGACTTCCCTTAATATTGTAGTGTTCAAAGCAGATTGCTATGTCTCTAAGATAGGGGTGGCTAGCCTGTGGCTGCCCAGATGTTGCTGGACTACATCTCCCATCATCCTTGACTATTGGCCATAATGGCAGGAGCTGATGAGAGTTGCAAGCCTGACAACTTCTGGAGGACATAGTTATCCCTACTCAAGGCTTTGCATTAGAAAGGGGCTTAGGTGCCCCTTATCTCAGTCAGTAAAGCACGAAATTCTCAATTTCAGGGTCATGGGTTCAAGCCCCAAGTTGGGCAAAAGATTCCTGAGCTGCAGGGTGTTGAACTAGATGACCCTCATGGTCTCTTCCAACTATGATTCTATGATCAGGAGCCCAAAGTCAGTGTCCTCCCTCTTTATCAGTGTGTTCAAGCTCTAAATTTGGGAATTGATCTTTTCACCATTCACCTTCCCATCTGATGATTTTAGAACCTTATGGACATGTGACAACGGTTATTATCCACTTATTCTAGCTTCATATGTAGTTTCCTATTTGAAGCCATCATACTTTGCATTTTCCCGAGATGCTGATCTTTACTGACAGCTTGAAGGTAGGCTGAAAGCCAAATGAAATTAAGTCATGAGCTGCATACAGTCACAGGTTGCCCAGTCCTGGGATAGGGGATTTAGCCACACTATTTATATTTGGCTTAAAGGGCATTGTATGGCTATATTAGTAACACTGCACTAGGAAAACCCAGACTTGGCTCTTTTACTTCCTGGGCTTTCCACATTTGCTCGTGCCTTTTTTTATTCTGGTCAATAAGGATGCCTCCAAGCTGTCAGTTTTTCTGTGGGAGGGATTCATGTGCACACCAAAACTTGTGCAGTTAGCATGGATTAAAAAGCTCTGTGGACCGAGCTCAATGAATCCACTTTAAAGAAGAAATGAACTTTTTGTAGCTTGGACATGGGGAAATGTTTTGAAAAGCATTGGGTAAATGGATGACTAATGGGAAACCCTGCAAGCAAATTGGGATGCCCAGAGAATAAATTCTCCTTGTAGTATAACTGTCCTGCAAGCAAATCAGAATGAATGCTCCATGAAGACTGGACTCCATGTAAGCTTGGTGCAAGCAAATCAGGAGGCATGCTCATGCATTATTATATAAACAGGTAACTTGGAGGGGGCCTAAGGTACAACAGTGGGCATGTCCAGCAGGCAAGTGGCTTATGGTTAGCCGCCTCAAAATCTGAACCTAATAGTTATGCTGACCCAAATCATCTTCCTTCATTGGTTCTTCTGCCTTGCCAGTGTTCTCTTTGTGAAAAAGGAACAATATGTCTTCCATGCTTTGATGAAGTGCTTGTAAGCACCGAAGGGATAAATAGATATGGTAAGCAGTGCTCTTTTCTCCAAAGGTACCAGAAGAAATAGAGGAAGAGTCCTGCAGAGGGAAGAAGCACTTTGCTAATGAGGACAGGATGACACTCTTGCTGGCATAAATTGGCCTAGTTGATCGCAGCAGGTTTTGTTAAGGCTGCCAGTAATGCTGATCTTTAATCCCTGCTAAAAAGTGAGATCGTGTTCTTTCTAGAGCTCACAGTGAAAAGGCAGTGGCAGCCTCATTTTCAGTGAAGTGGGCACATGCAATGATTAGTGCCATGACAGTATGAAGGAGATGAAACTGAGATGATGAATGTGTTTAACTTCAGTATCGTTGGGCTGTTGTATTAATGTAAACACTATTTAACACAATTTAGAAATATGAAAACCAGCAGAATATCTGTGTCCAGCATCAAGGTGGCATAGACTTCATGCACTTGTTATATCTGTGGGTAGAAACCTGCAGGTTGGTTGTACATGGGCAGACGATGTGCAGATATGTAGTGAAGTTGCTCTCCTGCATTGACAGTCATGGAACAGAGCTCATTTGTCTGGACCACATCAGTCCTGGGTTCATAGGATGTAAGTTGCAATTCAACTGTTCTTAACACGAGGGATGTACATTCCCTACAGGTCACACTAACAGGGCAACACTGAATTCTAATATCCGTTCACCAGTTTAAAATTCTGATACACATTCACCATTTTGGCATGTCCTCCTGCCATTCAAATGAACAGCCTAGTGTAATTTTCATAGCACGCTAACAATCTGCACAGCTGCAGTCACAGAAGAAATAAAACAATGGGTTTGTAACCTGGAATCTAGTGACTCTTTTCAGATTATATGAACCTCATTGTTCATTTCTTTTTAAGGAAAGAAGGTGGTGACACAATCCATCTTCTCCCACATTCACAGTTGTGCAAATGGAAAGGAAACCCCATAAAGTTGTCTATCCTCTCCTCTGCCTTCTCTTTCCTCTCTTAGGGGAATGTTGTATTGGGTTTTTTAAAAATAAAAGAATTTATAATTTAGATAGCAGAGTTACTAGCATGGAAGCTGGATCTACCTCCCATTCGGTCTCATTTTCCCATCACTAGGATTGCTTAAAAAGAGTAAACAAGGTTCCCTGGGAAAAAAGGAAACTGCTTTACTCACTGTTTCTTCAAATTTACAAGGATGGCTTTGAATTCTAAGCCTACAGGGTAGGGCTAGTTTCATGGCTGCACCATGCAAGACAGAGGAATGAGAGCAAGAGCTAAAAGAAGGGACCGAGCTTGGCAGCAGTGGCGGTGAATGGAGCATTGTGGGAAATCACAAAGTGTATTTCCCTCTGGCTATGTGTTCGTCTCAACCCTGGCCTTATACCTGACATGTTGCTCTGCTCACGATGACCATCACCTCCAACTGGAGGACCTACTATGCATCATGTGGAACATTCTTTTCCAGATGCCCTCAGGGTGGCCAAAGGTTTTTTGCTGCCTGAGGCAAAAAGACAAGATGGAGCTCTCCTATGTACAAAACTCAACCAGACTGCCAGATTTACTTGAACATTGGCAACAGGACGGCGTAGCCTCTCTAAGGCTAGCTTAGAGAGCACAGAACAGATGCATAAAGCTCTGCCCACTTTGCACCCCCTAGTATCTGCTGCCAGAGGTGGCTGCTGCACTCTGCCTAGTAGTAGGGCCAGATCTGAGGCAACTTACGCTCTTTGTAAGAGTAGTCTCTGTGCTGGAATGCTGGATGGCAGCAGGCTGCTGTATCCATTTATGTGACTGCAGAGGAGATGGAAGAGGACAGACCACACCTGTCAGTCTATGACAAGAAACTGCACAGGAGAGATGGAGTGGATTATACCTCAAGTTCTTTGCTTCTCTAATTGTGCTGAACAGCAAAAGGGCCAAGACATTTTCAAGCTAACTGCTGGGTTTCCGTGTCTCTGACAATACACACATTAACAAATTACAGTTCCCAACTCCTGAATATAAACTTGACTCTCTCTCTCTCTATATATATATGTACATCAAATTTTCCAACCAGAATAAATGTAGGCATTAATCAAATGCACACATTATCAACTGACCCAGTTGGTACCATTTCTGCAAGCTGCAGAATTTGGGTTTCCTGATCTCAGGCTGTATATATGAGCCCTGGATTGCTGACCACGGAAATTGCAGACTTTGTAAAAGGGCTATTGATAAGAGCCCCTGTAAGTCGCTAGCTTATGTGGGCTAGAAGAATTTCAGCTCTATCTATATATAGATACAGAAAAATCATTTACTGGAATCCATACAAAATGTGCAAAGAATACTAAAGGGAAGCATTTCAGACTCTTGACGGCAAAGTATAAATAAATGCCATATGTAAGCCCTTCCCCAAGTACACAGAAGCCCGCAGATGTTGACTATATTGGCAAAACATAAAGAGAGCCATATTTTAACGCAAGTGAAAATTAAGCTATTAGGAAAAACCTCAATGAATAAGAAAAACATGATTTAACACTTCCATTGTGAAAAGAATATATTTGCCAAGATTGCATTACAAGTACAGTTCCACTGAACTGTTAGACAGAAACAAAGTGTTGCGAGAAAACACAATAAAGGTTAGTTTTGTATTGGCTCAGCTACTACAAGTTTTCACTGGGTGAGGATCACAGTTTGCCTGGCTATGGTAAATCATTCTTCCAGTTGCTAATAAAAATGCTGGATCTTCCAAATTACTGCAGATTGCGGCACCCTTTAAAAATAATTCCTGTTCCTTGCTGCTGAAATAAAATCCACTTGTATTCATTAAATAGGATGGCATTTTCCATTGGGACAGGTCTATTCTTAATATTGTGTTTCACTTGCATACTGATTGGCCTAACATAGCAGAGGTGAAGCTCTCCCTGCTAATGGGAAAGATATGACAGATGGGAGATTTTGGACCAAAATCACAGAGAAAATTCTATCCGGTTGGAGACGCTGTGTTCTCAAAATAGCAGAACATGTGAACTACCGGTAGCTCTTCAGCTTTATAGCAACCTTTTCTTAGATACAAAGAATAATGTACTGCATAAAAAAATGAGGACTGAGCCAAACCAAGATAAGGGAGCCGGCTTTTCATACAAGACAATTCACCCGGCAAAACCCACTCCACCCAGCTTCAGTTTGGTGGGTGGTGAAATGGGGAGAAAATGTCTTATTCAGAAGATAGAGAGCATTGCTGTCATTCAGACTTGGCTTTGTGGTATCTGTTGCAAGTGCATTTTGCACCCTGTGCAAACTCTGAGCCACCCCCCTTCACTCACAACACTCTGCACATTCTCAGAGGAAGCACACTTTCTATTTGCCCCACATCCACTGGGGGAGCTGAGGCCCACCTCAAATTACGCCAAAGTAAGGGAGAAAGTCTAGGCAGGAGAAGCCTCTGTGTTAAATTTCTTCTCCCTCTTCCCATATGATTTGTGTTCCAGAAGGACTCATCCCATCAACAGTTCACTTCCAGGCTCAATTCAGGATGCCTGAATAAAGCCTTATGTGATTCAGTAACTGAAATATCACCTCCCCCCCTCCCATGGACCTGCCCAAACCCTGTAGTCTTCATTAGAAGATGTCTGGAGGGAAGCAACATGGGAATAGACTTTTCCAGTGGTGCACCCACCCCTCGTAGAATGCTCTCCCCAGGGAAATACATCTGGCACCATCACTGTCAGTTTTTAGGCACCAGACAAAAACATTTTTATTTATCCATCCTTAAGGTAGCCTCTACTGTGGCACTCATGTTTTAATGGGAAATGGTAAGACTTGTCCTTGTATTGTTGGATGAGCATTTTAGGAATTTCGTATTATACATTGTTTTCTTTTTTATTGGGTTTTTACATGCTTGAATTTTAGCTTGTAAAATCATTTTGAGACTTTCTGTGTGTGTGTACAAATGCAATACATAATACT